CCATATCAACCATCATAAAGCCTTTGTTCATATTTTCAGAGGCAACACCAGAAAGGACAGGCACAGCACTGTGATTTTCATCAACTTGAGGATATTGAGCAGATGCTGCTTGAGAACATTGAGCAGCAGTTTCAGGAATATGAAGACATTCAGTTGAAACAGGAGTCTTCGAATACTCGGACAGCTGAGAATCAGTCAATAACTTTGTAACATTGTACTGTTTTTCTTCATCAATATCCTCATCAAAGATTGATGGATCAATACCAGCATTTACTTCAAATTCATTCTTGTCATAAATTTCTTCAATATTCATCATTTGAACTTCCAACAAATCATCCCAATGCATATTGAACGTTGCCATAAAGTTGAAGGATTGCCAAATTAAGATTAAAAAGTGCTTATTTGTATTATTTATAATTATCTTTGTGAAACTTGAGACTGATGTAAATATTATAAATGTTTTTTTTTTCCTGTCCTTACATACTCACTAAGAATTCATCTTTTTTTAATTATTTATTATTATTGATATTGTTGTTGTTTAAGATGTCTAAGAGCAGAAGATGTTTTTTAAAGATGTAAGCATCTTAATAAGAAATTGTGTAAATATACCTTTAATTACAATAACATCATTTAAAAATTATTTTTTTATTTTATGTAACATTTTTTTTTTGAATAAATATGTTTTACTTAGGCTGTTTTATCTCGTTAGTTTTTGCAATGCTTTAATCTGTTTACATTGTGAAAGTAGTCCGGACACATCAATGGACGGACACAAAGGCAGGAATGTAAATGTATCTCTTTGTTCCAAAAAGTTCAAGAATGTTTGACCATTTGCAATATAATGATCTTCTTATGAAATCAAGCATTCTAATAATTTATTGAAATAACTTTAATTCCATACATTTGAAGTATAATTATCTCTTTCTAATCCGATTGAAACTATAGAAATATATTTTTTTATCTCAGCACAGAAAAGTAAACAAATATCCGCCATTTTACCGGAAATTTGCTGATAGTAAATTAATGGTGTGAATTGTTTATTTCCAATCAAGTAAATGCCTTAAAATAAGTTAATTCCTAGATACAACAGCAAACAATACATTATTTGTATATTTATTATTATGGTTATAGAAATGAAAAGTACAAAATACCAACCTGTTGACATTTAGTTTAATCTAGTGACGTGCACGTAAAAGACGAACTGTCAAACGTGCGGTATTATAAATTGAGTAAAGAGGTGAAATCTTAGTAAATTAACATTTTGCCATAATCCCTTTAAATTTTATAATTTTCTTCGCATGAACGATAATTAACTCGCGTGGCACAATGATTTTTTATATAAATATCCATCGGAATTAATCAGATTATAAAAAATAGTGGGGCAACCTTGTTATATTTTAAAGCAGATTCACATTTTATCCTTAACATTTGTCAATACAAACTTTTGGTCAACCACCATTATACATGAAAGACATTTTTCGAAATATATAGTTAATTCAGCCCAATTTTCTGTTTCTGTTACTATTATTTCCTATCATGTATCATTAAAGATCCTTTATGTTGTGATCAAAGTGGTTGACCACACTAAGTGAAATAATATATATGAACATAATTATGCAAATAAAACAATTTTTAAACATCGAAGAATATGTAAAATATGTACTGCAAATATTTGTGCATATTATATGTAATCATTAGAATATATGCATTCATTTCTTATTGTAAAGTTTGACTTAAACTTTATAGAAAATAATTTTTATTACCTCCTTTTATTTACACTAAATGTTAAATCCTGTAATATCTTTATAAAAAAATGTTTCTTGGAACCTACAATATTGATAAATCTTAATTTGACATCATATTTATGATTTAAAACCATTAAAAATGTGTTACAGGATCTTTAAAGTAATAATGCCGCCCGTATTGTAAAAGCTTCCATGTATTCAGTTTTGTTATATTTTCTGATATATCGTTATCATCAGTCATGCATTGACTGAATCAAAGCGACTTTGCAATTTTCATGTAATTTTGTTGTGATTTATCACCTTTTTCCCATATTTTTCTAATTTTGAAAAAGAACACTTCCGAAATAATTGTATCGTTTAATCGTTAATGAAAATATTATATACAGATTTAAATAACAGAATATAGATAACATATTGTTACGCATCATGCGATGTGATATTTGAGTAGCCTCGTTTTCATGCTTCTTCTAACAGGACTCCAATTAGAGAACTGCTGTAAATGAATCGCCCTAACAACCGAGTGCGAGTGCTCGTACCTGATGTCAATGTCAGTTCCACTACGGCTGACCGGTAGTAGTCTCACAGCTCCAAGTATTTTGCAATATTTTCAGCGCATAAACGACTTAGGCTTCACTTTAGAGTGAATGACAAATAGGCTTTATACTTCAGTATTTAAAGGGGATCATAAACAATATGAGTACAAAATCGTTATTAAAGCAAAATGAGGTAAATGATCAAGTGTAATTTATTCATTTTCTCTTTAATTCAAAAGCAACTAGCCAATACCCAGTTATATAGTTCCATACAACTTAACACTTTTAAATATAAACTCTTGTACATATAGGTCTTGTAGTTTAATCTTAAAAGTAGAACGTACATGCCTCAAACTCTTATGACAATGTAAAGGATGATTTAATGCGCAAGTTGTTTAAATCAATTTAGAAAATATCTTTTATTATTTATCAATCTGCAAAAAAAATATTTCAAGACTCCTCTTACAAATCGACTGCAACATGTTTTTATCCCCAAAACAAGAAAAATATACAATAAATGAATTAGTCTAGTCTCTATTCGTTACTTTGATAAGTTACACTTATCTTTATATTGAAAATTTTGAACGAAGCAAGACGTCTAGTATTTATAAGAAGTGTGTTCTACCGATTTATCATGCAACAATATGCCAATGAAAACAAATTAAAGAAATAAATTTGGAAGGTTTATCATGGATTGTGAACAAGTTATCTTCATGATAAAAGGAAACTAGTGTTATCAACAATTAAAACAACTGGAATTGTCACAAAAAATACACAGTCTGAGATAAACAGAGCAGCTGAATTGAAAATGAAAAATCTTTGTTTACATTTTAAATGGAGTCACTGCGATGCAAAAAGTAAGAAACGCATAAATAAGGTAAGGTGAGCTAAACATATGAATAATTCAACTGACTTGATTTATACAGGAAACAAGCAAACGCTACACAAATATCTATTGTTCTAAACAGAAAAATGACAGAAAATAACATAACATAAATGTAAATCAGCAAGTAACCAGGGCATTACAATAATGGGCATTTAGCCAATAATCTTTAACTTGTTAATACTAGTATTTAAAACCAAATGATTTTAGTGAAATCGTTACTCAAGAATAAAACAAATGAAGCCATATACAGAAGTGGTTTAATTGCATTGAGTAGGTACAAATAAAGTGTAGCGAAATATTCTTTTATTAAGTAATGAAAAAAAATCAAAATAAAAAGGTATTAGTATAACTGACCTTTTTAGGAAATGTCTCTTGTAAGAATTACGAAAAAGTAAATTGAAAACTAAAACTACATTGAAGACATTGTTAAAAATAAGAAAACTTTAACATTGTTTCTTAAATTCCTGGAACAAAGTCTTTAGGGCTATATCTTTTTAAAGCTACATATCTCTAGATGTGTCAAACTATCAACGTACTAATATTTCAAGAAAAGATAATGGTGCAAGATTCATGTAATACTGAACATGTTTAACGTGGTTAAAGACTAATTTTTCAATATTTTCCACCATACTGCGCTACTAAATCAGAATGTTTTTTTGTTTTGCATATTTTACCTTTTTGGTAATTTAAATGTAGATACCGTTTGCAATATGTAAATTTCTTTGTTTGTTGACTTCTTTGTTTACAAAGTTTTACAATTGTAATTTTCATTTAATTTCAAAATTCAATAGTAATCTAAAAACACTTCTGCGACAAGGGATTGGCCAGTCTGAATTTTACGGGGATGTTATTTACAAACATCGTAAGATCATCTGTCATTGTAATTTTTCGGTTGTCTTTACTAAAATAATTAAACGTTTTATTAAAAGGGGCTATGACCCTATTATTTTAAGACATGCCGCATGCTTAGTGTTCAACCCTTTTACAGTTGGACGCTTTCCTATTTTGATAACATCTGACGGGCCAAGTGGGAGACTATAATGGACAATTATTAAAGCCCTTTGAGACTGAATTGCCTAAATGTTTGTTAAAACTAAATGAACGTGTGATGTAAATTTTCATAGATTACAATTAAAACCTTTTATTTCTTATGTAATAATAAAATCCTATTTTTGTACAAAATGTGCTCTACGATCAAGAAATAATGTGTGCCCTTCGTGTCCGCATACTTGATATTTTGAATGTTGTTTGTTTGTTTGTTTTATTGGGTTTTACTTCACACCGACACAGTACAGGTCATATGGCGACGTTCAAGCTTTACTGGTGGAGGGAGACCTGAGGTGCCCTTCCGTGCTTTATTTCAGGCACGACCGGGCACCTGAGTAGAACCACCGATGTTCCGTAAGGTAGCTGGATAGCTTCACGTGAAAGAATCCAAAGTCTTTGTCGGGATTTGAACCCACGGCGTGAGGGGCAAGTGGTCTTTTAATGTTGACCAAGTCAAAATGTATAAAATCGATTCTCTGTCTTAATGATATAATCACATGTATACTAGATATTTTTACACATACGTAGGTTAACACAATGAAGTGTTTCAAAGAGTGGTGCAGCATTTCTAAACATATGTTAGGTTATAATTGTAGACCTGTAGGTAGTACTGGTGTCGTTTCCTTTGCTTATAAACAACAAAAAAACCAACAAAAATAAAACAAAACAAAAGCATACCAAGAGTGAATTTTTACCCTCAAGCATCTATCCAAGTATCATTATGAATCACATTAGCCTTACATCATTTTGTCCATGTAATGTAACATTGAAAATTTACAATGACTTATGTTTTCTAAAAACGTGCATTCGGCGATTGTAAGCACGAGTAACATAATCATGCATCCTACTTCCTTAATGGAGCGCTGTTTGAATAAACATCTGGACAAAGATAATGTCATTAATGACATTATCTAAGACGTTATTCCAGGATTGTTGTGCGGGCTTATTTGAAAATTAATTGAAAATAACAGATATTTTAGCAGATTGATCCAATCATTGGAACCAACCATATTATGCGATAAATTTGTAAAATCAACAAAGATGAAAAACAGCTAATTGACAATAGTTCGTTATAATGAGTGAATCACATTTTTAATATACATTTTTATCAACCTATTTTCAAAAATAATTATCAGGATATTGTTATTATGGCAGTTTTCTATAGCAGGGACAAAAGATTTAATGCTAGTATATGAGATTTAGGTGCCTGAAATAATTAACAGAAGGTCTTTGGACGTTGTCCTACGTAAGGACAGCTGGAAAGCCACTATAAGACGATTACAGTTTAGTTTGACCCTCATAAACAATAAATCAAATACAAGATAAACATCTACAATCTGATTACAAAAATACATGTTTGAACTTTACATTTCTCAAAAGACAGGTAAAAATGATAAACAAACAACAGAAAACAACTATATTAGAATGACTTTCATCATGAAGGTAAGTGTAAAAACTGTTATTTCACCAATCAAATAATGTTGTTCAAATGATGTTAATTTCAATGAAATATACGATGCTATTAGGAATTTACAACTTTGGAATTTAAGCAGTATACACTGTCTAACTTTCTATTCAATTTATTAACTTAATTACATTGAGCAAAACTCAATAAGGGTCCTTAAGGGATATTGTTATTACGATAATGTCATGTCATTTAGGAATCATTTTTATAATTAACGTTGAAGCAACAATATAAACAAAACACTTTGATCAAAACATTTTAAGACTGAAAACCCTTATAAGTTTTATTTCGATTTTTTGTTTCCCAGTCCTTGGGCTACTCCCTTACACAATAATGGGCCGTCCTCATGTAAGTATAAAGCTGGCCAAACTATATAGTCAATAAATTTGCCAGAACTTGTGTAAGGTTTGTATTTGTTGGTATCAAAAGGAGTAGATTCCTTTAGTTCAGGAAGTTCTATAAAGACTGGTGGGTTATGGCGGTACATTGACCAGCAAATATTCACACACTTTTGGATATAGGTCTTTAGAGTCGTCTTCTCCGAGTCTGCATGGAATGCCTTGCCAATTATGTCTGCGACAGTCTAAATAAAATGGAAGAATAAGACTATTATTAGAACGTTTTCAAATAAAATTGACAATTCAATAATCGATTACATTGGACAATATTTACCTTTTTACTTCGTTAATGCTATCTTAATTAAATTACTTACTTTTCGACAAGTTTCATATAGTTATGTTATCGTATTTTATTTATCAAAGTAACATACCGTTTCGACTTCCTTCGCCAATTGATTTTCAAAAAAGTTCTTTGCGTCCATTATTGTTTTCTTTTGCTCTTTTTGAAGCAATTCAAAGTCTGATTCAATCCGTATTGCCTGTGAAGGAGATATTCAATATATTTTATGTATTTTCTTTCTGAAACGTACTATTTATAGTCGACGAGACAAATGATTTAATTAAGAATGAAGAAAAATCCAAATCTTATTTTTAGAAAAATAAATATGATCAATGTAGATAAAATAATAACAGGAATTCAATTTGCAGTATTTTCATTTATTTATATGTATTACGGTATGCATTTGTGTAATGACTTTTTACCGTTGTTGTCTCTGTTACATCATCCATCGAACTGTGTGTTGCTTCTGGTGCTTCCATAGCATCACTATCAGTTTTATCTTTCTGAAGTAAAATATTATATGATTCATAATGCACGAATAAGACAATACATTCATAGTTGAACATGTATAGAAGCAAAAAAGTATTACTATAGTTATGTTTCAGTGTAGAAATATTGCAAACAAAGACGTTTGATCTTGTTACAATAACTTGTACTTTGTTGAATAAATCGAAATAATTAATATATGATTATGTAGTGTTAAATTAAAGGTCATTAAAATTTCATTATATAAATTTATTTACATGAGTATTTTAGTGATATAGTTTTTTTTTCGCATTAGTTCTTGTCCGTTCTTAGAATATCAATAGTCTGGGAATTAATGTTGTTAACTAGATATCGTCTTACTGTAATATACAGGGCTAAATGTGACGTTTTGCATACAAATACCTAGTTTAAACTTCCAAAAAGTAGATTTGCTACTGACTTGAGAACCCGATCAGTGAATGATTTGGTTTACTATAAAGTGGTATTTATTATTTTACGCGTGTATGTCCCATGGGAGTAAGTACTCCCCTCATTTTAATTCCCCTAAATTGTGTTTATTTCACTACGCCTGAAATTCTTTAAATATTGTATACCTCTCTGAACTACAACTTTTAAGATACATTGCCGACTATTTTCTTTAAGGGGTTATCTCTTTATGTTGTTTATTGCTATCATTAATTGAAACACACACTTCATAACACAATATATATGCCCATTACCGTTTTGGACCGTGTTCCCAGAAAATTTAAAAAGACAGAATGGTTATTACTGTTTTGTTTGATTTCGTTTTTCTTATACAGAGTTTCCATCTGCTTCTTGTATCACAACTTTCTTTTCCGACTTTCCCTAGATAATGTATTGCTTTTTATAGAAATGAAAATAGGTGACGGGCTCTAGTTTATTTACATTAGACTTCTAAACTTAAGCCTTATGTTATTCACATTATCTTTGAATATTTTCGTTGAAAGTATTTTAAAGAATTACTATCGGTGATTCGGGTGTTGCAACTTGATTTGCTACAGGTGGTTTGTCCGTGTTATCATGCTGTTGCCCTGATGTCTAAAATGGAATAAACGCCAAATTCAATAAGGGTTGATTGTATAAGCTACTGACACTCGTAACGTTACTTTTGGTTTACTTTTTCTCTTGTTAACAAATTTGTAATAAGTTTTCAACAGGTGAAATCTTTCATAAAATTGTTCTTCTTTATTCTTTATGAAATACGTAATTACAGTTTAATGACTTATAATAGCTGGATAAATAAGCGTTCTTTACGCACTCCATTACTTTGAAACTCATTTGCATTTTCATTTGCAGCATCCTGCTGAAATAAAAACAATAATGATAATATTCTGACAAGGTTATCTTAACGCATCATGTCTTTGGCCTGTCATTTTCCCCTTACCATTGTGTCTAAAAATGTTCGTGAACTCAATATATTTTTACGATGTTTATTTCTACACATCATCAATGATAACATATTAACCAATATCAAATAAGTCGTTTAGTGGTTGATTTTTCTTAGTAAAAATGCGTATTGTCTTAATACATAATCATCTCAATTTTGTTAAATCCATTTTTGCACCTAAAAGGTAAATGATAAATAAAAAAAAATACAATGGAATATCTTAATGTTTTTAATATGAAAACTCAGTGGTATATTTTACTTATTATCTATTTATTTTTATATGATCAAGCTTTCAGATGAATATTAGATTAACAGTTCTATTTATCATTAATATGGAAGGAGAAATGACAATGCTATCCTGAGTCATGTAATACATGATACATGCTTGTTTTCATGAATAGATTGAAAATGTTTGAAAGTAAAATAGTGTAAAGTGAACAAAGAAAGACATTTACACATTGAAAACGGCACTAATAATCCGCACAAATCATTAAACAGAGGTCAAAATATACAAATATACTTCACACTTAGTCAGGCAGTAGGAAAATGGTGATTAATACTGCTTAATAAGTATTTTGAAACGTTTTAGTTTTTATAAAGTCTTAGGAGGTTTTTCGCAATTGTTTTTCTCGAAATATTTTGGTTCATCTACAAACATACAGCTTCAAACATTTATTAAAGTTCGCAAAATATAATGATTATCCATTGTACTTTATTGATCATACTGAGATGCTAATTGGTTTTATAATGCACTCTTGTCTTAGTAACACTACACATTACATCGAAATGTTACTTCATGATAGATATTTTCATGTTTTCTTAATTACCTAAAAGGTAAATGATAAATAAAAAAAAATACAATGGAATATCTTAATATTTTTAATATGAAAACTCAGTGGTATATTTTACTTATTATCTATTTATTTTTATATGATCAAGCTTTCAGATGAATATTAGATTAACAGTTCTATTTATCATTAATATGGAAGGAGAAATGACAATGCTATCCTGAGTCATGTAATACATGATACATGCTTGTTTTCATGAATAGATTGAAAATGTTTGAAAGTAAAATAGTGTAAAGTGAACAAAGAAAGACATTTACACATTGAAAACGGCACTAATAATCCGCACAAATCATTAAACAGAGGTCAAAATATACAAATATACTTCACACTTAGTCAGGCAGTAGGAAAATGGTGATTAATACTGCTTAATAAGTATTTTGAAACGTTTTAGTTTTTAAAGTCTTAGGAGGTTTTTCGCAATTGTTTTTCTCGAAATATTTTGGTTCATCTACAAACATACAGCTTCAAACATTTATTAAAGTTCGCAAAATATAATGATTATCCATTGTACTTTATTGATCATACTGAGATGCTAATTGGTTTTATAATGCACTCTTGTCTTAGTAACACTACACATTACATCGAAATGTTACTTCATGATAGATATTTTCATGTTTTCTTAATTGTCAGTATTTATTGTTTTTTTAACTTCAAACGGAAATAAGTATTTAACAGACTGAGCAAATCTACAGCTATCACTAAAGGTGATTCATACCCCACCAGCGACATTGGCTTTTTAAAAATAAGTGGACTAAAGTGAAATTTGAACTTAACTTGTAATTCATGATGTTTCATCTGTGTGCCTAAAACTATTACAAGTAATTAACTATCTTCATGAAACCATTTTTCAATTTCAAAGGATCCAACAACAATCCCAAGCTTTGTCTCTTTATAGGTTTACTAAATGTCAAGTTTTATCACAATATTTCATTCTTATAACTTTGATACCTTTTATAGTTCTCAACTTATGTCCAGGACAAAGTTCAAACACTTTAAAAATGAACAAAGGGAGGGTTTTATGCACTTTATTTCTACACAAAGTTTCAAGGTGATATCCTTTATAGTTCTCATGTTTTGTCCTGGACAAAATTCAAAGCCTAAAAATGAACAAAGGGCAATAAATCAAAAGTAATGGAAGGGGTGGTTACGGTTCTTATGCAATGTACCTCTCATCACATACAAAGTTTCAAATTGATAAATTTTACAGTTCTCAAATTCTGTCCCGGAAAGTTTCGAAGTGTAAAAATAAACAAAGGGCATTAACTCACCACCAACACCATATAAAAGACATTTTGTGTGGCTCGGTCTCATGGTATATTGTTTGTAAAAAACATCAATAAAATGAGATGATTGTCGTCATATTTTACATTTTATACTCTCTTTCTCATTTGCATTATCAGCGGTTTCTTTCTTAAAAGTAACCTCATATGTTTGCTAACTATTTCATCTTATTTGTATGCTTTGTCATTTTCGTTTGCTTTACCCGTTTAACCATTTCTTTCTCCATGAATGCTTTGTCCTCTCTGTCCCATTTTAAGGCTTACGTACTCCAAATCATTTTAGTTAGTTATTGTTTCTATCTTATTTGCACGCTTACTTATTTTTATTCAATTTACGTATTAGCATGTTTCGTTATATCGTTTTCGTTTGCACGTCTGACATTTCTATCGCAATTTCTTGCATTGAGATTCGTATCTTATTTGGATGATAGGTCATTTCAATATCATTTATATGCACAGTTATTTTATCTCATTTACTTGCTTAGTCATTTTTATCCCATTTGCCTGCATTCATCACTAATGAACAATCTAAAAATAGCTCGATATTTCCAAAGTTATAAAACATGAGTAGATAACCTTTGGTTGTAAGGCATTTCCTTCGATTCTTTTCTCAGTTTCTTTATCTGTTCCAGCATGATGTGCCTCCTCTGTCGTCTTTGTATAGATTAAACGTGATTTAAACAATAATCTGCATAGTACTCTACATAATGATATAAGATCAGTATCGAAAAATACGTGTTTCCAATTTGTTTGTATGAAAATGATATGTTTATATTAACTCTTTATCAAAAAGTTGAAAGACCTTTAAAAACACATATAAATTAATAGTTCTTCATCAAATACATGTATATATAATAACATGACAGAGTTATGGTTGGAATCAAATTTTCAAAATTATTTCAGAAATAAAAAGGGTTATATAGGGCATGTGTTAACTACCATTTAATAACAAAAACTTAAAATATAAAATATACACCTTTTTGCCAAATTTAAGCAGGGTTTGAATGCAAACTTATAAAGATTAAATGTATTACGAGCAAACTGGTAGAATTTTAACTAAACGCAAGCACTCATTTCGTTTTGACGAAATAGACAAATACAGAATCCCTAAAGAAAGCCCAACACGACAAAATTGAAAATGTTGCAGGCTCGGTTTGATTGAGCCTGTTCATGGACGGTAATGGAAAGTGCAAGTTACCGTCCACGCCCCCTAGCACCGGCTTAAGCAGAATTCAACATTTAACACGAAAATGGTGAGAATTTGAATTTAGAAACATCCGCAGATGTGTTCATACGGCGGTTATCATGAAGTTGACGACAAGTTTTAAAAGCACCAGTTAGTTTTCATTTGGAAAATTAGCAAAGTAAGTATCATTATATCGCAACTTCAACATTTATCGACCGTTAACGTGCTTTCTTAATACTAGAAACGTTGTTATTAAACTAAATGTTGTAGTATATAGCCATATTTAAATAAACATTGTCAGAACACATTTTTGCAAGGTATCTTCAGATGTTATAAAAAGTATTGACACTATACTTGAATATTTTTGTTATTTGAAACACTCACAATTGTTTGTTCGGATGTTTTAACTTCAGTTTCTTCTTTATTCCCCCCAGGATTATCGTCCATGTTATTTTGCTCGACTTTTGATTTCTAAAATGGAATAACATCTATTACAACAGATTATTGTTATAATAATTATGAAGATGGTTCACTGAGATACTCTTTTGTAGTTAACAGTAAAAATATTCAAGCAAAAATACAGTTAAAGGGGAAAGTCAAGATATGTTTGTTAAACATGTATGATCCACTTTCGGCAGGTTATTGTGAATTTCATTTGACCTAGTGACAAATAGGGGTTATCTACTATTTATGAGTCATGACTAGTCACTAGGTCATTGTGACCGTAAAGACCGTGCAGAAATTTTAGTATAAAGTTATCTATCACAAATCTTACCAAATAACATATGCATACATTTTATGAACCATGTAGACCTCCTTAACGACAGCTAATTTGGTATATTACAAACGACCTTGAAATGTGAATTCCAAAGCATTTTTAGCTCAAAAAAGTATCAACCAAGGCAACTTGAGTTGTTGAGTTCTCGTTCGGAAACCGGTTTACGTACAAGGGCAATGTGACTTTGACCTTTGACAGGGGGTATCTACTGGACAAGACAAATTCACCAGTGAAGTTTGATGGTAAAGTGTCCATGATATGTTGAGATATTGATTAGAAACGGTTTTACCTAAAAAGTCAATGTGATCTTGACCCCTGACCCCTTGGCACAAAAATCCATTGAAATAATCTCCCGATCATACCTTTCGGAAGTTTGAAGGTGAAGGGTCAATGGGATAGGAAAATGTTTTGACATAAAAGGTCAATGTGACCTTTGACTCTTGACCACACGACCAATGCAACTTTGCAGTTTAAGGGCCAAGGGTCCATTGGTTGTCAAGATATTGATCGGACACCGTTTTTATATACAAAGTCAAAATGACATGGACGGTAACTTCCTCCAGTACCGTCCACCCAATCAGAGAGAGGGGCCCGCAATTTTTTTCAATTTCCGTGTTTTTTTATTTGGGACTGTTCCAAATTTTTTTTATTTCCCCCATACGTGTTAAGTACAATCACATGATAAAAACTAGGTTTGCAAACCTTATGTAGCTTTATAAAGATATCTTATTAATATCTGAAAGGTCAATAGGCAATGCATTTTGGAAGTTTGAAGGTGAAGGGTCAATAGGTTGTCGAGTTATTGATAGGAAAATGTTTTGACATACAAGGTCAATGTGACCTTTGACCCTTGACCTCAAGACCAATGCAACTTTGTAGTTTGAGGGCCAAGGGTCCATTGGTTGTCAAGTTATTGACCGGTAACCGTTTTAATATGCAAGGCCAAAATGACGTGGACGGGAACTTGCTCCAGTACCGTCCAGCTCAATCAGAGCCTGCAGCATTTTCAATTTTGCCGTGTTCGGCTTTATTAAGGTATTTTGTTTATCTATATGTTATTGATCAAACCTTATACTTTTTAATGTACAATCACAAGATATAAACTAGGTTTGCAAAGCTTGCGTTGCTTTATCAAGATATCTTATTAATATCTAAAAGGTCAATAGGCAATGTAAATAATTGGTTTTACCTACCTCATAGTTTTTGTCTTTATTAGCCTTGCTTTCGTTTTTGTCATCGCTAAGCATATTTGAATTGACTGCAGTTCTTTCGTCCTTAAAAAGGAAAATTTATTTTCATTAGGCTTAGCCAAAGATCTGGTATTTTATCGTGTGTCATGATGATATTTATTGTTACAGAAAATGCAAATATCTAATTTTGTTTTGTTTGTCTTGGGTTTTACGTCACATCAACATAGTTTAGGTCATATCGTGACGTTCTAGCTTTACTGGTGGAGAAAGATCTCTGGTGCCCTTCCGAACATTATTTCAGGCAGGAACGGGCACGTGCGTAGAACGACCGACGTCCCGTTAGCTAGCTGGGGGGCAAGTGCAAATATCTTAATAAAAGAGGCGCTTAATTTATATCAAAGTCCACCCAATGCCGAAATAAATGGTGCCTAGTCATTTCTAATAACTTCCTTTCCCAGCAGTTTCTATCATATATTTTTATCATATATACCCCACAAGATTCCTAAGTCAGTTCTTTCACATTTACTTGGTTGAATATCATCATTTAATTTACATGATTTGCTATTTTGTCCCCTATACGTTACGTTAAACATTTTTTATCTTATATGCATGTTTATCGTTGTATAACTTTTTTCCTGCTTCTCAACTTTTATCTCACTTGCATGCTTGATTATTAATTTCTAAAATACCGGCTTTAACATTTTTATCTTATTTTATTATATGACCAGCCCTATCTTTTTGCACATTGTGTTTAATCCATACTACTTGAAAGTTTGTTTTTTCTTTACTTTTTGTTTAATTCATTTGCATGAATTAATTACAAAGGAAAGTATTATATTCGTTTCGATGTATTCTTAAACTACAAAATTGTTCAACTACATAGTCGTTGAATACTTGTCGTTTCATTAAGTAACAATGAAAACTTTACCTTTGGTGGCTCGGTGTTTCCTTCTTCCTTCTCTTCATGTCCTTTATCTTTGTTATCATGCTTTGCCTCTGGAATCTGTATTATACAGCAATAAACGTGATTCAAACAAACTTTTGCATAACATATCTTTGAAATGCCGTTCTACGGCTATATCTTTTGGCACGCAGAGTTAGACCAATATTATTTGCATGATTGGTCATTTTATCTTATTTCATGCTTGATCATGTTTAATTTATTTGCATTATTTCTCAACAAATAAAAGTAATATAACTAGCTCGATGTATTCCAATTAACGAAACTGTTCAACTACAATGCCGTTGAATACTAGTAGATTCTTGAATTGAAAATTTTACTTTTGGTGGTTTATGTGACAGGGTAGGGAAAAGTACAGCCTGACCCTTGCCTGACATTTGGAATACCGTTTTTTGGCCATACTGACTGAGCTATCCGGTCGTTCACACCTTTTTCCCTAATATATGAACAGTTTTAATTTTTACACACACCTCATCTTTTTTGTACTCATTGGTCTTGCATTTATTTTGGTCTGCATTATCCGTATTTAAATGGCCTTCTATGCTTTCATCCTTCAAAGGAAATTTAATTTTAATAGAACTTTAAAATGTGGCATTTAATTGTTTGTCATTGTGATATTGTTGTCAAGAAAACTCTAATTGAAAGATGCAATAAATTGATATCGAAGTTCATCCAATGGCGAATTAAATGATAGCTAGTCATTTCTATTTTTTTCCAAGTTAATTTTGTCATTAAATGTTATATTTGATTAACATTATAAAATCACTTTTTAAAGGCATTTTCAGGTCGATTGTTATGAAAAATACTATATTTGAATATATTTGTTAACATTATTTGAAAGAATTACAATTGGCGCCTCAGGTGTTTCAACTCCAGTCTCATCTTCATTCTCTTCAGGATTTCCTTCCGTGTTAGAATGCTCAAGTTCTGATTTCTAAAATGTAATAAACGTCAAAGTCAATACATTCTGATAAAGGGTCATTTGTTTTAGAAAAAAATGTCTTTTTTTGCGAAACACCGGTGACACTTGCAAGTGCACTTGATGATAAAGCTTCTGTGATAGTTTGTTAAAAATCCTTTTAAAAGTAGTTGCACACAGATTAATTGTGCAACGCTAACCTGTCCGCCAGTCAACATACTGAGTATATAATCATATGTTCCTTCGAAAATCAAAACATATTGAATATACTTGATATATTGTAATGACGTTTCAAGATTTATGGATTTAACTTAAGACCTTTAAACGTGCAATCACATGATACAAACTTGGTTTGCAATACTCAATACTTATGATTAAATATAGTGTAGGCCCCTTTATTTGTAGAATTTTGACAAAATATACTTTCTTCGTTATATCATAAAGCTGATGAATTTTTTCAGAAGCATCAGTCAGTATTTATTTAAATTAATTGCAAAGTTTTGTAAAATCATATCGCAACTACTTCCGTAAGGTCAGAAACATATGTTTAAACATTATTTTGTAATAATTTTGTCATTGATACCTATAATTGAATAACCATTATGAGAGCACATTCTAAATGTGCACCTGCAGATAAAATGTTATTCACATTGGCCCAGTTTTTCAAATCTTTTGTTAAATATGTAACAATGAAATAATTGTTAAATTAACAAAAAAATGTTACATTCTGCCTTAAATTTTCTTGTTAAGCAATCCTGTTGTTCAAACATTGTTAACGTTAAAGTTCTGTTAAATTAACAAAGTGTTGTATTTGTTATGTTAAATATCTTTGTTCAGTAAATTAGCATCATATTTTTGTTAAACAAATCAGCTTTAACAAAGACTTCCAGAAGTGAATTAATTTTATCTTTATTGGAACAGAAAATAACTTGCCCCCCCCCCCCTGCTCTGTCGCTGTCAACCCTCAATAAATCATTGTTAACATTTTAACACAAATGGGACATCTTTCTCAATTTTAAAAGATATACGGGAATTTTAGAAAGTCCAATGTTCTATCAAGCCTCAATGAAGAAAAAAAACATACTGATAAACACGTTTTAAATTACATGAAATAAGTATTAAAATCATCTTTTAAATACCAAGTGTCAACATGAAGTCGTGTCTGTGATTTAATTGACTTTCTAGAAGTATACACTTTAACAATGTTAAAATTACCTTATTCTACCTAATCTATTATGTTTAATTTTCATCAACTAAGAAGCACGCTAACAATACTGAATACCATTTTCAAATTACTTAGAACAACAACTGATCAATTATCTTAAAAAGTGTTTAACTTCCTTTTATTTTATTATAGTCTGTGTCATCAAATTTGAATATTATTTTCATTTTTTACCAAATGTGAGACTAGATTAGGTCATCTGATTTAATGATATGTAATCCCTGGATTAAAACGGAGTCTTTTACTGTAAAAAGATATTCAGCACTTCATATTTTCAATAAGGGCAATAATAAAAATATGTCTTCCCTGGACCCAACCCAACTAAAATAGGGTCTGAAGAATTAAGGTAACTTCTAATTTTCCTTTTTTATGTGAGTGCATTAAAAGCAAGCTTTTTTTAAATTTGAAGACATTTATAAGGACTTTTATTGTAAAATATGCAAGGATATAAATGATGACAGTAACAGGTATTCATGCATTATGTGTAAAAAATTGAGTACTTGAAAATTTGAGATAATATTTGTACATACTTCATTTTTGAGAAAAAAATTGGGAAGGAGACAAATTCACTTGGGAAAAAAAAACACTTGTTTGTTTGTTGTTTGCAAGTCAGTAATTATACTTATATAATGGTAAAAGGATAGTGCGTGTTTTGATCAAAATCTGTATTATGTTGATAAATGATGTACACATAAGTTTCATCTTCAAATTTAAAATGGACATACCAAACCTGTCTAACAATTAGTTGATCGTCTGTAGGAACTTAAGAGTTAAAATCTCAATCATGACTTTTTTGTGTTAAAATTGAAACGTGCTTTATATAGATAATTGATTTTAAACTGTATAAACTGGCATACATATTGCTGAAATTTAGAGGGTAAATTGCATAGTGAATTTGTTTATTTTGAACCTAATGCTATGTTATTGTTTCATAAAAGTTTATCATTCGGTCAAAATTGATGATGCAGTTATAAGCCTGGTCTTTGACAGTGACTTCCAGTTATGATTTTACACACATACCAAGCTAAAAGTTTTTGTAGTATTCTGTATAAAAACATACCTGGGGGCCATTTCTTATAACATAAGCATATGGAAGAAAAATCAATACGATAGTCAGACCCTTAAGTGACTCATCAATTACCACAATGCAACAGTAAAACATGGCTTTTCAAATGGGGATTTCATACTAGCAACAGCAATTTTAAGTATTTTACAGTGTTTAAAATGAAATTAATCTTTCAGACGTTGCTAGCATGTTTCCTAACACCCAGTTTAATATTTCACAAAAGCACAAAAGGATTTAACAAACATTACGGAATAAAGACTGATAAAGATGCATACACATGGAAAATATACTTTGGAAAAGGTTGTAGTGTATACACTAAAGCATTTTAAAAAGATGAATGGCAAGCACCGTTTTTAGCTCGACTATTCGAAGAATATGAGAGCTATTGTAGTCGCCCCGGCGTCGGCGTCGGCGTCAGCGTCCGCGTCGGCGTTGGTAAAAGTTTTTTGTAAAGTCAAATATCTCAATTATTACTTGAGATATTCAATTAAAACTTACAATACTTATTTATAGTAACAAGGCACATCAGATTGACAAGTTGGATAACTCTGCCTACAATATTGACAGAATTATGCCCCTTTTTAACTTAGAAATTTTGGTTAAAGTTTTTTGTGAAGTCAAATATCTCAATCAATGCTTGAAATACTCAATTGAAACTTACAATACTTATTTATAGTAACAAGGTACATCAGAATGACAAGTTGGATAACTCTGCCTACAATATTGACAGAATTATGCCCCTTTTTAACTTAGAAATTTTGGTTAAAGTTTTTTGTAAAGTCAAATATCTCAAATATTGCTTGAGATATTCAATTGAAACTTACAATACTTATTTATAGTAACAAGGTGCATCAGATTGACAAGTTGGATAACTCTGCCTACAATATTAACAGAATTATGCCCCTTTGGAACTTAGAAAATTTTGGTTAAAGTTTTTTTGTAAAGTCAAATATCTCAATTATTGCTTGAGATATTCAATTGAAATTTAAAATACTTTTTTATAGTAACAATGTACATCAGTTTGCAAAATTGCATAACTCTGCCTGCAATATTTGCAGAATAATTCGCCCCTTTGAAACTTAGAAATTTTGGTTAAAGATTAAAGGTCTTCAAAGATATTTACTTGAAACTTTACAACATGCACTTAGGGTCATAATTGGAGGGTCATAATTGTATGTCACTGACCAAGTTCCAAAACTCTATCTTGCATTAAGGCTGATTCATATCCCCCTTTTCTACTTAGTCTCTTGGTTAGTGTTTACATGCAAGTTTTACATATCTCAATAACTATTAAAGATATTTATTAAAAACTTCACATATGCATTTAGGGTCATAATTGTAGGTCACTGACAAAGATCCATAATTCTATCTTGCATTTAGGCTGATTTTCTCTCCCTCTTTTCAACTTAGAAATTCATGGTTAAGTTTTTCATGTAAGTTTTTATCTCAATAACTACTGAAGGGTTTGTGCCTTTTTCGGGACACAATTTTATGCATTCATAATAATTAAAGCAGTGATTTACTTGATAAAACATCTTAATAACAAGCCTTTGTACCTTTTCTGTCAAATTTATTTATTCATAGGTAATTAGTATTATTATACTCAATAAAACACACCCTTGTGACATTACCTTCCGAATAGTCAAGCCAATACTGTATAATTAGACTCTCTCTTAGGCCTATAACATGAATTTATAAAAAAAATTTAGCCCTTTTGTGAACTTAAAAAATTAAACAATATAAAGGCTCTTTTACTATCAAGCACTTAGAATAGTCGAGCGTGCTGTCCTACAGACAGCTCTTGTTTTATATGCAGTCTGTCTGACAAATATTCATCAGACCAGAATGTTTATTTAATGTATGGTACATTGTCAAATGCTTCAGATGACCACAGATTAGGATCAAGTTTGGTGAAGTCTACATGTAAAATGCACAGTTATCACAGAGTAACCAGTATAATGTAAACTGACATTACTAAAAGAATATGCAGGTAAATTAACTTTCAAAAAAACATAAGATAAGTTTGCCCATGTAAAACTGCAACTTATGAAAAACATCACTCTCAAATTCAGTCAAGATATCTATAGTTTCATATAGGTACTTGGGTCCTGGTTACACTATGTTCATGACCAAACAGTCAAAAAGGACTTATCATTTCACATAAGTTCTCATTTTCTATAAGTCTATGACTTGGCTGTTTTTTTTTGCAAACAGTGTTCATTTTGCTGATTTTTTTAGTATTTCTTATTGAAGTGGAGAGTTATCGGCCACTTTGTTTCTTGTAAAGGAAAGGAACATACTCCATTATGGGATTATTTTTTGTTAATTAATTAACATACGAAAATGTTATACTAGCTCTGAACAACCCATTTTTTTGGCATTTCGTTAGTTAACGAAAATGGTAACCAACAGGTTGAAGTCAAAATAAGTTAACATTTTCTCATAATTCCTTTCAATGTTATAATTTATTTCACAAAAAACGGTAAATAACTCACTGGGCCCTGTGTATAGTTATCCGTCGGACTGTATCTGTAACTTTAAATTTATAAAAAGAGTTGGGCAGTCTTTTTATATATTTAGGTAGATATTTTTTTACCCTAAGCATTTTCAAATATCATATGTTGGTCAATCACCATTATAACGAGCAGTTTATTGAAGTATATAGTCAATTAAATTCAATTTGACAATGAAAAATGAGCATAATGTCACTTTAAACCTTTTCTTCTTTATTCTTTATGTAATAAGTAAATATAGTGTTATGACTTAAAAAGTTTAATATATCAGTTTTTACTTATTTCATTACTTTCTAACTCATTTGCGTTCTCATTTACAGCATCCTTCTTAAATTAAAACAATAATGATAATATTTTGACAAGGTTATCTTAATGTATTATGTCTTTGGCTTGTCATGTTTCTCTTCCATTTTGTCTAACACTGTGTGTGAACAACTCAATGTAATTTAAGATATTTATTTCTACACATTATCAATGATAAATATGATCACATTAATATTTGGAAATATCTTTTTATCGCATAATGTTACGCTGAATATACTTCTAATTGTTCAAAGAAATGTGTCATCTAAAATACGAGTACAAATTAATCAATATCAAATAAGTCGTTGAATGGTTGATTTTTCTTAGAAACAATGCGTTTTGTTTAAATACATATCAATTTTGTTAAATGCAAAAAGTAAATGATAAACAAAAAAATAATACCAGGGATATCTTATTATTTTTATCTTGTAATCTCAGTTGTATCTTATTATCTATTTGATTTTATTTGATAAAGCTTTCAGGTGGATATTAATTTGACGTTTGATTTTTTTTTCAAATTGTGTTTTTCTCGAAATATTTTAGTTCATCTGGAGGCATGCAGTTTCAAACATTTCTTAAAGTACGCAAAGTATTTTGATTTAAATCATCCGTTATTCATTGTTCTTTCTTGATCATACTGAGATGCTTATTGGTTTTATAATGCACTCTTGTCATAGTAACACAACACATTACATCGAAATGTTACTTCATGATGAAAACAAAAAAGATTAATACAAAGTTTACAAAGTGTTTCAAAATTTTAAAGATGTAACCTTTTAACATTTCATGACATGACGGATTGTTATTCATCTTTTCTAGATATTTTCATGTTGTCATACTTGATAAACTATCTTATCTATCCTGTTCGGCAGACAATTAGTCATGTGGCCAGGTTATTGCGACTGACATTTGACCTAGTGACAAATAGGGGTTATCTACTGTTTATGAGTCATGACTAGTCACTAGGTCATTGTGACCGTAAATGTTGTGTGCAGAAATTTTAGGATGAGGTTATCTATTACAAATCTTACCAAATAACATATGCATACATTTGATAAATCATAAAGGCCTCCTTAACGACAGCTATTTTTTATATTACAAACGACCTTGAAATGCGTATTCCAAAGCATTTTTATCTCAAAAAGTATCAACTATGACAACTTGAGTTGTAACTTTATCGTTCGGAAACCGGTTTACGTACAATGTCAATGTGACTTTGACTTTTGACAGGGGATATCTACTGGCCAAAACCAATGCACCAGTGAAGTTTGATGGGGTGGAGTTGTTGAGATATTGATTAGAAACGGTTTTACCTATTGACCGCTGATCCCTTGATACCAAAAATTAATTGAGATAATCTCCCAATTAAAGGCAATGCAATTCGGAAGTTTGAAGGTCAAGGGTCAATGGGTTGTCAAGTTATTGATTGGAAAATGATTTGACATACAAGGTCAATGTGACCTTTGACCCCTAGACCCCAATACAAATGCAACTTTGCAGTTTGAGGGCCAAGGGTCCATTGGTTGTCAAGTTATTTATCAGAAACTGTTTTTTATATACAAAATCAAAATGACTCGGACGGTAACTTGCTACAGTACCGTCCAGCTCAATCAAACAGGGCCTGCAACATTTTCAATTTTGCCGTGTTCGGCTTTATTTAGGTATTTTGTTTATCTTTATTTTATTGATAAAACCTTATACTTTTAAATGTACAATCACATGATAAAAACTAGGTTTGCAAACCTTATGTGGCTTTATAAAGATATCTTATAGATATCTAAAAGGTCAATATGCAATGCTAATAATTGGTTTTATCTACCTCATAGTTTTTGTCTTTATTAGCCTTGCTTTCTTTTTTGTCAGCGCTTACCGTATTTAAATTGCCTGCTGTTCTTTCGTCTTTAAAAAAAGAAATTTTATTTCATTAGGCTTAGCAAAAGATCTGGTATTTTATCGTGTGTCATAAAGATATGTTTTGTTGCAGAAAATACAATTATCTAATTTTGTTTTGTTTGTGTTGGGTTTTACGCCACATCAACACAGTTTAGGTCATATCGCGACGTTCCAGCTTTACTGGTGGACGAAGAGCTCAGGTGCTCTTCTGTGCATTATTTCAGACGCGAACGGGCACCTGAGTAGAACCACCGACGTTCCGTAACCTAGCTGGATAGCTTCGTCACATGATAGAATCCAAAGTCCCTGTCGGATTCGAACCCACGGCGGAGAGGGGCAAGTGAAAATATCTGATTAAAAGAGGCGCTAAATTTATATCAAAGTTTACCCAATGCCGAATTAAATAAAGCCTTGTCATTTCTATTTATTTGCTTTCTCAGCAGTTTCTATGAAATATTTTTATCATTTATACCCCAAAAAATTCCTAAGTCAATTCTATCACATTTACTTGTTGGAATATCCTCATTCACATAATTTATATGATTTGCTACTTTATATCTTATTTATGCTATGTTATTTTTTCGAATTTGAATTCGAAGGCTTTTCCTTTGCTATTAACATCTCGCTCATTTTATCTCATTTTCATCATTTTAATTCTTATCTATTCTTACACTTGTATACATTAGGTTAAATTTTTTATGTCATATGCATGTTAATCGTTGTTTATCTCATTTTTCCTGCTTGTCAACAGTTATTTCAGTTGCATGCTTGATCATTTATATCTAAAATACCGGTTTTCACATTTCATCTTATTTTCATATATGTCCAGCCCTATCTTTTGGCACATTGTGTCTGATCCATACTATTTGAAAGTTTGTTTTTTCTTTACTTTTTGTTTAATTCATTTGCATGAATTAATTACAAAGGAAAGTATTATATTCGTTTCGATGTATTCTTAAACTACAAAATTGTTCAACTACATAGTCGTTGAATACTTGTCGTTTCATTAAGTTACAATGAAAACTTTACCTTTGGTGGCTCGGTGTTTCCTTCTTCCTTCTCTTCATGTCCTTTATCTTTGTTATCATGCTTTGCCTCTGGAATCTGTATTATACAGCAATAAACGTGATTCAAACAAACTTTTGCATAACATTTCTTTGAAATACCGTTCTACGGCTCTATTTTTTGGCACGCAGAGTTAGACCAATATTATTTGCATGATTGGTCATTTTATCTTATTTGCATGTTTGATTATTTTTAATTCATTTGCATTTCACCAGAAATAAAACTATTATTACAAGCTCGATGTATTCCAATTAACGAAACTGTTTAACTACAATGACGTTGAATACTAGTAGTTTCTTGAATTGAAAGTTTTACTTTTGGTGGTCTGTTGTTAACTTAGAAACACATAGAGCTACCATTACACCAGCAACAATAAAAGTCGGAAATTATATGCCAGGACAGGCACATGATCTTTAAGCTATGTGAATGTTTATCAAGGAGTTCAGAACAGAACAGGTTTTCCCTGTATTTTGAAAGAAAACCCTATCAAAGGGCCATATCTCTACCATCATGTGTGTGTCTCAAGAATATACACCAGGACAATAGCAAGTGTTACTGTTTGGTCTTACGTATGTGACAGGGTAGGGAAAGTGTACAGCCTGACCCGGGCCAGACATTTGGAATACTGTTTTACGGCCATACTTAATGAGCTATCCGGTCGCTCACACCTTTTTCTCTAATATGTGAACAGTTTTGATTATTACACATACCTCATCTTTTTTGTCCTTATTGGCCTTGCATTTATTTTGGTCAGCGTTTACCGTACTTAAATAGCCTTCTTTGCTTTCATCCTTCAAAGGAAATTTTATTTTAATAGAAACTTTAAATGTGGCATTTAATTGTTTGTCATTGTGATATTGTTTTCAAGAAAACTCTAATTGAAAGATGCGTTAAATTGATATCGAAGTTCATCAATTGGCGAATTAAATGATAGCTAGTCATTTCTATTTTTTCCAAGTTAATTTTGTAATTAAATGTTTATATTAACATTATAAAATCACTTTTTAAAGGCATTTTCAGGTCAATTGTTATGAAAAATACTATATTTGAATATATTTGTTAACATTATTTGATAGAGTTACAATTGGTGCCTCATTAGGGCTTTCCATTGCTGTTAACATCTCTCTCGTGTTATCTTTAAGTTATTTTAATCATTTTAATGCTTTATCTATTATGTCACATTCATATGTAAGAAATTTTCATAATTGGCCTAATGTATTCAGAAAAAAAACCCGGCTCAACTACATTGTTGTTGAATAGTAGTAGTATCATTAAACAACACTGAAAAATTTACCTTTGGTGGTTCGGCTATCCTTAATTTATTCTCTTCTATGCTATCACGCTTAGCCTCTCGTACCTGTATCAAAAATCAGCAATAAATGTGATTCAGATAAACCTTGGCATAGCATAATACTTTAGGTAATGGAACACAATGTCGAAACATAAATATAATTTTTGCGTTTTATTTGTTTATATGTAATTATTTGTAAAAAGACTACTTTTAATAATTATTCAATTTATAGTACTATAAGATATTAAAATACGTATTTATTTACTTTATTTAATACTTGTATAATTATAATCACAAAGATGTAACGCCTATGAAGCTAAGCGATAATTTGGGAAATGTATGATTCCAAAACAAATGCTTGTTTGTCAGTTCTTCAACTTTCCGCAACTGCAAAGTGCCAGGGTGCGAGGACGATACCTGCACTTTCCATTACCGTTCATGAACAGGCTCAATCAAACTGAGCCTGCAATATTTTCAATTATGTCGTTTCGTGCCTGCTTTAGGGGGATTCTTTAATTATCTCTCTTTTGAAAAAGAAACTGATCAATACTACAGCATATATAACTGAGTCACAAAACTAAATAAATGCTATACGGAAGTTAAAATTATTCCATATGCATTGTAGTCGTTGAAAATCTCATTTGACCAACTCGAACACTTTTATCTTATTTGCATGCTCGGTCATTTGTATCGCAAATATAGGCTTTCATATTGTTCATTTTCGTGCCTATCTTTTATGCACGCTGGATGTTATCAATATTGTTTTCATACTCAGTTTTTTTTATCTTATTTGCATGCTTGATCACATTTATTCGTTTGCATGATGTTACCAAAAATGAAAGTATTATAACTAGCTCGATGTATTCCGAAAAAAACATTGTCATTAATTATTAGTAGTTTCATTACATAACATTGTTCGTGTTTTCCTACTGTCATCCAATGTCTTTTATCTGCGCGATCATCCTGGGCCTCTGGTGCCTGAATCTACGCTCAGTAATAAACGTGATTCAAACAATTTGAAAGCTTTTCATAACATTATATAATTATTGACTAGTTTGCCATTGAATATGACGTGATATTCACCGGCACATGACATATTGACCGAGGCGATATTGCCCGAGGCACATTAGTCAAAAATAGTTTTATTTTATGACTAGAATTTTAAAAAACCTTAGCTATGTCCAATTTTTGCCTGTTTCATTGAAGCGCAGGAAAAAAGACGCACGTGTCAAGCGTGCAACAACTACGCGAACGCTGCGCAAACAAAAATAATTCAAGTTTATACTCATTATTGCGGTGTTATAGTTAAGTAATGATATCTTAATAGAGAAATATGTCATATAGAACAAAACGCAACAATCATTTTTAAATAAGCACATGTAATCATTAGTCTACGATGTATGTTCATTAATATGACTCTCAATCTATTTTTAGACTACAAAAAACCAATTCAGCCAGTGAATATGATACTTCACCCAGTGAATATGATTCTATAAAAAGTTTTATTGACTACTGTTTGAACAACATCGTTACTATATTACGATCATATAATAAAATTTAAAAAATATAATGGAAAATCAATATCGAAACATAAGTATTTTTGCATTTTTCTTGGTTATATGTACTCTTTATTTAAGTATAAACGCTTCTTTAAAAAATTTGTTATATTTACAGTACATAATTAAATGTTTGATAGATACTTGAATTTATTTAATTGAATTTAATACAAGAATAGCTAAATGGCAAAAATATAACTCTTTAGCAATTAAACTTTTACACACTAAAAACCCTCGATCTTTATGTGGGCATCTACTTATTTGTAGTTTGTATACTGTAGAGTCGATGCTGATTTTAACTATTTGAATTCGATTATAAATGGAACTGAGGCTGAACCGGATCAAAGTCATCATTTCTTTTTATTATTGAAATCAATAAAGTCTTACAACGAATATTGAAATATTAAAATACTACACGCTTATTTATTCAAACAAAGTAGTTGTTTTTAAAAGTTATACACATAGCAAAATGACACGTATCGCATATTATTAGATACACTTCAAAATATATAATAAATAAATAATAGATAAGAAATAAAAAACTTATCCGAAATTTGACATCGTGTTTGATTTTGAATAATTTTGTTAATTTGTTTGTTTTGGGTTTACGTCACATCGACACAGTATAGGTCATATTGCGACGTTCCAGCTTTACTGGTGGAGGAAGACCTCAGGTGCCCTTCAGTGCATTATTTCAGGCAAGAACGGGCACCTGAGTAGAACCACCGACGTTCCGTTAGCTAGCTGGAAAGCTTCCTCACATGACAGAATCCAAAGTCCCTGTCGAGATTCGAACCCACAGCGGTGAGGGGCAAGTGGTTTGAAGTCAACGACCTTAAAGCCACGGACGCCCACCATTTTGTTAAGTGTCACCATGTAAGGAAATTAATAATAAAATACGTACTTGCTCCAAGTTGTTTTCTCTACTTTGAACACTCATTTCTATAGATTCTGTAACTTTGCAACTGTCTGTTTTATCTTGTTTCTGAAAAGAATTGCATATTACTTTCCCGGTTATACAACTGAATGTTAAATAAAACATATCTCTTTGAAAATAATAAAAGGAACTTCTTTAATAATTTTGAGTGACGTGTACTGCAATGGTGTAACTATATTGTTTGCTTTTGTTTGAATTTTACGCCATCATAGCAAAATATGTGCCATACATCGCAATGATGATAACTATTTATACAAATTCGGGACGAGTATTTGCTATTAATTTCTCTGTTTTATGTATTAACTGCAATTTACATTTAGATATTTCAAAATCTCTTGATAGGTAAATAAAGAATATTTGTTTAGTTCAGTGTTTGATCGAAATATATTCACCGAGTGAGCACCAAAAGGTACATTTGACGAGTGGCGCAGCCACGAGTGAAATATGAACATTTGGCCTTCACACGGTGAAATATATTTTGATCTTTCACTAAACTTAACAAATCTTCTTTTTATTATATGCAAAGAAACGTTTTAAACGATATTAAAACCTAATACTGAATAAAAAACGCGCCAAATAATAATACAAAGTGACGTCATTTACGACGTCACGTCATTAAGTTGGTTCCCAGTACTGTGCATGCTGGTATTTCACTGAAACAACGTTAGGGGCTTAAATTCAAAACAGTGAAATTACCAGTTTTATATTTATATTTATTTCACTGATATATTTCTATAAACCACCGAAAAGCATGTAATAAATGACAGTATTTGCAAGTTGATGTTTGTTCACATTAAGTAATGATTAATGTCGTGAGAATGTTTCGTATGTTTTTGCAGCATAATTTATACATTTCTTAGAAAAGCAACCTTTGTTGTCAATTTACATTTCATATTTTTTTATTAATATGCCACCAAACATACGATATATGGTTGATTCAAAATATATAATTATTCCTCATGAAATATATAATTTATATTACAAGTACCTCTATTGTTTCTTCAAGTTCAAACTTATTTTTGAGAACCTTATCTATTTGCTCGTCGTCATCGTGCGATTCATTGTTAACGTTGTTTCCTTCTTTTACTAGATCCATGTCCTAAAAATATAAGCGTATTAATTTTAATTAATATATCACGGGGGACGAAGGATGGAGTTCTTATGATCACTTGTCAGAAGTTTGTCTGATAACTGTCACGAAGATCCTATATTTCGTCGGAAAACATCATGTCATAAGAACTTTATCCTCAGTATAACAGTTCCACCCCGTGTATCACAACATTTATTAAACATTTTCGTTTCCTGTAATCTCTAATGAAACCTTCTGCATTTCTACATGAAATTATGTATTCTTTTCAAGACTTTACAGAAATGATATATCCATGTAGAAAATGATGTAAAGCTTTCATTTTTGTGTAATAAAAATGCAAATGTATATTCTGTAATGAACAATAAGCAATATTGAAATCTTTGGTATAAATCAAGTGACAGCAATACTAATTATTAAATTTCGAGATTTACTTTCGTTTGAAAGGACTCTTGATTTAGTTGTTTTGTCTGCCGTATCATTTGGATATAGCCAAAGCATTACACAAAAAGTATTTGAGTACGACATTGATCACAAACATGTTAATGCAGGAAATATTTTTATGACATAGCAAAGCAATTGAAGGTATAAACAAGAAAACGATTCCTACGTTATCAACGCTTTCAACTTTTGTTTCCTTTTGATCTGATGGTACAACTTCCATTGTCTCTAATTTTGACTGTTTCACAACATTTGCCAACGTGTTATGACTTGTAGTAGTAAGCCTGCAAAACGCGTCCTTTATCCTCTTGGTGTGACTATTTGAAAGATCACTACAGATTGCATTAGTTCTCTGTAATTTTGAGAATTTTATGTCTGAGTAAATCTCTTAGTTAATCCTTAATTTTGCCTACAAATGCAAATCAATTTCTTATTTTTCAATTGTATTTTGATTGTAACTACTTCCTGAAATTTCGAATTAGACAGTGAAAAATCATATAGTAATTCCGATTATTTTGTCTGACAAAAATCCATATACAAATGGTTTTTGTACATTTATTTTGCATTTTCTTTTTAGAACACATGTTAAAAATTATTAAACAATAACCAACCTTAAGAATGTCAAGCATGAAATTAGTCTTTCCTTTTTCTGTTTCAAAATCTAGTTCCTCAAAGACATCTGTCCACTCGTTATCATAAAGTTCCGAAAACTCCTCCGCTAATTTTGTTGGTCGTTTTTCATCACTAAGGTCCGCTATATTTGGATTGTTGTAGGTCAAATTTGCACCTGCTACTTTACTTAACCTAAAAAGGATATCTTTATTCATTTCGTTTCGCATTGGATTATATTAACTTAAAGGAAATGAATAACTCTTTTTGTACTGCACATTGCATGCGGGAAAACATATCTTTCATTACGGAAAAAAACAATACTTGCATATTCTATAAGGTAGATAAAATAAATAAATAATCTCTTCCGTTGTAAACTTAAATTGTTACATAAATAACAACTCTTGGAAACGAAATTACAGTAATGTAATTGCCGGTCTAGTTAAGCTATAAATGTCAATGTAATCGGCATATACACGTTAATACCTTAGTAATAATTCCTTCTTTTCTTCTGTCAGAGAATGTCTCTCTCCTTCTACAGTGTGTAATCTTTGAACTAAATCGTTGTACTTCCTGGTTAGTGCAAAGCGATTTTGCCTCTCAGCGTGAATGTCTGTATTCAAATTATAAACTTCTGTCTTGTGTGTATTTTCGATTTCTTTGATATATGCCTTCAGTTTCGCAATGTTCTTAATTAGAGTTTGTATTTCTGATTTAGATTCATTTTCATACTTTTGTCTTCGTGTCTCTAATTGTTTCACCGTTCCGTTCAGTTGTTTAATTTCTTCATTTTGCTTTTTTATATTATCGTCACGTTGTTTTATTTCTTTGCTCATACTGTTAATACGTTCATGAACTGACCTTTTATATTTTTCATTGTCAGCATCTTTCTTCTTGTATTTGTTATTTTCCCTGTGCGATAGTTATAATACAAATAATAGAAAAACGTATGCATGAGTAAAAGTTTCTTAGGAAACTTGAAAAATGAATTTCTTACAAAGGCATCTATTGTGCATAGACAATCAAGTACATTACAATAAATCAAGAACACAAATACTTTATTGAGTATTGATGAGTTGGTAATGGCATCTAGTTCACATGTTACATATGAATGGCAAAACACGTTGTGATTTCTATTTCGAGAAAGCTTTATAGGCACAAGATGTCATTGAAACAGCTTTGCAAAGAGATATGTTTATATAAAAAAAAACATTTATTCTGATCGAAGCTTTATCTGTTTCAAAGTAATTCATAGCACTTATTGTACCACTTCATGTTAAAAAGTTATGTTGTTTACAAGATATTAACTCGTAACTTATTTACTACCAGTTTGTTTATAATAAAGATGACATGACGAGGTCAAACAAGAAATAGCAAAGCATATAAATATTTCTATTCATACAAAAAAAGCCACAAAAGCAATAACGTTTAGTTATTAAAAATGTGAAATTCAATATTATAATTGGATTTAATCTTTTAATATGGTGACCTACTTTTCAATCTCTTTTATTTTGGCATTTCTTTCTTTCATTTCCCTTTCATGTCTGTAAAAGTAGAGAATGAAATATACTGAAATATAATGGATTTAATAAATAATGAATTTACTATAAAAAGCATGAATTGATAATAAAAGCGTCAAAGTTATTCATACAGTCTACTTACAAAGTAAAGAATGATTGTTATCTATAATGCAAATTTTCTTTGTTGCGTAGAGATGAAAAATCTACCTCGTGAAGGAAACAAACTGTCTTTTATCAATGTGCATTATTTCAGATCAAAACATAGTACATGAAATATTAAACGCTATATATATTTTAAACAGAATAGTTTTGGAAGGTTATGTTTTTCAGTCCGGCGTCAGTCTACGAGTCTGTTAAGAACGTCAAGACAACCTATCTCCGTAGTTTTTGCGGTATAACAAGAATAATATTGATGGTATAATATAATGTATATTAACCTAAATAGATATTGAAAACGAATTCAACAATGTAAAAATCATCTTCGAACACAATGTTCGTTGATCTAACGGAAAGTTTCTTCTAACTTATGTCCTCCTCGTTTTGGCAATAATTTGAAAAAATCGAATTCACATGGAAGGAATGTTAAGTATGATATATTGTTCCACGGATTTTATTAAACACAATTTTATACCCACAGTTGAAGCGACATATCACATGGCGTAGTGGTGGTAAGTAATCAAACAAAACAAAATGAATTTGCAAATGTTGGGTTAGAGGATAGGGTTAATGGCATGAACTATGTTTTTAAGGGATTTAGTTTACAAATCTGAATTTAACATTAAAGAGAGCTTTATCAGTTTCTTTTTCATTTCGATAATAATATGAAACGTTGACACCACAAGTATTCTAACTATTCCACAAAACACAAGGGTCTAGTTTGAAATCGTCTCGAGTATTTTATATTTTTAATATATAAGTAACTGAAAATGTTTAAGCTACATATTGTTTTTACAATAACAAGTGGAGGCATATGTGACAAAAACTGGAAAAGTCTGTCGTAAAGCATTGCGAAATTGACATGGTATACGGAAGTGTACATTCCGTATATCATTAATATACGTGTACGAATACGGGAAACTTGAAATACGGAGATGTACGGGACCGTATATTATATCAGTCCGTATATGACTAGTATACGAACTCGTTATATACGGGATCATTAGTGTACGAAGTCCGGTTTTTACTAATATACAGAATTTTTATAACAAGTCCGTATATTACTAAAATACGAAATTCTGTATTTGTGCAAATACGGATTCTTTATATAGAAATAGCGAATGAAAATTTACTTCTGAATAGCCTATTTCCTGTAAGAGTAAAGAAATAGTCGGATCATATATTTGTCAGACATTTGACAATTAACACAATGCAAACTTTCCTGGAGTTATTAACCGTCAATTGCGTACAAATCATATCGTCAGTGCCCAGAACTTGTAAGACATCCAACTGTAATATGCAGACGCAGTATTGTAGCTCAATAGACCCTTAAGCGATAACAGTCAAGGAAGAGTTACTTCCCTTACCGGATGTGACGTAAATGGGGATAACACTATGCAAACAGCATGGAATGTTAGCTTATTGAAAAGTTAAATGCGTAAATACTGACCGTTAAATTATGATTATAACATGTAAAAATTTACGCATGCATACATAAATTCAATATCAAGACAATAGAAAAAATACAAAAACAAAGACTGAGATTAATTCTCGCTACGGAGTGAAACAGCGAAAAATTTCAAAGTAAATATATTGACTCTATATATCTATTAGAGACTAGACTTTCTGAAAAGCTAGTAACTTAATCAAATTTTAATAATTTATAAACACCCATACACACTGAAATTGCCTATGATTAATTGAAATGGCCATTTTCTAGTTTTCTGTGTTATTTATATTCATTTAGAAAATTCCGGCGTATTTGTGACAAACATGAAAATAAGATTGCCAATGTCTTTTAATGAAAATAATGCATTTTGCCAATACTTACTGATTCTTTTTCATTACGTCGTATAAAAAACATTTCAAAGAACCAGTAATATAATCTTTTATTACAAAATTAATATAAATCCGTGATTCCGGAAAGAATGAAAACCATGTGGCATTAACTTTCACAAAAGACCATAAGATAATTTTGATATTGAAAATCTATTCTTATGGTAATAAAAATAAAACCTTTTCCAAGATGTGTATATATAAGCGCCACTGAGTCGTAACATATTAATTAACAGGGTGCATATGTATACTATACAAGCGGCACTTGGCTGTGATATCATAAATCACCAGGGTGCATTTTTAGAGTTATAACATCACATTAGATTAAGTCACTTTTGTTGTCAAAATATTTATGGTTCGAATTTAGTTATGGATCATCTTTATTGGTCATGCCTTACTGATTTGCTGACTTACTGATACTCGATCCAGAGTCCTATCAACAAGCACAGTCAAATATACGTAAACTTATAATTCAGTTAATAACAAATTTCTGTGATCGTGTTTCACAAATTGTTTGTTTGTTCTTTTTGTGATTTTTTAAATATTTGATAAGCAAAGTAGGGTTGAAAATATTACTTTACCAGCTTAGATATATTGGTGTGATCACAGATATATAAACTCTTATATTTAGCTCCATGGTATGATGTACGATTTTTTGAGAGCGCAATTTTTGCCGACACAAATAGTATATATATCCATGTACATTCAAAAATGAATTTTGACTTTTTATGCCTTTACACTTTTTTTATTCTCCGTATACTTCAAATGTACGAGCAAATGTACGTACATGTATATGGGGCATATACGCACTTCCCGTATACCCAGTGTTCCCTATACGGACTCGTATGCTTGGTCTGTATATTCGACGAATACACCCCGTACACGCCCGTGCATGTCAAAAATACGGGACCGTATATTCCTGTATATCAGTATATTTTTCGCAGTGAAGTGTACTGAGCACGAGTTTATTTTAACGTTGTATTTTTCATTTATCTGTTTTAACATGATATAGTGTTAGATTATCTAATTAAAAAATTTGTCATAAAGTTAAAACATTTGTGTTTACATACTTTGTTTCCAATGCCTTTAATTCTTCCCGAAGTGTAAACATTTTCCTGAAATGGAAATAAAACGTAAACATGACATATCTTAACTTCACGGAAATACAAAAAAAAAAAAAACAACTAATGCTATGAATATTCTGAAAATACCTGATCTTTCTTATCCCTTTTGAAGATGTCTTCGAGTATTCTCTTCGATATGCAAATAGCTATCGGAATAATTTCGATAAATTACATTGACATGAGCATTTTTTTACAGTATTGAATACAATACTGAATTCTATTGGACGAATTCACAGCTGTCAAACCTTTCTTAGACATGACGCTATCATTTTGATATATTAGAGAAACATTTGTCAGTCATTTGAATAGTTTTTTAATCAGAATGATGATTCAAAGTAAAACATTTACTTATCTTACGCTCTACTGGAAATGAAATATAAGCAAAAGAAATTAAATCAAGTCGCTATTAAGAAGTTGACAAATTTCAGACGTGGAAAAACTTGTTTACATTCTACTGAGGTTTCAAATCAGTGTTATAAGTCTTAGCGGATCAGTTTCACTTGGAACAATTGATAGCAAAAGACAGTACCATGTTGGTTAATATACTGGTACATACGTTTGACTCTCTATATCCTTTTTACAGAATTCTTCTATTCCCTTTTCTTTTTCATCTCTGTCGTTTGCTATATCTTCAATTTTGTGTTCGAGTTGTTCAATTTTGATCAAAAGACCCTCATTTGTATCAATCACAGTTTGTATAGTCAGAGTGGAATCTGGGTTTTTATGTTCAGCATGAGGACTTTCCTCCAAACACTTACTGTCGTTAGCCCTGGTGATGATAAGAATAGAAATAGTGCAGGGTAATTAATAACCTATTACAAATAACAACAACAACAACAACAACAACAAAAGTAATAATAAAAAAGGATTAAAAAACAAGCAAAAAGTCTCACGTTATTATCGCCGTTTGAAGGCAGCTTCTAACAGACGTGTTGCAATAGACATTGATTTCAAAGCCTAGCCTGTTCAATAGGGAGACAATGTTTGTTATCGCCAGTGTAAATAGTGAGCGTACAGTTTAATGTCAAAATAATTTTAGCTTTTGCCATAATGTTGTTCAATGCTATGTTGTTGTTCATGTGTATACTGAATAATCCATATGCCCCTAACAGGAGGTCTTAAAATACTTTTAGTCATGTATCGTAAACGTTCAAAATGTTGGTGCAGTCTTTTTATATTTTAGGCAGTTGCTATATTGTATCTTTAACATTTTTCATCATCAGGTATTAGTCAATGACTATTGTTAGAGTAAAATATGTTTTATTATATAGGCAAGTAAGGGCAAATCGACAATGAGAATAAGCATTATAACACTTTAATTTACTATAGGACGTCCACTTCTTTTATTTTTGGTAATACGTATGCTCTTTGTGCTAAAATGTTTCATTCAATATTTCCACAAAGCTAAAGCAAAACTATCACTTACTTTCGATCGGGTAAAAGAACGTTATACTGTTCATGACAGAACATGTCTCATATTATTTAATCGAAATGTTATAATGAGTCCCATCTAAGGTCCAGTTTACTTAAGCCAACATAAATATCTCTTAAAACTAGGAATTGATAATCATATGCGTGGTTTTTATTATTTTCAAAGGTCAACATTGTACAGTATATGCATGGTCATCGGACAAATATACAAAATTGCCCTGTTTTAACAAAAAGCAATTTATTAATTCTACAACGCTCACTATTCTCCTATCGTAAATGACCATCATTCATGCAATTTGTTACCTGATAAATGCATTCACACATCATTTAGAAAATTCAAATTCATTTAAGTCATGAATGAAGTTAAAATGAAAATCAGAAAAAATGATTGACGCACATGTGACTCATTTGCTAATTCCTAATAACTAGTTCATACAAAATATGTTGTACAGTCAGTAGTTTATTTTATTTAAGATCTTGTTGTTGGTAAGTATTTGAACTGCAAAGATGAGGTATCAGCGATGGTATCTCGCCGGCCTTAACCCTTTAACCCATAGGCATATTGTGAAAAATGGCCGTTTTCGTTAAAAAGACCTCTTGTTACAAGTTCTAACTGTTATGAAACTATGAAAGATGCTTCAGTACTGATGAAACTTGGCACAAAAGGTAAATGGACAATAACCTCTGTAACAGCTTGCTCAATTTTTAATGTCCTGTTACAATGGCAACGGGGGGTCTAAAATTGCCAAAAATCACAATTTTGCATTGTTTTATTCCATCAAAACTGATTTTAAAGTGTTGCAATTTCTCAATAGATTGAGTAAGAGTAAAAGGCTTTTCAGGTTTGGTAACACGTTACCTTACAATTGACCTGAGGCCATTTTGCCCCCTTCAAAATCCCGAAGCAGAGGGGGGGGGGTCATACACCCCTTCTTGCGTGGGTTCGATCCCCTGGAGTTGCTTTGGTAGTTTATCGCGGAGGAAGGTAGTCTAGTACTGGTGTAAATCTCCAGGAACGATGGTTAGGAAACTACCCGCCTAAATGACTGAAATACTGTTGGGAAAAGGCGTAAAATGAATCAAACAAACAAACAAACAAAACACCCCTTCAGGCATTCTCCTGATGCACCTATTTGATGGGGGCGGCGCCGAAAAGTGAACATTTTTTATCATAATTTTCCCAAAGAAAACATAATCTTAGTTTAAAACATTGAATATGTAAATAACAAAATGTTGACATCTTTGTATCTAAAAGCCGTAAAAAGAGATACATTTAAAGAAATGAAACTGTAAACTTTTTATACCTTAGTTATTGTCATGATAAAAATGTTTATGCAAACTAAAGACATAATTTGCAACAAAATATTGTCAACAGGTAAACATATTTTACTTGTCTAACTTTAAAATTCAATAATTTTTGTGTAAATACTTTGGTCTTTTACGTTTATAACTATCAAATTCTTCGCTTTCTGTCTATTTTAACACAACACAATCTCAGTTAACCATTAACAGCATTTACTAAAAAAAATCACAATTACATTTATCACATATATCATACCACATTTTGGAAGTTATTTTGTAATTCATGTTATTAAATGTGCAGCAACCAAACATAGTTCTTTATTACAAGTATTCAAATACATTTTCTATTTGATGTTTTTAAAACACAAATAATACTTAGGTCAAGGACTTATACCCCTTGTTTACTGTTGCAACAGGAAATATTTTATCATATTATATTCCATCTTATCTGACATGCATATCGTCCCAATTTAAATAATGCAAAGGAAAAAAAACGTTTTGATTAATAGCTTATTCTTTTTCTAAAAGTGTTGATCAGAACATTTTGAGTTACAAAAAGATAGTAAAGTATTCGTGGAATTTGACAATAAACTGAGTAAGTGTGCTAACTGATTTAATGTTAGGATAATGATCTTTTATAAACACTTACTGAATTTAAATTTGAGCTTGATTTGCATACTTCGATAACTATGATACAAATGGAAGAAAGAAATAACCATGTATAAACATGATGGAGTGGAAATGGATGTCAATCGACATTGAACGCAATTTGTAGATCATTGTAACGTCTTAATAATTCGTCGAAAAAATAAGACTCTTACCCTTTGCTTGGTTCTGTGAGTTCCCCTCCTTTTTCATTTCTGTTATAAAACAAACGAAATAATCTAATGTCTAAAATTTTTTTGAAAACGTTGCTCCTAGTTTTTTTTAATCATCATTATACATCAGAAACAGAAACTGTTCAATAACCTGATATGGGTATAAACGTAAAAACAAATAATATATGATCTAAATATAGCTTTAATCTCATTGGTCCAAACAGAAACCGACATTACAAATTATAAAATCATATTCACTAGTGTTGCATCAAGAATTGGAGTCACCAAATCTAGATATATATTGAGACTCATTTTCAATGACCATACATCGTAGACTGTTAATTCAACGTGCGCATTCTTTGTGGCATATTTCTTGATTAAAATATCATTACTCTACAATTATTGTTATAAGTTACATCGCAATTATTAGTATAATATGGAATTACTTTTATTTGCACAGCGTTCGCGTAGTCGTTGAACGCATGATGACATATTGTTAACTTTTTTTCTCGCGTTTCAATGAAACCGACAAAAGTTGCATTAGGTTACATTTAAGTCATGTAAGCCTGTTCATATAAAAACAAGTATTGACTAGTGAGCATTATACCCCCAGATGAGCTAAAATATTTCAAGAAATTCAATATTTAGAAAAATGTATTATGATCTTAAGAAAAGTAAAAAAGATTCATTATCTAATTCATTATTTATATGTTATGTGCGATTAATGACTGATTTTGCAGTATCAATCACTATAGTTTACTGCATTACTAACACAGTAAGAGGTATTTATATGTACTTTTACAAGCCTTTTTGGTAATTAACGTGCATAGTAAGTGCCGTGTGCAATGTGTTAATTACTTTCTTTGTTCACTTCACAGTATTTTATTTTTAAATACATTTTCAAAATTTTCATGAAAATTAGTATGAATATGGAGGCATGCTGCTTTAGATATGATGTGAAATTCATTGGCAGAAAATCAAATTGAACTCGGCTATCACCGCGGTCAATATATTATTATCTGTGGGTGAATAAAACATCATATTCATTGGCGCACTTATCAATTATTGTATAATATAATATTATTCGACAACACGATAACTACAAAACATATTGTAGAGAAAAGAAGTCGCAACTGGCGAAAATTAACAAATAAAGATATGATAACAAGAAAATATGCAGTACAGTATGCTGTATAAGTCACAAACGTTACGTGTAAGTTATTTCGTATATCATAAAGCTTCCTTAACATTCCAATTGATTCGAATATGTAAAAATAGTTCTCTATATAAATATATAATAGTTTGATAGTTATATAATATAAACTATAATAATATTAAGGATTACTCTTCTTTTGTTATTGCCACAGACGGAGCCATTTTTATATTCAGATAGATAAGTAGATGATACATTCTTTCATATAATAATATTTAATTTAGTACACATATTTAGAACATGTGTTCATAAACTTTGTAAAACGAAAGATTTATATTACAAAATAATGTCATAAGAAAAAATTGAATATTTGCATATTCAATCTTCTTCTTCTTTGTGTATATCTTCTCTATGATAAACATCAAAATAATTTGATGCTCAAATATTACTCTTAAATGACAGTTGGAATGCTGTATGAATGATTTCTTTGTAAAAAAAAAAATTCAATAAATCAATCTAAATATAAATATATAATTTTTTTGGGTAGATCTGTCGTAAAATGAAAATATTACCTTTTTTTCTGTGTTCTGTCTGCACATTTGTCGTTTGCGTCCGTTTCCGCGCTAAAATATAAACAAAATCAAATTTGGAGTTTGTATTACGAAAAATCATATCAGACTACTAAAGTGAAACTTATGCATAATAATGCTTAATATTTTCTTATACAAAGTGCATACCTATAAATTTTCTCCCTAAAATACACGTAAATCTTGAAGCGCAAATACGCTTCAACAGATAGAAATTTCCGAATTATGTTAGAGACAAATACGGTACCATATATGAAAGTGTTGGACTATTTTTGACGTTGGTTCCGATCTTAGCTTATTATAATATTGCATTTGGAAATGGGAACTTAAAGGCGTGGCCGGTTTTGCAAGAATTACGTATTCATCCGTCAGTCGTGAATTTATTTCTTGACAATTACATTTCATTTCTGAATAAAACGAAAAGGTATATAATAAAAGGAAATTATGTTGTAGTAAATTTCAGAGGCTATGTATTTTGCTACTCGCAACGTTGGAAAATTGATATATATTTACCTTCGGTCTCGCGAGATATCAATTTTTAACCGCTGCTCGTAGAAAAATACAAAGCCTCAGAAAGGTACTACAACAAAATAATCCGAATTTATACACATCGCCTTTGTGATCCACAATCGATATAAAAAAGTGATCAAATATCATTGAGGTTTTGTATTTACAACTGTCCTACAATTAAACTCTTACCCTTGGTTTGGTGTGAATTCTGTAGGTTTTCTATTTGCATCTGTATCTCCTCTATAAAACAACAAAAACACAATGATCATCAAATCTTAAAGATATTGTCTTTAGTTAATAATTATTGTATGTTCAAATTATAAAACGTATTTCGAGAGACACACTTTCATAATTATTCATGTCAATCAGCCATTTGGAACATACTTTTATATCATTAAATTTAAAAAAAAAACATTGATATTTATAATATGAGACTTACTCATCTTTCGCTTGTGTCACAGAAAATTCCGTTTCATTTTCAGTGATGTTCTCTCTATAGATAATAGAAAAGATTTTGTTATTCTACTTATATTTAGCAATATGTTAATAGCCTTTGTAGAACTTTAAATTAACGCTCGTATATTACAAATCATGTTATAATGCAGATTCCATCTTCCATATTCTTCATGCATATCACTTTTGTTATACACAATCAAAATAACGCTCAATTTTACACTGAAATGTGAGATAAAATATCGTATGACTGATCTAATTTGAAATACAAACAAATCAATAAATCAATCTTGATGTAATATAAATTTCATGACATTGAGTCAATCCATCGTAAAAAAACGCTTACTCTTGTTTTGATGTTCTTTTTCCAGATTTTCTGAAATACAAACGAAAAAAAAATCAATTCCCGAGATGTGACATCTTCAACAATTACATTGACTTATATCACCGTGTATATCCAGTAACGCAGGAATGTGGAAATAACCCATGAATCGTGCAACAATTACCCCGATTCTTAGCAATGATTTGTGTGGAATGAGTAAGCAATAAGTGAACAAGCAAAAGTTGTTTTATAAAAGAAATGAATAAGTAAATATGATATACGACTGCTATCACAATTGACAAATATTTTCAGGAATATGTTTACATTTTAAGTCATTCGTGAGAATGACAACCCGACTGCCGTCTGTGAGACGACCTTGACATTTGGCGAGATTAGGAACCATAATGCATTTTAAAACATTATGTTTTTGAAATTTTGTATACCATATTTTGCAAAACGTAATATAATAATAAAAAGAGGATATTTGTTTAGTTCAGTGTAAGATCGGAATATATTTCACCGAGTGAGCACCAAAAGGTATATTTCACGAGTGGGGCAGCCACGAGTGAAATGTGAACTTTTGGTGTTCACAAGGTGAATATATTTCGATCTTACACTAAACTAAACAAATTTTCTTTTTATTACATGCAAAGAAACGTTTTAAAAAGACATTAAACCTAATACTAAATGAAAAGCGCGCCAAATAATAATACAACGTGATTTCATTTACGACGTCACGTCATTAAGTTGGTACCCAGTACTGTGTACGCTGGTATTTCACCGAAACAACATAAGGGCGGCTTAAATTCAAAACAGTGAAATTACCAAGGTGGTAATTTCACTGTTTCAAACAGTGAAATTACCAATTTTATATCACTGATATATTTCTATAAACTACCGAGGCTGCACCAGCAGTTAATTTATTGACTGGCGTGACATTCCATTAAATAACGAAAAGCGTTTTCGCAATTTACTAGTGCTAATTTAATTAAAAGAATATTGTCCATACAAATTCATAATTTACGGTTTATTTCAAAGCTTTATATTCAAAACTCATTTCATTCCAGCATTGTTATGAGATTCAGTCTTCTCTTTTATCCACATCGCTTCGTAAAACACAATTGACATAAAATGTGGTCAAACATTATTGAAGTACCACTGCAGAATAAAACTCTTACCCTTGGTTCAGTGTTAAATCTGTAGGTTCTTCATTTGGTACTATACTATAAAACAACAAAAAAAAGAATCATCAAATATCAAATCTGTTGTCTATAGTTAATTTTTATTGAATGTTCGAAATGTAAAATGTATTCCGGCAGACATATCTTCATAATTATTCACGTCAATGAGCTATTTGCAACATTTTTTACACAAATATATATATTTTGATATTTTCAAAACTTCAATATTTATTATATAAAGACTAACTCTTCTTTTGCTGTGGTCACAGACGATTCCGTTTTATTTTCAGGGTAGACCTCCCTTTAGATAACAGAAAATATTTTTTTATTCCACAACTATAAATTTTATACTTTTATTTGGTTATGTGTCCATAAACTAAGTAAAGCTAAAGGTTTATATTACAAAATCATATCATATGAAAATGATAAAGAAATGGTAATTTACAGGATCCATCTTCTATTTCTTCATGCATATTACCTTCTGTGATAAACAGAAAAAGAAACAACAGTTCATGCTAAATATAACTCTGAAAAGAGAGTTGAAATGTTATATGGCTGATTTAGTTTAAAATACAAAATTAAGAACAAAATACTTAAAAAAAATCAATCTTAATGTTATATCTTGAATGTCTCGTAAAAACGCTTACTCTTGTTTTCGTGTTATTTCTGCATCTGCACCCCCACTGCAATACAAAAAAAAAAATCAAATCTCGAGATGTTACGTGTGCAACAATATCTTTGACTTATATCACTGTGTATATCCAGTAACGCAGGAATGTGGAAATAAACGATGAATCGTGCAATAATTACCCCGATTTTAAGCAATGATTTGACTGGAATGAGTAAGCAATAAGTGAACAAACCAAAGTTGTTTTATATAAAATCAAATTAAGAGAAATGAATAAGTAAATATGATATACGGCTGCTATCACAATTGACAAATATTCCAGGAATATGTTTACATTTTTAAGTCATTCGTGAGAATGACAACCCGACTGACGTCTTTAAGACGACCTTGACTTTTGACTGGAACGAGTAAGCGATAAGTAAACAACCAAATTATTTAATATAAAATCAAATTGAAAGAAATGAATAATCAAATATGTCATAAAGATGTTATGACAATAGACGAAAAGACGAATATTTCCAGGAATATGATTACATTTTTAAATCAATCGTGAGAATAAAAAAACTCGACTGCCATCTTAAAGACGACGTTGACTTTAGATGATATATTAGGAACAATAATGCATTTTAAAACATTATAGTTTTAATATTCGGTAATCTTATTTTGCAAAACGTCATATTATATTAAGAGGACATTTGCGGCATTTTATCATGTTTCGTGAAAATATTTACCATATTTCACGAAAAAAGAAAAAAACCTTTTTATTTAATTTCATTATAAAATGAAAATGGTTAGGAATTCCTTGCTTGCTACGCAACTGCAATTTGACAGCGCGCAGTAATGTATTGATTCTGTATTTGTACGCGCTGTTTGGCGCTACATTGTGACGTCACGTAAACATCTCTTTAAACGTCTGTACAGCGTTAAAGACTGAATTAAAGACATTGGTGTACGGATTCATTTTCTTAGTTAGACCATTTTCTACCATTCTTAATAGGTTTCAAAACAAATTTCAACAAAACGTTGTTTCTTTATCAATCAATTTTTTTAAACAAAATGGCGAAAGAAGTTCCTTAAAATAAATATAAATTTTGACTCCGCCCACTTTCATATTTATATTTCATAGTTATTTTCTTCAAATATGAAATATATTTGACAGATATAGCACCATATTTCATGGGTTAAATTAAATAATTCTCGGTATTATTTAACAAAATAAGATTCAATTACGTTTCATATAATTTTTAGGTAACTTTTAGTTAATTTTCTTTGTTTACTCGAATAATAAATGTTTTTGACAGACACATCTTCATAATTATTCATGTCAATCAGCTAGGAACATATGTCTTATACTAGGGATGTTCAAATTTGAACGCAACTAGTCCAATATTTCGCTTTTCACCACGTTATGCATGAACTATGTACATGTATCGCATAGATAGTTATGTAGGCTATTAATTAATACAATGCATGTGTAATTTAGTTCGCTCTTTCTTTGACAATAGCTCGATTCGTGTATACACAAGCTAAAATCGTCGGGAAAAGGAAACCAAATACGGTCCTATATCTAGAATCGCTATATTCTTGGTATACAGGCGTAAACATATTGAATGAAATATGTCTTGATTATGGTAACAATGGAATATCTTTTTCATCTGTCACACGATGGTGTAAGAGAGTTAAAAGTGGTGAGGATTTAATAAAAGATACACTTCATGAATGCCGTCGGAAACTACAATTTTGCCAAAAATGGATGAAAAAGTAAAGGATCTTATTACTTCTGATGCAAGGTTTACGGTTAAATGCGTTGGTATCTCTCTCCTCTAGGACCCGCTAATACAATTTCCAGACGTGATTGGGAATGAGAAATATAAGTGCCAGATGGATACTCCATCTCCTTACAAAAGAGCAAAATCTTGCTACCGGGAGAATGTGGAATTAACATAGGAATCGCGAAACAGATACGCCGATTCTTTGCAATGATATGGCTGGAACAGGGAAGCGATCAATAAACAAACCAAACTATTTTATATAAAATAAAATTAAATGAAATGAAAAAGCAAATATAATATACGGCTGCTATGACAATAGACAAATATTTCTAGGAATAGTTTTAAATTTTTAAATCATTCGTGAGAATGATAACCCGACTTCCGTTTTGAAGATGACTTTTGACGTTTGACAATATATTAAGAACAATTATGCGTTTTAAAAAATTAAAGTTTAAATAATTTTCAAGACGTCATATAATATCAAACGGTTTTAAACAAGATAAGATTCATTTACATTTAATATAACTATGAGGTAAGATATATTGTTTCCAACTGACCACCTTATAAAAATTACTATTATTTTTTAGAATATCTCCATATTCAATTTGACTTTAAATTTAAACTCTTACCCTTGGTTTGGTGGTAATTCTGTAGGTTCTCCTTTTGCAACTACACTATAAAACAACAAAAACACAATCATCAAACCTTAAAAATGTTGTCTATAGTTAATTCTTATTGTATGTTCAAATATTAAAACGTATTTCGACAGACACATCTTTATAATTATTTATGTCAATTCGTTTATTAGCTATTTGGAACATATTCTTACATGAATTTATCACATTTTGAAATTTTGAAAAACATTTATATCTGTAAAATAAAGAGTTTTGACATTTTTTTAATTACTGTTTATAATACATGTATTAAGACTTACTCTTTCTTTGCGTTTGCCAAAGAAGAACTCATTTCATTTTCAGTGGTGACCTCCCTTTAGATAACAGAAAATATGCTTTTATTCCACAAATATTAAGTTTCCACTTATATTTAGCAATATGTTAATACACTTTGTAGAACTCATATGAGAATATTAAAGAGGTGGTTGATTGCAGATTTCATACTCTGTTTCTTCATGCATATCATCTCTGTGATAAACAAACAAACTATCGCAATCCTCAATATGTCTGTCAAAAGGGAGTTGTAATGTCATATGACTGATCGTATTTGAAATACACAATAAGAGTGCCAATGTGGCCCTAGAGCGCTAACCTGACCTATTGAACTCATTCGAGCAATTACTAATACAAACATCCTGACCAAGTTTGATAACAATTGTATAACAAATGTGACAACTAGAGTGAAAACAAGGTTTTCCATGTTTGGGTAGTGTGACCTTGTTTTGGTGCCAGTTAACCCATATTCGAACTAAACCTAGGACTCATCTTAACAAACTTGGAGACTAATTTCCAAGTTAATTGTATAGCAATAGTAGCCGTTAGAGAGTTTACAAGATTTTTTTTCTAAAACCTGTGACTTAGTTTTTCATCAGAGATGACCCATGTTCAATCTCCTCCGATCAATTAATTAACAACCATCCTGAACAAATTTGATGACAGTTGTGTAAAAAATGTGACCACTACAGTGTAAACAATGTTTGTGCTAAATTTGGGCGGTGTGAAATTGTTTTTGACCCCAGGTGACCATGTTAGAACTTGATCTAGAAATAATCAAAACAAACTATCAAACTAATTTCATGGATATTTGAATACAAAAAGTAGCTACCAAAGCCTTAACAGGTATTTCTATATTAAGCTCTTGTGACCTAGTTTTTCATTTGAAATGACCCATGTTCGAACTCATTCAAGCAATTACTTAGACAAGCATTTTGACAAAGTTTGATGATGATTTAGGCAAGAATGTGACCACTACAGTGTTAACAAGGTTTATCCATATTTGGGCGGTGTGACCTAGTTTTTGATCGCAAGTGACCCCTATTCAAACTTGACCTAGAAATCATTAAAACTATCAAGCTAATTGCCAGGATATTTGGATAACAACATTAGCCACTAGAATGTTAACAAGATATTTCTATTTTTAACTCCTGTAAACCTAGTTTTTCATCAGTGTTGACCCATGGATTAAGTTTAGTGACAATTGAGTCAACAATTTGACCACTAGAGTATTAACAAGGTTTTCTATATTTGGGCAGTGAGACCTAGTATTAGACCCTAGGTGACCCAAAAATTATCAGACTAATTTTTCCTAATATTTTGATTAAAACAGTAGTCACTAGAGTGTTTACATCTTTTTCTATTTTTAGCTCATGTGACCTTGTTTTTGAACCGAGAACATGTTCGAACTAGTCCGAGCAATTACCTAGACAAGTATGGTGACAAATTTGATGATGATTAAGGCAAACTTGTGGCGACTAGAGTGTTAACAAACAGATGTGAACGGTTTACGGACGACAGACGACAGACATTAAACGATCCTTAAAGCTAGACGTGAGCTCAAAACCTCAATAAATCAATCTAAAGTTTATGTTCGCAATAAAGGCGTAAACGCGTGCGATGATGTTCTTTCTGCAGATTCTCCCTCTGCAAACCAATCCTAGTTAAGATAAAAACGAAAATAATTAAATCTCGTGATGTAACATGTACAACATTTACATAACATATATCACTGTGTATATCCAGTAACACAGGAATTTGGAAATAACGCGGGAATCGTGAAACAATTACACTGAATCTTACAAATTATATGGCTGGAACGAGTAAGCGATAAGTGAACAAACCAAACTGTTAATGTAAAATCATATTGACAGAAATGAATAAGCAAATATGTTAAACGGCTGCTATGCCAATAGACAAACATTTTCAGGAATATGTTTACATTTTTAAATCGTTCGTGAGAATGACAACCCGACTGCCGCCATGAAGAAGACTTTTGACGTGATAATATATTAAGAACTTTTATGCATTATGAAACATTGCAGTTTTAATATTCGTTATAAATTATTTTGCAAAACACTATATAATATACAAAATAAGGTTTTTGTACGTCTTTTATAATTATGAAATAAAATCTCTACTTTTTTTCAAACGAACCAACTTCCAAAAATATTTCTTTATTCATTAGTAAACCTCCATATTCCAATTGAATTGATGAAATGGTGCAATAATTTAACACATTTCTTGATGAATATTTTATCTATTCTAATTTGACATTCTTTAAACATAATAATGATATTAAAATCTTACTCCTCATTTGAGGCTGCATCAGCAGTTAATTTATTGTCTGGCGTGTCATCCCTATCAAAAACGAATAGCATGTTTGCAATTACAAATTTTATTTCTAAAATATTGTCCATTCCAATAACTTCATAATCATTGCATAACTAACCTTTTGTCAAATCTTTATATTCAAAACTTATTCCATTCCAGAATGGTAACGAGATTAAGTCTATTCTTTTATCGACATAGATTTTGGGATACACAATCGAGATAAATAGTGGTCAGATATTGTTGAAGGTTTGTATTTATGCTGCTACATTAGATTAAAACTCATACCCTCGGTTCGGTTTAAATATTGCATCTGTGTCTCCGCTTTAAAACAACAAGAACACAATAATCAAATCAAAAATATGTTGTCTATAGTAAATTCTTATTGTATGCTCGAATTATAAAACGTATTTCGACAGACACATCACCATAATTATTCATGTCAATTAGCGTTTTGGAACATATTTTTCATATAAAATACGCGTATATTGTTATTTTTAAAACATAAATATTTTTAATATTAAGATTTACTCTTTTGCTGGTGTCGCTGAAGATTCCTTTTCAGTTTCATGGGTGTCCTTCCTATAGATAATAGAATTTTGTTTTAATTCCTCAAATATTGATTTTCTTCTTATATTTTGCAATGTGGTCATAACCTATGTAAAACTAAAGGTTTATATTACAAAATCTTGTCATATGAGAATATTTAGGAGATGGTTATTTGCAAATTTCATTTTCTTTTCCTTCATGCTTATCACCTGTGCGATAAACAATCAATATAATGTGATGTAATTAAAGTTTATGCTTTTAAAACAATCCGTCGTACAAAAACGTTTACGTTTGCTTTAGAGTTCTTTCTGCAGATGTTTTCTCTGCAGCGGTTTCCGCACTAAAATACAAACAAAAATAATCAAATCTCGAGATGTTACAAGTGCAAGTTGACATATATCATCGTTTATATCCAGTAACGCGGGAATGTCGAAATAACGCGGGAATCGTGCAACAATTACGCCGATTTTGAGCAATGATATGGTTGGAACAAGAAAGCGATTATATAAAATAAAATTAAAAGAAATGAACAAGCAAATGTGTTATACGGCTGCTATGACAATAGACCACATTTCCAGAAATGTGGCTACATTTTTAAATCATTCATGGGAATCACAACCCGACTTCCATTTTGAGGACGATTTTTGACTTTTGACGATATATTAAGAACAGTAATGCATTTTAAAACATTATATTTTTGATATTCGGTATACCTTATTTCGCAAATTAACTTGCATGATATAATATTAACAAACAAAATAAGATTCAATCAAGTACATTTTATTAGGTGAAATAAACTAGTTTAAATATATCATTTCTTTATTAATATGAAAACCACGATATTTCAAATGAATTGATGAAAATGTGAAATAATAAATTCATAGCTAACGGTTTATTTCAATGATTTATCTCAAAACCTCATTTCATTCGAGAATAATAATGAAATTTTCCTTTATCCACATTGTCTTTGTGACACACAATCGAACTAAAATTGTGGTCAAACATTATTCAAATTTTGTATTTACGGTACTGATTTTGTTTGTTATACAAAAATAATAAATCAATCTTAGTTAAAAAAAGTATATTACTATGTACCAATTTGGCGTATAATAAATCTCTTACCTTTGGTTTGGTGTTATTTTGGTAGCTTCTCCATTTGCAACTGTATCCCCCCTATAATACAAAAGCACAACTAGCATCGAATCTCACAGATATTGGCTTTAGTTATTTCTTATTGTATGTTCTAAATATAAAATGTATAATTATTCATATCAATTAACTATCTGGAATTTATTTCTCTAAATAGATATATTATTTTTTGATATGTTTAAAACATTAAGAAGAACAATATTAAGGCTTACTCTTGTTTTGCTGGTGTCACAGAAGAATCCAGTATTTCCCTAAAGATAATACAAATCAAAGATATTTTCATTCAACATATATCAATTTCGGCACAAATTAGCAAATGTGCTTATAAACTATGTAAAACAAAAAGATTTATGTTGCGAAAAATAATTTCAGAGTATTCAAGTGAAACTTATTCATGATTCCGTACTTTTTCATGCATATCACCTCTGTGAGTAACAATTAACAATCGACAATAACGTGATGCACAAGATTACTATGAAAAGAGAGTTGAAATGCCGTATGACCGATTGTATTTAGAAAATGAAAAAAAAACAAAAAAACAAATAAAAGCTAAATGCACCAATATTAATGAAAATAAAAGTTATTTCTTCAAACAATTAGTCGTTAAATAAAACCTCTTACCCTTGTTTTTGTGTTTCTGAAGTCTCTTTCTCTGCACCTTGATCTGTGCTAAAATACAATCAAAAGAATAATCAAATTTCGAGATGTTGAATGTGCAAACAATTTAATTTGCTTATATCAACGTGTATATCTAGTACCACAGGAATGTAGGAATAACGCAAATATCCTGCAAAAAACGCCGATTTTGTGCCAAGCTATGACTGAAAAGAGTAAGCGTAAATAATCAATATATTCAAATTATTTTATATTAATTCAAACTTTAAAAAACAAATAAGAAAATATACGGCTGTTATGACAATAGCTGAATCATCATTACAAATATTTCCAGGAATATGATTACTTCTTAAGATCATTCGTAAGAGTGCAAATCTGACTATCATCTTGAAGACAACTTTTTATTTTCGTCGATAACATTTCGAACAGTAATGCATTTAACCAAAATATGATTCTAGTACCTTTTATGACGTAATCAACACCGTTGCTTAAGTGCATATCGTACGAAATCATCGGCAATTTATTGTAAAACTTTGTTAAACACATATTGTCTACAGATTGGAATGAAATATTACACTAGAAGTTTGGCATATGTTTTAGGTATACTGAAAATTAAACAAAAAATGTTTTAAGGGTACAATGCAACATTATTAGCAAATTAAAATTATTCTAATTGTATTCATAGAAATGTGCAACAATCTAACATATTCCTTGATAGATATTTTATCTATTCTTATTTGACATTCTTTAAATCAAAGACTTACTCTTTGTTTGAGGCTGCACCAGCAGTTACTGTTTTGTCTGGCGTTCCATCCCTATAAATAACGAAAAGCATTTTTGCAATCACTATTGCTTTCTTAAATATTGTCCATTCCAATAACTTCATAATCATTGCATAACTAACGGTTTAGTTCAAAGCTTAATATTAAAAACTCATTTCATTTATAATTGTAATGAGATTATAACTTGTCTTTTATCCACACAATATAAAAAGTGGTCAGACATTATTGAAGTTTTTTCTTTACGCTACTTTACGCAAAGACTTACTCTTCTTTCGAGGCTTCGTTAGGCGTGCCATCTCTTTAAAAAACGTAAAGCAATTTTTGCAATTACTTATTTCATTTCTAGAATATTGTCAATACAAAACAATCGATTAATAACAAACGTTTTCTTCAACGTTTTTTTATTCAAAAATTCTTTATTCCAGAATGGTAATGAGATTCAATATTCTCTTTTATCCACATCGTCATTGTAATACACAATCGAGGCAAATATTATTGAAGTTTTGTATATACGCTACTGCCGAAAATAAAAACTTTTACCCTTGGTTTGGTGGTAATTCTGTAGGTTCTCCTTTTGCAACTACACTATAAAACAACAAATACGCAATCATCAAATCTCAAAAATGTTGTCTATAGTCAATTCATATTGTATGTTCAAATATTAAAACGTATTTCGACAGACACATCTTCATAATTATTCATGTCTATTAGCTATTTTGAACATGTTTTTTTTTATATAAATATATTATATTTTGATATTTTTAAAACATTAATATTTATAATATTTAGACTTACTCTTCTTTTGCTGTTGTCACAGAAGATTCCATATTATTATCAGCGATGTCCTTCCTTTAGATAACAGAAGATTTTTTTTATCCCACAAATAATAATTTTCTAATTATATTTAGCAATGTGTCCATAAACTATGTAAAGTTTAAGGTTTATATTACAAAATCACGTCATATGAGAATATTTAAGAGATGGTTATTTGCAGTTCCCATCTTCTCTTTCATGCATATTACCTCTGTGATCTACAAAAAAGGCCATGCTCATTATTACTCTAAATTGAGAGTTAAAATGTCGTATGACTGATCTGATTTAAAATAAAAAAGCCTGAATGAACCAATCTAAATGTAAAGAAAATTGTGTCTTTGAAACAATCTGTCGTAAAAAAGAATCGCTTACGCTTGGTTTAGAGTTCTTTCTGCAGATGTTTCTTCTGCATCGGTATCCGCACTAGAATACAAACGAAAAATGTTAAAATAACGCAGGAATCGTGCAACAGTCATGCCGATTCTGAACAAACATATGGTTGGAACGAGTAAGCAGTTAGTAATCAAACCAAACTATTGTATATGAAACCAAATTAAAAGAAATGAATAAGCAAATATGTTATACGAGTGTTATGGCAATATATAAGTATTTCCAAGAATATGTTTACATTTTAAAATCATTAGAGAGAATGACAACCCGACTGCCATCTTGAAGACGACTTTGATATTTGACGATATATTAAGAACAATAATGCATTTCAAAACATTATAGCTTTGGTATTCTGTATAACTTATTTTGTAAAACTACAAGTGTCATATAATATTAAATGGTAGCACACACAATGAGATGCAAGTCTTTTGTGAGGTGAAATAAACTTTTCTCCAACATAGCATCTTCTAAATTTATTTCATTTTTTATTAGAAAACCTCCATATTTCAATTGAATTGATGAAAATGTGCAATAATCAATTCATAACTAACGGTTTATTTCAATGATTTATATCTAAATCTCATTCATTCTAGAATTATTATGAGATTCTCTTTTATCCACATAGTCTTTGTGATATACAATCGAAATAAAATAGTGGTCAAACATTATTCAAATTTTGAATTAACGGTACTGATTTTGTTTGTCATAGAAAAAATAAATCTATCTTAGTTTAAATAAGGTTAACTACTATTAAGCAAAATAAGATAAAACAATTATCCTTGGTTTTGTGTTATTTCTGTAGGTCTCCTTTTAAGCTGTCTAGAGTGAATTTCTATTGTATGCTCTAATTATAAAAGGTATTTCGATAGACAAATTTTCATTATTATTCATGCAAATTATCAATCTGGAACATATTTTGTTTTATTTTGATATATTTAAAACAATATAAATAATAATATTTAGGCTTACTTTTTGTTTGCTGGTGTCACAGGAGAATCAATTTTATTGTCAGGGGTGTCCTCCCTATAGATATTAGATTTTTTTTTTATTTCACAAATATTTATTTTCTAAAAACATTTAGCAAATATGTTCAATAAATATGTCAAACTAAAGGTTTATATCACAACACCTTGTCATACGAAAATATTAAAGAGATATTTATTTGCAGATTCTATGTTCTTTTTCTTCATGAGTATCACCTCTGTGATAAACATTCGAAATAACGTTATGCTCAATAAAACTGTTAAAAGATAGTAAACATCTCGAATTACTGATTTAATTTAAAATAAAAAACTCTTAATGAATCAATCTTAAAGTAAAAGTTACGTTGAGACAAGCTGTCTTAAAATAAAACGCTCACGCTTTTTTTGGAGTTCTTTCTGCAGACTTTTCTTCTGCACCTGTATCTGCGCTAAAATACAAAAGAAAACAAAAATCAAATCTCGAGATGTTACATTTGCAACAATTACATTGACTTTATAACCGTGTATATCCCGTAACGGGGGAAATAACGCAGGAATCGTGCGGAAGTTACGCCGATTCTGAACAATGATATGGCTGGAACAAGTAAGCTATTTTTGAACTTTATAAAAATCAAATTTAAAGAAATGAATAAAGAAATTTGTAAACGGCTGCTATTAAATGAGTATGGACTATATACTGTTTCTTGATATCTTTTATTAATCAAGTATGACATATAGAATGATGGAGATCTGAAACATATACATACGAAAGGGTAAGTGATGGAATGAAACAATAATCATTTATGTATATTCAGCTTATGCATTAATACAGATAAGACGTTAATAAGATGGAGACAATGCTACTTACAACGTAAATAAGATGAAACACTACGCATATGATTATTGACCAATTTTGTATTACAAATGGTGTAAGTAAGAAAAGGGGAGCTAACTATATGATGTCCAAATAATACACCAGAGTAAAAGGGAAGTAACTAATAGCGTATATTCTTCTATCCCCTCCTGAGTCATTGGTGAATCCCTGTGAACAATGGCTGTTAAAATATAAGTTCTTCTGAATGCAGCTAATCTGCCATTGATTATAAATGTTCTTTACACTAGTAACCAGTGATCAATATATAGAACAAATTTAATTGCTACTTGCAACTTACTGATTTTTCAACAAATTGTAGACTGTATTTAGGTAAAAATCAAGCACTTCAATAATCACTCACTTATTTTGATTTATGTCAAGGTAAACACAGAAATTTTAATGAACACTTATGGTGGGTCGGCCTTCTCAGGGTTAGACTGCCCTCCAGCCGGGGGATTATTTTGCCCCGTTATCAACTGCACATAATCCTGTAACCATCCTGGTTTCACACTCGGTCTCTTGGAACGTCGTAGAGTCATAGGTGTGGTTGGTGCGGTTGGCTAAACTGGTTGTTCTTGAAAGGTTGATGTAGGCTGAGGTGTAGGTAATGTGGGTATGGCATCTGAAGTAGAAGGGACCTGTTTGCAATCTGGGCTATTACACATAGTGTCTGGGGAATCGACAGGCGTGTAACTTGTAAGTTCACTACGGTGAACTGGTGAGGTATCAATTCTAGTGGTACTCATGTCTGAATTTTTGGAAGTGGTTCCGGGTATCAGCCGTGTCTGCAGGAGAGTTGTCTGAGGTAAAGGTGTTTTTGACAAACTCTGTAAATCAGTCGCAATAGTTCGGCGTGCTGGGGGTTTGTACACAGGTGTTTAACGACGGAGGAACTTCCTGTTGCGTAGCGTCATTCGCCCAGTATCATCAGTTCGTACGGCATATTGGTCAAATTGATGGACTTCAATGATCTGACCTGTTTAATCCAGTTTAGAGGGTGACCACCAGTCTGGTTTTGAATTCTTACGTAGTCATCAACTTTTTGTGGTGGTAGTCGTTTGGTATGTTCACTGAGGCGTTCCCCCTGATTTATATGTCTATTTCTGAGGGCAGCCTCGCGTAAAAGTAAAGTGTCTTGCCATGTATCATGAGGTAAGTAACGACCCGGAAGAATGGGAATGAAGTCTTTCACAGCACGATCGAATACACACATAGCAGGAGAAAGTTTTGTATCCCGATCAGGGGTGTTTCGATACTGCAAAATGGCGCGCTGGAAAGCATCAGTGTTAAATTCGCCATTTTGGCCGGTGTTGTCAGTTATCATGCGCTTAACCGTTTTGACACCAACCTCTGCTCTACAGTTACTGTGTGGGAATGCCACCGAAGACAGTCTGTGGTGTACACCCAAGTGTTCAAGAAGTCTCGAGTTGCAGTCGAAGTGAACTCTGAGCCCCCATCTGAGACCAGTTCATCTGGAATTCCAAAAGTAACGAATGTTTTTCGCAAACTGTCAATTAGACCAGCTGAACCATTGGCAGATCTTTCTACGATGGGCCAGTTTGAATACCTGTCCACTATCACAAGGTAATTCACACCCTTGTAATGAAAAAAAGTCGGCGAATAAACATTAAAACGGGTATTGGGCATAAACTAGTGGTGTTGGAGGAGGAATGGGCTGGGAAGGTGCCATACGATTACAATGTAAGCAATTATTCCTTATACTTGTGATGTCAGCAGTTATTCCTGGCCAGAAGACAGACTGCTCAGCTCTTGATGTCATTGATGTTACACCTTGATGAACCGAATGAAGGGAGGTAAGTATATCCTGTCTCAGGGAAGGGGGAATCACCAGTCGGTCTTTGAAGATGGCGACGCTATCAACTGTGGACAAATGGTCTCTAAAAGGGAAGAAATCTTGTAGGGAAGGCGGGAAGGCTTAACGAGTGGCTAGGACACCCGTTTCTATAAGTTCAACAAGTTGGTGCATAGATTCATCACTCGATATAGCTGTGCGAACTTTGTCCCATGTTACACATTTCAAGTTGAATTGAATTAACAGCTGATAAATATATGTAAGACTCATTGTTTAGGGATACTGATGAGATGTCATCAATGAGTACCATTAGTTCTGCATCTCCGGTCGGGTAGCGCGAAACGGCATCTGGTGCTCGGTTCTTGGCACCTGGCACATATAGCATCTTAAACTTGTATCGAAGCGTCTTTTCCTTCAAGTTGCGAAGACGTGCGTTTGGGATATTTTCTAAAGACCTATCTCCAAATAGTTTCAACAATGGTTTATGATCCACTGCTATCGCTAGGTTATCACATCCAATTACAAAGTATCGAGCTTTCTCAAGGGCATCAGCTACAGCTAAAGCTTCACCCTCGACTGGTGCATATCGCGATTATGTAGCACTAGTGAATCTGCTTCCAACTAAAGTGATTTTCCACCCATCATTACAACAGAACGGTCTGGTTTGGGCACATTCACAGTGTTTTTGGAATAACTAGAATCCTATTCCATTTTTAGACCAATCCGTTGCTAGGCAAGTCGGCTTAGTGGGATCAAATATTTGCACACCGTTTTCAATCTCGTTGATAATCACAGATTTTGACTCCTGGAAGAGGTCATCTAAGGTTGAGTCCCACTTAAAAGGTGTACTTGGTTTAAGTAACTGACGGAATGGAAACATGCGGTCTGTCATACTGAACGCGTAAGAAACTTGGTTGATAAGACCGAACCATGATCGTACATCAGTAATGTTCTTGGGTGTTGGGAATTCAAGAATTGCATGGATATATCTTGCACATGGGCGAACACTTTCTGGTGTTATTTCAAAACCAGCAAATTCCAGAGTGTCCTGGGCAAATACAACTTATGAGGATTAAGTGTTATGCTTTGTCCACATATGTCGAGCCATTTATATGCTTGAAAAAAGCTTTTTTCAATATTGTAAGCCTATAATAGAGTGTCATCTATACATTTTGTCTTCTTTGGGATGTCACTGACAATCTCATCGAAGCGCCGAGTGTATCCATCGCCTGAAGCGACATATCCATGCGGGGCAGTAAGGTATCGGTATCGACCCAATGGAGTAATAAATGTGATAAGGTGCCTGTCTGCTTGACGCAGAAGTACACTGTGATACCCATTCCAGGCATCAAATACTGTCTTCTTTGTACCCTGTGGAACTGATCGTGCTTGGTGGAATGGAGCCTGAATATGGTGTGTTTCTCGGACGGCATGCGCGTTTAAGGCCTGAAAGTCTACCGTACGTCTAGGTGTTTCATTTTTCTTGGCACATACTACCATGCGGTGGCACCAAGTGACTGGTTCTCCTATTGGGACGGGTTCAATCACACCTAGTCTCACATCCTAATCAAGCCCAGCTTTAACCTCCTCCTGCCAATGGAGTGGAACTGGAACAGGGGTATGATAAGCCACAGGCTTAGCTTCAGCGTCTACCATAAGTTGCATAGGTGGTCCTGTCATAAGTGGTAAGGTCTGGTGCTCACAAGTATTAAATGTACTTGACTTGTACCTATTCAAGAGGTACTGTTGTAAGTCCATTACATGTTCTTCTGTTGCAGGAAACGGTAACTTTGTTGGTAAAGGAGGTGGGGGTTGTCGTTTCGGACAGTCACACAAATGAGCATCAAAACTGGTATGAAGCGATTCTGGTGGTATGCGACTGGTTGTTTCACAGTCTATTGATAAAAGCTTGTCATCGACAGCGTTGTTTAGGGCATCCGTTGATGAGCATGTTATCGTTTCACCAAGTTTTGGGAATGACTCTGATATAATAACCATATAGTAACTGCTGGGAAATATCTTGTCTGAGTTGTTGGTGATGTAGAATCAAGACATGACTTTGGAGGAAGCTTTTAATGTTGTTGAAGCAAAAGAATCTGGAAAACGCTCGGATTCTAAGTTGATTGACTCTCAAGGTGCTGAAGCTGCAAGGTCGTATCGCCGTGAAAAAAATCTTGCACAACGAGCAAAGAGTCAAGAACATCCAAAGAAATTCAATCCACGTGAATTGTGCTCTTATTGTGGCAAAAATGGACACGGTGTGCGAGCCCCAGCCTTTATTCGTAAAAACGAGTGTACTGCTTATTGACAGACATGTTCGAAATGTAAACGCCCGAACCATTTTTCGTCGATGTGTAGATCCTCAGCGAAGAAACAATTTACCGAACATGAAGGTGCTGTCTTTGATTCATTGTGCTCAGTCACTGAATACAATTCATTTTACGACCGGAAAGGTCTGGTTCTAGACCACCACGTATACGATGACATCTCGGACAAATGGACAAAATGTGCATCTAAACCCCAACCTTTCCTAAAACTCATTGCAGAAAGTGTACTTGATGACTACAAAACGTTTGGATCAAGCTTCCCATCTAAACCTAAGACCACGATAGTATCCGCCATGGCAGATACTGGCTGCCAAAGTTGCCTTGCAGTAATAAAAGTTGTCAATCGCTTGGGTATGACTGAAAAGAATCTCATACCAGTAACAATGAAAATACATGCTGCAAACAATAGAGGTATAAGGATACTTGGTGCAGCAATCATCCGCTTCTCTGCTGAGTCGTCTAATGGAACTGTACTCCAGACTCGCCAAATCGTCTACATTTTTAATTCATTCGTGAGGATGACAACCCGACTCAAAAAAATTGGCTTTACTTGTTAATTTCTTTCTTTCTTTTCTTTGCTATAGATTGAAATAATTTTGGATAGCATTTAAAGTATTAAAAAATGAACACATTGAACACAATTTTTCGTAAAATAAAGGATTTACCCTTGATTTTGTGTCATTTCTGTAGCAGATTTTCCCTGTACATCTGTATTTTGGCTATAATACAAACAAATAAAAGCAACATTATGCTTATGTTTTCGCTGCCAATCTTAGCTGAATTAGTAATATACTAAACACAATCCCCTGTATTTAAAAACAGATATACACAAATATGAAAATTAGGATTAAAGAAGATTTATATGTATTGACAGGGTATGTTATTGCGTTTTGTTGTGAAAACATCATTGCTATGGGTTTATCCAGTTTATGAAGTTGTGAAATGGTATTTAAATTGCATAATCCGCCCAACAAAATCACAAATAAATTTCGGATATGACCACTTTGAGCATCAAGGACTGCCTGTTATCGTTGACATATAGAACAAATCAGCGTATTGATTTCGGTTTGTGTAATGTTGTTTCATTTCTGAAAGGTTTGTCTTAGCTGAATGACGTTTGACGGCAGAAAAGGCCGACGTCTTACACGCTGGTCCAAATTATCCCAAAGGTGTTCAATGGGATCTAGATCAGGGCTTTTGGCAGGCCAGGTATTAATAAATACAATGTTATTCGCCTTTGAAAATTCACAGCGTCCCTAGCTGTATGGCTTGTTGCATTATTATGTTTAGAAGAGTGATATTAGCATCATTTGAAACAGTGGGAATATATGCCTCGCAAGAATTTCAACTCGGTAGCGTTGCACATTCAAATTCCCGAGACGGACGAGATAAGTGCGAGAGCCAAGTGCATTGCCGGCCCAGACAGAACATCCACCCTTAAAATGATCTCAGCAATCGGCATGACGTTCATTTCTTCTACGGTAAACCCGCATCAGCTAGATAAATGTAAAATTTTGACACGTCAGGGCAAAGAACGCTATTCTATTACAATCTAAGCCAGCGTTGGTGTGTAACACGATTTAAGCAGCGATTTATTATCGACTTTTCGCTTGGAGGGATCGCGGGACGAAAACACGCAAATAAGTGGTGGCGCGCGGCGAAGTTTTATTTATTAACCGCGCTAATTCGCGTATTGTCGTCCCGCGACCCCGCCGTTTATTTTTTTTTATAAATCTTCGCCCGCGCCCTCGCTAATTAGCGTGTTTTCGCTCTGCGATCCCGCCATTTTAACTTAATTCTCGACTTTTCGCTTGGCGGGGTCGCGGGACGAAAACATGATAATAAGCGGGGGCGCGCGGCGAAGTTTTATTTATTCAACTTCGCCCCGCGACCGCGCTAATTAGCGTATTTTTGTCCCGCTACCCCGCCGTTTATTTTTTTGAATTTCGTTTCGCGCTCCCGCGGAACGAAATTTCATTTATAAATCTTCGCCCCGCGCCCTCGCTAATACGCGGGTTTTCGCTCCGCATCCCCGCCATTTTAACTTGTTAATTCTCGACATTTCGCTTTTCGGAGTCGCGGAACGAAAACACGCTAAATAGCGGGGCGCGCAGCGAATTTCTATTTGTTTTATTTTTTTTCCTTTATGAAAATCGAAGTTTTATTTATTAAACTTTGCCCTGCGACCACGCTAAATAGCGTGTTTTCGTCCCGCAACCCCGTCGTTTTATTTCTTAAATCTCGCTCCGCGTGGCCACGCGGGACGAAGTTTTATTTATTAAACTTCGCCCCGCTCCCCCGCTAATTAGCGTGTTTTGGCCCCGCGCCCCCGCCATTTTATGTTGTTAATTTTTGGATTTTCGCTTGGCGGGGTCGCGGGGCGAAAACACGAATGGCACAAATCAGCCACCATATAACTCAATACAGGATGTTAAAAAGCTAACCAGGAAGAAATAATATAATATGCTCGATAGTTATTTCCAATAATTCACCGCACATTTTTGGAAATCAGATAACATTGTTTTTTCTCTTCATGAAAATCGATTTCCTGAAAAAGGAATTAATTTGACCCTTGCTTGTGCGTAATGACATGTTTGTCACGAAAGAAAAATAAGTATTTAATCGGGTATGTTATTTCAAATAAATGATGACGAATAAAAAGGAAGAAAGCAAATGATATGATGTCTGATATAATGGTGAACATTCAAACATGAAATATGTAATACTTATATATATAGTATAGATATGTTTTACAAGGTAGTTTCTAGTCACGTGAAAATAGAAATCTGATTTGATAACAAGACAAGAAAGTGTCAGTCTTACATATTCGTCCCATTTTCCTGTTCCGATTCCATTTGTCACGTTTTCTTTGAAACTGATTAAATCAGTTATTTGTTTCAGCAAACGTCTGTAGATGCCCTGAATTAACATTAAAATAATAAGTGTTGGTATTCATGCCTATTAAGCATGTATGATAAACATCCGTAAATGGTCCTCAGTACTTAGGCGCTCGCTCGTCCCCGTGGTCTTCCTCAACCAGTAAAGCGGAAAAAGAAGCCATATGAACGCTACTATGTTGAGCACTCAACCTCAACAAAAACAACTAAACCCCTACGTGCTACTTGTCCTTATTGTAATGATTTATGATAGTCAAGAAGGAAAACATGTATAATATATACTGAAAAAATCGTTTGAATCAAATGAACCATTTGCTTTTATGTAAAATATAATGTGATAAAATGAACGGTAAAATAATTGTAACTTCTGAGCATTTACGAATGTCTTACGCCCCCTTTAACTTCCCCTGATTTAAACTAAATTGTATCGTGCAGTCTTCTTTACTTCATGACAAATATTTCAATATTTAAATTGTAAACATTAACTTACCTTCTAATATCAAAAATAAAGTCTTTAGAATCGTGAAACTCTTGTTAAACTGTGTTCAATCGCACACCACCACTATGTGACGATCTCAGATAATTAACCTTCCTCTTTCGTTTTCGATGAATTCAGTTAAGACATAAATCTCCTAATGTAAACATACAATAATCATAAACCTGACGTTTATCTTTGTTTACTACTGCATGAATCGTTAGCGTGTTTAAACCGGTCACACGATATCTATTTTACGCTTGTTTAAAATTATGCGACGAGATATATAAACATATTTCTGTGTAATATTTGTAAATAGTACTTTAGAAATAAAGAAAAGAGAAACTCAATCTATTACGAATTATATTCATTAGGCAAACGTTGTTAATATATTTACGCTAAAATAGTGTAAATTTGGTAGTATATTTTCATGATTAACAAAGAATAATATAGAGGATATTTGTTAAGTTCAGTGTAAGATCGAAATATATTTCACCGAGTGAGCACCAAAAGGTATATTTCACGAGTGGCGCAGCCACGAGTGAAATATGAACTTTTGGTGTTCACAAGGTGAAATATATTTGATCTTACACTAAACTAAACAAATTTTCTTTTTATTATATGCAAATAAACGTTTTAAAAAGACCTAAGTTCTTAAGTCCTATATAGTATGGCCACGTTTAACCGTATTTGTCAGAGACCAAACATGTAAAATAGTGACAAAAATTCGACCGTTTATGTTTTACATACATGTGTGATATATTCGGCAGCAAATTGCACGAACATGGACGAATATAACACATAACTCTCAATGACGGCACTTGGAATTACTCTGGCACATGGCAGAATAGACAAAAACAAAGGAAAACGTAACTTTTCCCATTACTTGCATTCTGTTAACATTTTTGTTTACATTTAAACAGGATAGTATCTCTGTAAGGAACCTCTCCGGCTAGATAAACTCTTGATATTGAGTAAAATAAATAAAAACACATGAAGATAATGTGACAGACACGTAGCATATCTAAATCCACTCAAAGTGAAATGTAGTTTTATTTCCACCACGTATACTTTAAGGTTTATGAATATCAAGACTTTCATTTTCGACTCATATGTCTATAAAGCTATTTTGTGAATGTTCATACAACAGTTAGCTTGCAATCACTAATGTCCATTTGCAGGCTGAATCAAATTGTTCTTTATTTTATTTTCCTTTTTGTATGATTTGAATAAATGAATGAAAATTATGATAAACAGATTTATTAGCACGCCTACGAAGAGGCATATAACATAACCATCAAATCTGCATGTTATTAAACTTATTGTTCATTTATTAGTTTTCACAAGAGTGTATTATAAAATATTATTTTCAGTAGAATCTTCTTATTATTCAGGTAAATGCTCCGCAAAAAATGTATAAATGTTCAAGACACGTGGAGACCGGTGTAAAAATCGAAATGTAGTTTACTAGTGAGTAAATTTTCAACTTCGAGAGCTTGCTCGAAAACCAACTTCAAAACTATCAAAAGGCGAATTAAGATTTTTATAGGAAGAAAATGAAAAATAAATCACTTACTTATTTCTTTTGAGTTTTATGTCGCACCAACCCTTTAATGGAGATATGGCGACTTATCAGCTTTAGTGGTGCCCCTCAGTACATTATTTCAGAAACGAACGGGCAACAAAATAGAAACACCAAACTTTTTGTAAGCTTCCTGGATAACTTTTTCACATGTAAGAATTAAATGTCCCTGGCGGGACTGGAGCAAAAGACACGAGAAGCAATTGGTTCGGATCCATCGGCCTTAACCATTTGGCAACGGACTGATATTGACTTCGTGTTTTGTTGGTTTATTAATAAAGGCCACTTTAAGAGGAATTCGCCGGGTCTTGTTGAATGTTTAAGCTTTTTATTTATAAGTACACTTTATTTACACCTTTGTTCATACTTAAGTGAATTTTAATATCTACTTGTCATTCAAAAAACTATAATAAATATTCTGTCGCAGACATTGCACTAGGCAAAATCTTAGTCATTTATCATTATATAATGCCTAACTTACACATATACATTTCTGTGTTTTTTTTTAGTTTTAGAAAATATGACGATTAAATACAATACTTTACATACATTTATTGTTAGTATAGTAGTGATATTATTTTATTCGCTTGTGTAATGTAACGTTTAGTTATTTACAGAATTTCACTGTTATCACTGTCACACATAAAGCTACAAGAACATGATCATTATATACATTCGTGCACATAATCAAAATCACAAAATAACCTCATACAAATATTTGTATTTGTTTTTCAAATGTTCTTATGAATTTAATACGCAACTGATGATTCGTTATTGTATACATGTATAAATTAATACATTTTTTAAGAAACAAACTATCAGCTAAACGTGTCTGTGGTGTTTGCAAAAAATATCTCATTGAAATGTTAATGTCTTTGACTTTTCCAACCAGTAACAGTTTAATGTAATTCTTGTCTCAAAACATGCATTTTATTTCTATCTTCAAAATATTCTGGATAATTTATGTATCACTATAAATGAATACGCTCATTTTTCAATTTTCATTTTGTGTTTCTTTTTAAGATCGTCCTTGGGCAACACCCTTTCCAAGCAGAGGTCCACCCATGTAAAGATATAAGGGTGGCCAAACGATATAATCTATGTATTTTCCAGATTTTGTGTACGGTTTGTACACATTGACGTCAAGGCACGTCTCGCCATTTGTCTCCGGAAGGTCGAAAAATACAGGTGGTTCATGCTGGCACATTGACCAACAAATGTCCACACATTTTGCAATGTATTTGATGGTGCTATCTTGGGTCTGTCTGTCAATATTATTTTCTATTGCCACCATATTTGTAACTACCTAAAAGAAAACAAGAGACATACTGTTTGAATTTACGATAGTGGAAAATAATATATTAATAAATAATATATAAATTAAACAACCTTCAGCATCCGTTTCTGTGCATCCTGGTTGTTTTAAATACAACACTTTTATTGGTTGTTTCTAATAATTAAGATCAGTTCAGAGAAATAACGAATCTGGCTAATCTCTGTGTAGAAGTGATCAAAATGTTACTAATTTAACTTATTTGTAAACGCTTTCACATTAACGTAAGGAATAAACTGTTTTATAGAACCATTACGCTAAAAGAACATAAAGGGTCGCTTATCTTCTTTGCGAATATTAATTTCAATGGCAGATATCACAAAACCGAGTTTGAGGACTCTCATTTGTTCTGTTTCTGTTATCATGAGTTAGAATAATTCTGTTCTGCAAGTTTCTGGTTTGCAAGTTTCTGATCTGCAAACCTCTTTAAGGAAAAAAGACACAGGTTCAGTAAATAGATATAAACAACCTACCTCTTGGAGTTGTTTGGACAGGCGTACTTCCACATCCTTTTTTATTTCTAAGATAGCTTGTTTTTGAGCAGCGCTAAAAGTGTTGACATCACCGGCTATAATATGCACCTGAAATTATAATTATTAAAATATATTAGTTATAATAAGAATGACATTGAAAGATTAATTTTTTTATATGCTTGTGCTGAAATCCCTAGCTCTTACCTTAGAAAAGTAAATTTTTTTTATAAAAAAAAGTATTTTAAAATTAACTATATGCGATTCACAGTTTTTTTTACAATTTGTTTTTAATTGCGTTTTTTTTCATTACACGGAAAAATCATAAAAAGTATTAATTGGAAGAATATTCAATGTTAGGTGAAAGAAAGTAAAACAAAGTATTTGTAGAAGTACCATTACCTTTGGCGTGTGTGAACCAGCATGTGCACTTATTTCTTTCGAAGGCTCTTCACAGTTCATCACTTCACCATGTTCACCAGGTTCAATAACCTAAACATCAAATTTTGTAGAGATCTTGTTACATCTTTCATTTATACAGAAAAATATGTTGGTTTTCCAAGATATATGTGGATATGTGTAAAACTGGTTAAATATAACATAAAAATAACCATTTTTTTTAAATCTAAATGTTTTTGATTTGTTTGTTTCAAGTGGGAAATGAAATCATTTGGTGTGTAATGTGGTTTAACATATTCATTTCAGCGCGGTTGCGAAACAATTTCTTTCAATTTATATTAATCATTTTTAAGTCCGCTTCCTGGAACCAACCAGTACTGGTGTCATATGAAAAACATGGTCGTGACATAATAAGGGCCCGAACCCATGATCCCAGGGTTGAGAGACACATCTTGACCACTAGGCTACCGCTCCCCTGTTGTCTTGGTGGATATTTGGCTGAAGCTGAAATTTCAGTTAATATCTTAGAGGTTAGCAAACTCTAAATAAATCTAACCAAATTTTGTAACATAAATCAATGCTGGCAATAGGTCTTTAAAGATGTAATGTACATTTTGTATTGTAAATGAGTTAATTTTAAAGTTTAATCCATAGGTAAATATATCAATGTAATGATGTATTTTAGGGTTAAAATCCATATGTAAAAGATTTAAAACCATATCATTTGTATAAGTCGCTTATGATTCTAATACAGAATAGTGAAATAAGTGCGAACCTGAGAGAGATATAATATAAAGATTCCCTGGTCTAATTTTTTTATTCCTTTTAGAGGTATGGAAATGATAGTCATTATACGGAAAAATCATGAAAAGTATTAATTGGAAGAATATTCAATGTTAAGTGAAAGAAAGTAAAACAAAGTATTTGTAGAAGTACCATTACCTTTGGCGTCTGTGAACCAGTATGTGCACTTATTTCTTTCGAAGGCTCTTCACAGTTCATCACTTCACCATGTTCACCAGGTTCAATAACCTAAACATCAAATTTTGTAGAGATTTTGTTACATCTTTCATTTATACAGAAAAATATGTTGGTTTTCCAAGATATATGTGGATATGTGTAAAACTGGTTAAATATAACATAAAAATAACCATTTTTTTTAAATCTAAATGTTTTTGATTTGTTTGTTTCAAGTGGGAAATGAAATCAATTGGTGTGTAATGTGGTTTAACATATTCATTTCAGCGCGGTTGCGAAACAATTTCTTTCAATTTATAATAATCATTTTTAAGTCCCTTCCTGGAACCAACCAGTACTGGTGTCATATGAAAAACATGGTCGTGACATAATTAGGGCCCGAACCCATGATCCCAGGGTTGAGAGACACATCTTAACCACTAGGCCACCGCTCCCCTGTTGTCTTGGTGGATATTTGGCTGAAGTTGAAATTCAGTTAATATGTTAGAGGTTAGCAAACTCTAAATAAATCTAACCAAATTTTGTAACATAAATCAATGCTGGCAATAGGTCTTTAAACATGTAATGTACGTTTTGTATTGTAAATGAGTTAATTTTAAAGTTTAATCCATAGGTAAAATATATCAATGTAATGATGTATTTTAGGGTTAAAATCCATATGTAAAAGATTTAAAACCATATCATTTGTATAAGTCGCTTATGATTCTAATACAGAAAAGTAAAATAAGTGCGAACCTGAGAGAGATATAATATAAAGATTCCCTGGTCTACTTTTTTGATTCCTTTTAGAGGTATGGAAATGTTAGCTTATCTTTCACTATAATCTGTTTATGTCTCCAGTCAAAGAAAAAGGGGCTCTTAACTCGCAAAGAATCCGACAAAAGTAAGTTTGTTTAAACTAAGCGGATGCTTTTAATTAACACTTGCAATCCATTTATTGAGTAAGTAAAATATGACTTAATAAATTATTTGGAGCCAAATAGCATTGTTAATGTCCATGGTACATTGTGTCACATATCTAATGTGCACTTACTACAAATTCCTCTAAAGTGTCAGAGTCAACGGCATCCACTTTCAGCCTTTTCCGTTTGTCTTCTGATTCGTTGCATTCGGATTCAGCCTGATATGAAATCGCTACATATGCTTGTCAAAGAAACAGTGGCTTTACATATATAAGATACAATGGTTATATAATTTTCTAATAGCACTCTACAAACAGTTTATTTTTCTTATTGACCTTTGAAAAGGCTTTCTTTACATTTACCTATAAAACAAAAATATTTCTTATTTTCTTTCTAATCAATGAGAAGCACGTTCAATCTGTATTTTACTTAATGAAACAAATCGATTGAAATTCTATTTTTGTCATTGTAATAATCCGAATATCTGGTTAATAATGTTATTTTTACGTATGTTGAAAGTAAATACGTACCTTATCATTTTTATTACAGGATTCTATGGCATTTTGTTCTGAGGATAATTTCTCGGACGATTTCTTAGTGCGGACAGTCAGGGTAACTATACCTTTCGTTATATCCTCCATATGTCTTCTTGAAACATCGTTACATATATGTCTGGTACTCTAAATTGAAGAAAGAATTATTTTCACAGTAAATATTTCCAGCACTATGTGGTTCTATCAGGCTTGCATTAAACAAAAAGGTCAATTGTGTGTTCTAGTGTATCTGTATTTAGATTCAAAATCATTCTTAAGGAAAATATGCAATGACTAGTTTGAGTAATGTAAGTGTTAAAACAAAATAAGTATAAGTATTGACCTGTAACAATCTAAGCATGAATTCTATTTTCTCTGGTTCAGACTCAAGTTGGATATTTTCAAAAGCATCTGTCCATTCATTGTCATACAGCTCGGCGAATTCCTCGGCAAGTTTTGTTGGGCGTTTACAGTCACTAAGATCAGCGATATTTGGATTATCAACTGTAAGTTTTGCGCCAGCAAGTTTGCTTAATCTGATAAAGATATCGTAACATCATACATGTCATAGAAAACAACAACAACATTCATTACTTGCAACACTTTAGTTTTGAATTCAATTTAATGAAAACGAAGACTGTGACATATATTCTCATATTATTAACCAAATCAAAGGTAATTAACTGTCACGTAGATTTCTTTTAACATTTATTTATTGAAAAATCAAAATAAAAAAAATCAATATCAAACTCATAATTACGCCTGACAAAAACCGATTCGAATTAAATTTAAATACTGTCAACAAATATATATATACATACTTTATATGTTATACTTTTCATTTTTCCGAACATTATATTAATGTCAACAAATACATAACTATATATTCTTCACTTTTAGGATATGAATTTTCATTAAGTCCGCCGACATTAATTTAGTTAAATCGTTGAAAAATTACAAGAATCATTATACTTGTTTAACCTTTAAAAACGTAGGTTAAACCAAATTTCATATCCGGCCGTTATCTTTCTACCATTTTCGTCGAGGTCTTCATCAAGCAATTCACGAACATTTGGCCTTCAAGTTGTGAGTCAGCAAGTTTTACAACTAAAGGTTTACCTTAAAATTAAATCATCCTTTTGTTCAGTAAGTGATTGGTTGTTTCTATTTAGGACTTGCACTTGTTCTTGAAGAGACTTTTTGATAATTTCTGCCTCCTGTAACCTGCTCCTTAGATTACCATTCTCACATTTGATAGATTTCTGCTGGCTTTTAAGGGAATTAATCTCCTCTTGTAATTCCCTCTTCTCACTATATGTTGGAATTAGAAATAAATCTTAAATACGAATAAAATTAAAGAAAAAGAAAAGATAACTCCACAATACTTATGCGGAAAATTATATACCATTGCTTGGTAAATGTTCAATTTTGCATTACGCGGTACAAGGAAGTGTAGGCGATAGCTTGCATTTGTGATTAGGGTCCATGAATAGACTCAATCTACCGAGCAAGCAATTTTTTGTCATTTTGGGCGTTCTCTAGGGATTCTGTTTTTTCTCTAATTTCTTCTTTCTTTTGTAATTCCTTTTAAAAAATACACCAATAAAATAGTACTTTATAACGAACATTTTTACACATGAAAGTTTCTGAACAATGAAAACATTTTTTGTACAGTATAAATTCAAAAATGGATTATTGAAATGCGTACAAATTAAATTACCTTTCAATTTTTTTCTTTAGCTTTTCGTTTTTTCGTTGCCAGGAGTTTGCATTTTTACCCTTTTGTGCATTCCTTTGTTCATCTGGAAAAGTGCTAAAATAACATAAGAAGTGGTTAAAAAGCTTCCCTTTGTCTGAGTTTTCTTTCTACTGCTTTTATTGTAATACATGATCGCCCTCTTTCATCAAGTTGATTAAATGTTTATACAATAATGCAATGTAATTCGGAATTATATTGTGACGATTGTTCTCTTTTGCCTAGATTCAATTATGATATTTAGTGGTTTTATGCCTAAATTGCCGATAAGATAAATTGTAAACAAATATGTTATCTTGTGTTTAAAAGTAGAGTTTGATCTTTTATAGATAAGTAAAAAATACATAAAAAATAAATGAATAGATTTAACAACTTATTCGTAGCAATAATTTGATATAACGGGCATATTTATATTATTTCTAAAATATCAGAACAATTCGTCCTTAAAATCATTCGAACTCAATGTCATTCGCACCAATATTCGACGCATTATCAATATCTCTTGGATGCTTGATTTCTTCAACTTCAACATTGCGTTAGGTGTAATTGTTATTACTAAAGTATTGAAAACTCGATATCCAAGTGGTTTTTCTGTATATATTAAATAGCCTCAAAGTGTCACCCCAATTTTATACCAAGTTCAAGGACCACTTATTATCTTTCAAGCACATGACTGTTATAACATTAGTTAATTAAACTTGATTCCAAAGTTTAAACATTTTATTGTTTAATCATTTGTAACCAATCAACTGGCAAAGTAGCCATAAATTTTTTTATATATAACAGCTCTCCCGTGCACGTTACAATATCATTTTCATTAAGTAATTATGTTGAATTAAGATATAAACAGTACATAGAGTGCATACATACTAGTACCTTGTATTCCATACACAAATAAAGGCAATATAAAAAAACTCAGTCAAACCAGTTTCTTATATTTGCAATCTGGCTGATTTAGGCAAAGATTGTGAACGTTGTATAACGTGTAAGCGACATGCGGTATATTTCATAAATTAAAATACGTCGACAGTTTTAAATTTGCCATCCGCTTTTCATCATATTTTGGCAAAGTTTTTGGAGATAATAGCTTTTAAATAACAAAACATCTTTTAAAATAATCGATTACCCATATGTTAAATATTTTTTTAATTTTTTAAAGCAAAAACTGCAAATTAAATTGGCTTCATATTTGACTTTGTTTCAGTACACCTATCTCCACCAACTGTGACAATTACAATAATTGTATGTCGGCATTGGTATAATGTATCTGTGCACACACTGTTGTGGTATAGCCGCCAAAATCTGATGACCGGGGATCAAACCTGGATCCATCCGAATATCTTTCAGCAGTTCATCCGACAAAGATATCGGCCGATCAAGTACTTTGTCTTTTTAAATTCATAAACAATTCTTCTTGTGACAGACTTATACATATTGACACTGTATTTACTAAGACGCCGGTACAAAAAAAAATCCAACGGTTTGAGAGCACTTTGTAATGCTTATTCATTTGTTTAAACAGGAAAAGATGGACCTGTCACGTATAACAAAAATAACCATTATTTAAATCTGAAGTATGTACCTCTATTATATAGTCGCCAATAAGAAATCAAATGAAGAGTATTAAAGTATAAAAGTATTAAACGTGATACTAGTATATCAAGTATCAGGTAGAGAGCGCACTTATTACAAACAGTGTGATACGGTACCACACTGGCCATAGCTTTCGCAGAAGCGGTGGGTCTACCGGTGCGGCGATGGAGAATTCGTCGCAGAAGCGGTGGAAAAACATGGCTGTCGGATAGTTTTTTGCTGGTGTCGGTAAGTTTATGACTTATTTGTACGTTATGTTTTTATGTTTACCTGATAACTTTTAGTGAGACTGGAGCCCAGATATGTAATCTTCCAACTTATTACACGCATGGGGTGCAAATCATGACCAGTTATGCAAACACTTCTGTACAGTTTGACGAGGGGACGCCACTTTTGCCTAATTTTGTTTATAACACTATAAATGTACTCAAAACTACCCCTAGATACACTGGCATCGCATCGTATGTATGATAATTACACAAACCAACCATATTTTGGAACTTTTGGAAATTGATATTACCATTTTAGTAAAAGAATTGACAAAAATTGATTACAACGCAGACGGCGGTGGATTCGATTGCAACGCAGTGCGGTGGGCCCGATATCATTTATGTCTTTTTTTTAACGTTAAAGTCACGACACTTAGGAGTTGAGCTCCAAACACCTAAAAATACAAATGAAATATATATTTGTTAATCCTAACACATATAGTTGTTATATATATCAATGAAAGTAAATATACGCTTTTTTTGCATCATGTACCTTATTAATATGTTTTTATAAAACAATCCCTGTTTTAGATACTAGTGGTGTTTGTTAACTACATTTATCACACACCCGTCCCGATTTTGCGACTCCGTAAATATGGTATGGCACGGTCGTGCATATATTTTGACGTGACGTCATTAGCGTTATGCTAACATAGTGTAAAGACGCGCTAAATGTTAGCGTTATGCTATAGGCGCGTCAATGAAAAATGACTCTTGGTTTAAACATATTTATTCAACAAAACATTTAACAAGTGAACAATATTTACAAAGTACATTTTGGGATTGGGCAGAAAGCTATAAAGCTTATAAATGTCCTCTCCCAGTTATGATAATTTACAATAACAAAGTTCATGGCATTATCATACACAACGGTTAGTTGAAGTATTCATAGACTTTCACATAATAGTTAAGAGTTAAGTATTTAGCAAAATAACATATGTAAGAGCAAACAGTAAAAAGGAGGGAAAAAAAAGATTGAAGAATAAAGCAACTCACAAAAAGTACAAATAGACAAACACCTGTCTTAGTATTTTTTTGTTTTAGAATTTAGTAAGAAGAAATAAAATATTATCTTATTTGAATGCTTACAGCTGTATATTAGCAGATACGCACAATAGGTATACACTGAATATTTAAAGAAAAAAAAGATATTAGAAAAGGAAAGAAGAAATGGATGAACAATGATGGAACAATAACGAGGAACTAAGATGCATATTCTAGTAAATGTCAAATATGTTAAGACATCTCTGGTTTTAAGTACGCTAAAATCGTTTTGTATCTCGGATATATTTTTGAACTGATTTAAAGATTGATACATTATAATCAAAAGGTAAAGTAGTGGAACCAGTAAGAATGACATTGATGGAAGGATGACAAAATTGAGATATAGTACTTAATTCAGGTCGTAGGTTTGTATATTTAGGGCATTCAAAAAAGTAGTGATAAGCATTTTCTCTCGCACCACATTCACACAAAGGAGAGTCGGTAATGTTCTTATCAAATAGATCGGCAGAAAGAGAGCTGCAGTTAGTACGTAATCTTGTGTGAAAAATTTGTAATTTACGCTCACCGCATAGAAAATGGGCAGGTACTTTTGGCATATCAGTATTAAGAAGTCGCTTAAATGATGTTAACGTTGTAGCAGTTTGTGTTTGAGGTGGAAGAGAGTTGAAATCCCTAATAACAGAAGGTAAGAATGATTTATAGTAAAATTCTGTATTTGCACGGATATATTGTATGTCGTCTGCGTTCCTGAGAGGGTAACGGTGCTCACTGCCAATCGACGGGGGGACAAGATCAGAAAGATAATGTGGTGTAAGGTTGTTTTTCATTTTAAAAAATAGAATAGTTTATGTTTGTGTCTCCTTTTTTCTAGGGATTCCCAGCCAATTTCATTCATGAGTTTATCGATTGATACGAGCTTAGTTGTTCCAGTAATTATTCTAGCGGCTTCTTGTTGAATTTGTTCGAGGTCCTTTTTATCACTTTGCGTACAATTATCAAAAAGCACATCTCCATATTCTAAAATTGGTCTTATGAAGGATTGATAAATTATTTCTAATGATTTCCTATCAAGTTGGAATTTTAATTTTTTCATAACATTTATTCTTTTCCTAGCTTTATTTATGATATATTCAATATGAGTGGACCATCTTAAATCATGAGCGAAAGTAATTCCCAAGTGTTTATGAATGCGTACTTCTTTTATTTGTGTGCCATGCATAAAGATAGGAGGATGGATTAAATTATGGTTTGTTTTTCGTGTTATTATTAGTGATTCTGTTTTAATGGGATTAAATTTTACCAACCATTGTTCGGCCCAAGAACTTATCTTATCAAGATCTGAATTAAGGATAGTTGAAGCAGTCACGGGGTCTTCGACCACAATAAAAAGGTTAGTGTCGTCGGCGAAAAGTCTTATATTGGCATTGATGTCGATAACAATATCGTTAATATAAACAAGAAACAACAAAGGCCCAAGAATTGACCCTTGTGGCACACCAGCGGCAATAAAATTAAGAGAAGATCTACAACCTGGTAAAATCACTCTTTGTCTTCTGTCCTTAAGATAAGAAGAAAACCAAGAGGAAAGACGGCCAGAAATACCGATACAATTTAATTTATAAATAAGTCCCTTGTGCCAGACCCGATCAAACGCTTTACTGATGTCACAAAACACAGCCCTGACTTCTTTACCAGAATCAATGGCCTGTGCAAACAAATTATATAAGTATGTTAGTTGGTTGACAGTGGAGTCTCCGGGAACAAAACCAGATTGAAGAGATGTAATGATATTATTATCACGCAGAAAATTAAATGTATGTTTAAATACGATTCTTTCAAAGACTTTGTTGACAGTACTTATGAGAGATATTGGTCGGTAGTTATTAACAAGAGAAGAATCACCCAATTTGAAAAGAGGTGAAACATTTGCTTCTTTCCATACGTCTGGAACTTGAGAAACCTGAATGGAATAGTTAAATAGAGAACTTAGAGGACCACTGAGTTCATGTGAGAGTTCACGAAGGATTCGATTGTTAATATCATCAGGACCAGCGGCCTTTCCCAAAAGAAGTGATTTCATTACTAATTGCACCTCATCTGGTGATATGGTGAGATCATCCAGATGATAAGGAATGTTGGGCAAGTCAGTAAGAATTGGAGCCTGACTTTCGTCAATACGTGTTTGCGCAACAAAAAAGTCGTTCAAGAAATTAGCTTTTTCCAAATTTTCAGTGATTACGGTGTTATTATTAATTGTTAAGGGGGGTATTGAGTTAGAATAAGACGGTTTAATAAAGGATTTAAGACAAGACCACCAACTCTTTGAGTTCCTGTTTTCGTGTTGTAATTTTTGGGCTAGATTGTCGATATGTTGTTTTTTTGCTTCTCGAATTTTTTATATAATTTGGTTTCTTAAGGTTCGAAAACGTGCCCAATAATACGGTGAATTAGTTTGTCTGGCTTTTCGATACAGTCGTTTTCGTTTTCTTATAAGCACTCTTAAGTTATTTTTAAACCAAGGCGGTTCGTTTTCGCGGATTAAGACTTTTCTAGTCGGGATACATTGTTTTGAGAGAGATATTATATTGCTAGTAATGTTATGTGCGTATACGTTTATATCATCGTTTTTAAGGGAATCCCAATCATATTCGGAGGCCAGTTGTCTAAGTAGTACAAAATAGTAGTAAAAATGACTCTTATTTCACTTTAAACGGTCTCTATTTTGGGTATGTGATAAATAGAATATTAAATTCGTGTAAGTTCATTACTGAATTTATTGCACGAGTTGAATAAATTAAAATTATGCTCGCCAGAGGCTCGCATAATATAATTTTATTCAACTCGTGCAATAAATTCAGTATTGAACTTACACTTATTCAATATCCTCTATGTATGGGTTGTTTAAAAATAAATTATAATGTATACATTTATTATAAAATTATCTTGTATTCTATTTTCAATCTATGCATCATGTACCTTATCATTATGTTTTTATAAAACAGTCCCTGTTTTTGATTCTAGTTTAAAATATTGGGATGTATGTTAACTTTGTAGTGCTTAAATGGTAATTTTAACTTATAACTTGAAGTAAAAAATACTTAAAGTTTGTATTTTCTTTACAGACTATGCATTCATTTATCTTATAAAATGTCTTGATAAATTAAATCCTAGTATGGACACTAGTTCAACAAATTGAAGTATATGTTAACTATGTATCGCTGAAATGTTAGTTATAGCTTAAACTCGTATATTGAATTTAATTGATCAATTTAACAAATCAAAATGTTTTTGTAGTTTAACACACAAGAGTCATCATTAACTACGTATTACTAACACATTGGTCATAAATTTATTTTGAACTTTATTTTTACTTATGAACGGTTTGTGATAAAATTTTAATACATTGATAAGATGAGATGAGATGAGATAAGATCTGTTGATAGTGACACTAATTAAAGCTTTATTGTTTTATCTATTTTTTTATTTTATTTATTTCATTTTTTTAATATAACTTAACATGTTAACATTAAATTATATCAATTTTTTATTTAACATGTACAAAGCTATAAATAGGCTGTATGTAATATAAAAAATTATAGAATGCATTTTGAAATAAAATATTACAAAATACCTGACAAAAAAGGTAGACGAAAATGTTGTTTATTGGTCTATGAGCGAATTGTACATGCAAACGTTCAAATTATCGTATATTTTTGTTTGTAAATTGTAATTGTAATGTTTAAGTCACAATTTAAATTGTCGCTCTTTCGTTTTCGTTGCTTTTCAAGGTCTGTCGTTCCTCCTTTGGTTGGACTGTTTGGTGGTTTTTGTTGTCCAACTTTGTGTCATCTATTATAACGTTTGCTACAATTGTTTTCTATATGAAAGCGTATTTGAAGTTTCTAGTTAATCTTTTGATTATATCATAATCTATTCTTAGACAATAAAGACGTCTGGCTCTGCCAGACATTATCAATCAATTTTCTATGTTTGTATTTTAACTCTACCGAGGATGACACAAATTAACATGGAGGAATATGTACCGTGGTAAAAGTAAAACATAAATACATTTCCAAACTTTTCATGAAAATAAACATGAATATTGAGGCGTGCTGCTTTAAAATCCTAATAATTGTATATTTATTAATTCCAGCCCATATACTTATCATATATTTCAATAAAACTTACATATATGCTGTTTTGAAGAAAAAGTAAATATTTATACGTCAAAAATATACACAAGATAAAAAAATGAGTTAGAAAAAAATCGCACATCCTCCAAATCACCTTGCAATTGATTCTATTTCCAATATTTTCACATTATCATTTTGTCAACAGGCGACACGAGTCATCCATTAAACATATATTACTGGTACTTATTATATATTTTCATCATATTTTTCTTTTTCAACAATATCAAACTTCATCTTCAATATACAAACACACTATGTGAAAAAATTTAAACTATCGCCGTTTTATTTATTTACAAAATATTTCAACAAATTCAAGCGTGGCACTCAGCTCTGTCGTATTTAAATGCGGTGCGCTATGAATGTGAGAACCCGCATTATCCCGAATGACTCCGATTATAGCAAGGCTGGTTCAAAGCGCATTGATATACAGCATATCTGAGAGTCATTTTGTTTTCAAAAAAGCGTATATTTACTTTCATTGATATATATAACAACTATATGTGTTAGGATTAACAAATATATATTTCATTTGTATTTTTAGGCGTTTGGAGCTCAACTCCTAAGTGTCTGTGACTTTAACGTTAAAAAAAGACATAAATGATATCGGGCCCACCGCACTGCGTTGCAATCGAATCCACCGCCGTCTGCGTTGTAATCAATTTTTGTCAATTCTAATATGAAAATGGTAATATCAATTTCCAAAAGTTCCAAAATATGGTTGTTTTTTGCAATTATCATACATACGATGCGATGCCAGTGTATCTAGGGGTAGTTTTGAGTACATTTATAGTGTTATAAACAAAATTAGGCAAAAGTGGCGTCCCCTCGTCAAACTATACAGAAGTGTTTGCATAACTGGTCATGATTTGCACCCCATGCGTGTAATAAGTTGGAAGAGTACATATGTGGGCTCCAGTCTCACTAGGTGTTATCAGTTAAACATAAAAATATAACGTACAAATAAGTCATAAACTTACCGACACCAGCAAAAAACTATCCGACAGCCATGTTTTTCCACCGCTTCTGCGACGAATTCTCCATCGCCGCATGCGAAAGCTATGGCCAGTGTGGGTACGTTACAGATTCGTTTATTTTACTACTTTCTAACACTAGTCTTACTCTTTGTCGTTATCACAGCTGCTACCAGGACTAGCCACAGAGTCCTGTTCAGGTTCTTCCATACTTTAAACTGCAAGTATAAAATAAAGCATTGTTCCATGAATCACTCAAGTCATTATGATAAAATATTACAATGATTAAAAGTTTGGTTAAGCAATGGAAAATATCATTCTAACTGTTAAGTTATTTTTTTTTAATTTAAAATTTACTTATATTATTTTAAAGATATTTTTTGCTCAAATTTGATATTTGAAAATTATGATAATTGCTAAACACCCATCTATTAAATGTACAATTAATATATTTTTACTACAGACAGAGAATAATTGTTACGTTTTAACCTCTAACCCCATAGGTAATCAAAGTATGAATACATTCTGTCATTAAAAAAACTTGCATTCTTTAAAAGAAAAGACCATATGAACTGGCCAGTTATAGGGAATGCAGCTCCCAAACATTGTTTGTGCTTTTTGATCCAAATTAGACATATTCAGTTAGGATGTCATTGATTTTAATAAATTTCTGCAAAAAAGTATTTTAATGCAATGTGCTCAGTGAACCTCCCATAGCATATAAACAGTTGAGAATAAAATGGTGGACAATAAACTGGTCATATCGTATTTCATACACATTGAATCTATATATTAAAGTGTTTTTATCATCAATCAAACGCTACAATAATTGTTTGGATATTATGACGGTTTAAACCTGTTAGAAGGTCACCAAATTTTATCTAGCGATTTATAACTATTTGGGGAAGGGTCCGATTATAAAACCCAGTTTATGAAAATAGCTGATAACTGTATTACAAGTTTAAAAAATAATAATAAACCCCTATAATAATGACAATGTAAATCATTCTCGTTTAGATGTCATAGTAAAGCGGACAAACACAGCAAATATAGTGAAAATAACTACTAGATATCGGGTTATTTGAATCAGATTAGAAATATCTATTTACTCAATTTGATTGACTAAGTTCAGACAAACCAATTTAGTCAACTAAATTATCTTCTACATGAAGTACTTTCTACATGGTAACGTAACTGTTAATAAATCGTTGACAAAATAAAGTTAAAAACGCAAAATATTAAAACTTACGGAAGTTGATCACCATACAACAATCTCCTCACTGTTTATTTACTTCCTCTTTCGATTTCCAATTTTTGTAAACTATTACAGGTATAAATATTTAATTTTTATCGGTCGAGGTTTAACATACAATAAATCAATGTAAATATTTCATTTGGTATTGTATTTTACATTGCCATGCTTTGTAAGGGAATATAAATCGATTTAAACTACAAATATCATCCTGACGACATACCATATAAACATTATTATCTGTTACAGTTAACTTTTATAAATACATGTACAATGAGAAAGAAATGCGTACGGTGGAGTACGTACTATTATGTTAGAAATGTTAGGTGGACGTGGAATCTAGTTTTGAATATCGCAATATTTTCAAATTGCTCAAAAGATGAAAGCGTGGAATCTAGTTTTGAATATCGCAATATTTTCAAATTGCTCAAAAGATGAAAGCCTAAACTGCCTTTTAATTAATTTATGCACTCCTAGGTTTATATTTGTAAACGAAAAGAAGCAGGTGTTAAGTGCCGTGTGGCAGCTGTAAAATTTTGCCCCGTACTTCACTCATGTGTTGTAATATATATCTGGTCCGTCAGGAACATATTTTTCATAGTAATGAAATATTCAATCAAATGGTTTTGTTAATTGTAATTGTGGTTTAGATTACACAGTCAGGTAACTTAGTTTTTTCCGGACATAAAGTGTCTTCCGGTTTTTTTTCTGCTGGGGGATTTAAAACCGACAAACCCGTCTCAATTATAATCTCCCTATTAAAATTTCGATTTGAACCCAAGTTATTTTCTTTAAATCTAAAATGACATTTAGGACTACAAATATAGCATAATTAACACCGTTTTCATCTATACTTACATTCATAATCTAAAAACGATAAGCAACAACCTTTTGAGTACGAATCAAATTATTGGTGTCATTGTTTATTTTTATGTGTTCGCGTCTTCGATCTTTGATAATCGGTTTAATAGTGGATTTATGTGGGATTTTGGGTAAACCTTTTTTTTTTGGATACGTCAATATGTGTTTCGAATATCGTGAACAATCATTAAAATGGCAGCTGATTAAATAATTGTTAAGTTTTCATGTACAAAAGCTAAAAAAAAATTGTTGTTTCTCCTTCAGAAAGCTGTGCTGGTATTCATAATTGTTCTAGTGAGAGTGTTGATAATGATATACCACGTTGTGCAAAATAGTAATAAAAATATATACCTAGGAAATTCGATGTTTGCAGATGTTATAGTGATATTAGCGATGCAGAAGATGTCACTAACGTTTGATGCTCAGAACAGTAGTTCTTCTGGTAATACTCCTGGTGTAAATACAGAAAATCCTGCCTCCGCTGATAGCTGATAAGTGTCGAATACAGAAAGTACCACTGACAATTATCGTCATGATCACGATGAAATTTGACAGTGGCATTGAAGACTGATGAAATAGAATCTTCTTCCATTTCATTTACGCGAACTGGAAAATCAGTAAAACGTAGTACTTCTATTAGGTATTCAGAAAAACTTCGTTGAGAACGTCATGCGATTCAAACGAAAGGGGGAATTTGCTAATGTCCAAACGAATTTGCTGAATATATTAATTTCTATCATGATACAACAAAGTAACCATAAATATTTATAAAAGAGAAGTCTCTCTTGATTTTGGAATGTCGAGAACATCGCTTTTATAAATGTTTAGTTTTCATGCATATAAGTTAAATATATAATATTAATTCATGTGTCATTATTTTACCTACTGTGCTTATGTTCTTTTTCTTATGTCACGATGTTGCTGTACCGAAACGTAACTGTGGTATTTACATTGATGCATACATATTTACTGTTTATTGTTACGTAAAAACATCGTAGGCAAACGCATGTTTACATGATAACCTTGACGTTTATACAAGAACTTGGGGGATAAAGTTACTTGTCGCATGGACAATAAGCTAGTATACATACCTAGGTATTCAAGCAATGATCGTCAGCTATTAATCAAAACCGATCATACTGTAACTTTTCGATAGGAAATGATATATAGTCTTTCGTAGCGTTTCGTAGCAATCATTATATGACACAAATGAGCCGCGCCATGACAAACCCAACATAATGAGTTTGCGACCAGCATGGATCCAGACCAGCCTGCACGTCAGCATAGTCTGATCAGGATCCATGCTGTTCGCTTACAAAACAATAGAGAAACTGATAGTGAACAGCATGGATCCTGATCAGACTGCGCGAACGCGCAGGCTGGTCTAGATCAATGCTGGTCGTAAACGCATTACGTTGGTTTTGTCATGACGCGGCTCAAATGATCTTCTGGCTCCAGTGCACACATTTACCTATATTAACCGACTATAGATTGGTATTTATAGCAATTTGTAACATATAAATATATTTCGAGTCACGCTTTAAGTAATTGGCATTGAAGTCCCCCATAACAAGGGCTATCTATTACTCATTATACATTAGCCATCAATTGTATCATAGTTTGGGGACCTTTCTGTTGAAAACGTGTCAGAGTTAAATTGTATACATATACATGCACAGTGCGTAAACTTGAGTGCAGGAATTAGTTACTCGCACTCCAGAGCATGCCCATTGCTGGGGTTTACTTATTGTGACTGAAGAGAAAGGGAAAGCGGCAGAAATATCTTCTTCATATGCTCGTTCATTGCTTACTTTTTTCCGGGGTTTCATATTGTGACAACAGGGAACGTGTTTTTTATGTTTGACTATGATACAAAAGAGAAAGAACATCAAAACACTCGGCAATCTGATTAATACAAAAGAGAAAGAACATCAAAACACTCGTACAAATCAGCCTCGTGTTTCGATGATGCTCTTTCTATTACATACCTTATCAATATAATCCTTAAACATAGATATAGAATGATTTCCTCGAGTGCAGGTTTACTTGTGAAATATTCATAAATTGTGAAGGTGCTACTTGCACCTGTTTACCTTTTTTTTTATCATTATCAATATAGTACTGTCTTTTTTAACATTCTGCATGAAGCATCACCGCATCGTGTTACAGAACTGTTAAAGCCACTGGCCTCCAGATGGTAAAATGAAATGAATTTCAGGTTAACGTAAATAATGATTTAATAAGTATAATGTGTAAATGTATTATCTCTGATATCTTGTTTCAAAAAAGAATGTTGACAAAAGAGTCAATATATCATGTTTCTTCTTTGCAAAATCTACTATATTACTAACGCAGTAGCCATATAAATAGGAGAAGATAATTTATGTAACACATTCACGTGTCACAACAGTGGTTTGGAAAAAATTTCGGTATCCGATACGCCCAGGTCGTATATCAATGTTCGTCAATGAGTAGGCCCTTACCATATTTCTAGCTTAATTTTCAATCAATATATTAGTCATCAAATATACGACGTAAAACCCAAAACAAAAACAAAAAATATGGGTAATATATTAATTCCCCGTGTTATATAATATAAATACATTATTCAAACAGAGCATAACATGTCATCAATAGGATTTTTATACCGTTGTAATATATAAAAAAAAAATGAATTAAATAAAATTTATCTGCTTCCTTAGAGTATTATTTGGAGATATAGTTGTGTGGCAAAATTCTCAAGTTATCCTATAATATGCTTGATGGCAAAATATCCTATTAAAACAACATGCCTCCAGATTATTGCAATTTTATACAAAAATTGGATTTAAAAGTAAAATATTGTGAAGTGAAAAAAAATAATTCCACACTGCAAATGGCACTTACAATTCACGTAAACTACCAAAACAAAAATGCAAAAATAGCCCTCACTGCGTTAGTCACGCATTTGAAATATTTGGATAAAGTCTTGTAAATCAGTCATTTATTGTAGCACTGCATGAAACGTCACTAATTACATGTACTTTAATCCTTTTCTTAAACTCTTAGTATATTTTCTAAAGTTTAAAACAAAAAATGGCTCATCTAGAAGCATGAAGGTTTTAGAATTTTAGCCAGGTCATTTTTAACAATTGACTTAAAAATCAAAGACTTGAATTGAAAACATTTGTCAGGAAGTTAAAAATATGTCGTAGTTTCCGTATGCGCTAAGATACTTCTTCCAGTTTGATAAGTGATGTTCTGAAAAATATCGGGCTGTTTACAAAATGCAGTGGTATTTTCTCCCTTTAAGGATTCAGATTTTCGGAGGTTTAATTTATAACACGTGTTTTGTCTTTGAGTAGTTCATATAGGTTTTTTTTACTGATTTTTACGGCAGATTTGCGAGAAATTGAAATAGGAGAGGAAAAATTCACCAGTGCTGTTTATTCTTGATCACACATTTGTTTTGGAAGGATAAAAATGAATTCATGTAAATGAAATATTCCCGCTAAAAAATGACAAAAATACAAATAACATAAGTAAACATAAATTGCAAGTAGGACGTGCGCATATAAAATAGTCATGATTCAAGTAATTTAAGCAGTTTTGACATTAAACCAATACTTTGAAATATATAATTCAGTAGATACCTAAAAATAAACACTCCTTGACATAGTGATATAACAAACCTATTGTTTCCTAAATAATAATAGAATTAAACATGTCTGTGGTAATCGCATGCCATATATATATATATATATATGGAAATAATAAGGGATCGCCATCATTTATTTTAATTTATAAAATCTGAAAAATATTTGTTGGTTTTATGCCCTCAAAGTGAGTATTCGAGCCATTTTCAAGACTAGAAAGCTCAAAATCAATTCAATTGATTCAATTTTTGTTTCAATTTATTTCTCGTTATTACATTTTAAGTCAATATAGTAGGTTTCAGGTTTAAAACAATATAACATGCACTTGACTATGCTTAAATGAGGGAACTTTTCTTCAAAAATGGCAAAACTGAAAAAAACATTTTTTATCATCTCGCATAATCATCTACAAAGTAAAATATAAGTGACATAAAATTACAGCAACATTTGTACCATAAAGGGGATAAAATAAAAGACATGGACTGGAAATCAAATAAGACGTTACTAGCCGCGGTTTTTAGCTATCTGTTCTTGAAAATGACCAAAATGAGCTGTACACATACTTTTCTGAGCGGATAACACAACAAAATTTGTTTAAACTATAATATTTCTTTAATCATGCAAAGTATTGTTAATTTTTTTTATACTGGTTTGAATTGTCCTTCTTTTCCTACGTAACTCATTGTAAAACTCATGACTTTGGAAATTTCCTATTAGCTGTCTTTCTTTGTAATGTTTTAACGGTGACATTTTGAAATCTTTCATAAATTGTGTACAGTGCATTGCCTTTGATGATGTATTGTCTTTATATATTTCTTTATTTATCTAATTAATTGTTTAAAAAATAAAAAAGATGTTGGTCTCTTAGTAGAAGTGTTATATAATCTGTAAAAAGCTGTATCTAACGTTCTTGACATGACGCTGATATTTTTATCGATTGGTTGACAGTGAATATTCCTGAAACAAGAAAGTGCAAAAAGGTGTTTGATTATAAATTGTTTGAAAATAGTTTATTTCTTTAACCAAGGCGATAGATGATTATCTATAAACAATAATTTGGCATACATTTGTACATACTTCAGCTCAGGTTAAAAAATAACATAAAATTTATCTTTAAACTGGTAATGCTTGAATATTTGTTAGCTTAGTTTGTATATTTATTTCAATATGATGATTATCATAGAGACTTCAAAACGACAAAATTAAGGTTATTTCCTTAACAATTTAAACATTAGAAAAAAATAATGATTATTTCCTCTGAGTTAATAGAAGGTTTCAAAATGGTTACAGAAATTAATATATTTGATGAATAAAAACAAGAAACAGTACTTGCTTGTCAATTTTTTCCTTGTGCAACCCCTTTGCAAAGCATTGGACCATCCTTGTAAAGGAACAATGCAGGCCATACAATGAAATGCAGATATTTGCCTGACTTTGTGTACGGTTTGAAAACATTAGTATCAAATTTGTGATTGACTTGTAGAACAGGGAAGTCAATGTGTACGGGGGGCTCGTGTTTACACATTGTCCAGCATATGTTAACACATTTCTTTATATATTTTACAACCGTATCATCTCCTTCTGTATTGATATCATTTTCAGAAGCTATAACATTTGCGACCTCCTGAAAATATATGTGTCACATACAGCTTATGCAGTTGCGTAACGCGGCATGAAAGCAAAATTAAACCTTTTTTATATTTCTTTATATGTCCAATGTACATTCACCTGATATAACTAACATTATAACTTTTTTTTTACAATCAAGGAAAGCTATGAACGAAGTGTATGGCAATGAATTTTATTAAATATAAAACCACAAACAAAATAAATAACACAAAAACCCATAAAAATAATGGGCTAGCTGGGTTGTTAATTATAAATGAAACTATTACCTACAAAATAAATAAATATGTACAGAGGTAAACGCTGTACAAAACATACCATTTCAAGCTGATTAGATAGCTGTTTTTCAACAAACTTTCGCAAATCCATCACAATCTTCCTTTGATGAGTTTGCAAAGTGTCAAAAGGCATTGTAATCACCTGGTAGAAAAAACGTACATTTTTATCTGTAACAATGTATACAGAAAACGTGCAATTTTATTTTATGATGAATATGCTTGGGTGTCTATAAATTAATGTACAGTTTTAAATTGGCTATCAAGTATTGTCATTTATATTATACTCATAGTGGTTATCTATCCAACCTTCCCTAATCTTACATGCAAAATTCTATCTGCGTGTAAACCATATGTCAATCTCAAACTTATATACGGGGGTGTTCGCGAAGTACCTGTTAAAGTGGATTTTTTCTAATGTCTTTTGTTTTATATGTAGTGTCGACTAACTTAAAACGATCATCAAAGCTTTATTCGATTTCATGTTTAAATGTTAGCACAAACCGTGTCCATAGTAACGCGGGTAACGCCGGCCGGGGCAACCATAATTTTAAAGCTTTGCCTGACTTTAAAAGGCCCCTAATTTTTGCGGATATTACGCGATTGGTGTAAGAGGGTGATACGTTTAAAGACCGCATTGTTACAATTGATGAAACTTGGTTGTGGCACTATGACCCTGAAGTCCATGTGGAAGACCCTGCAGAAACCAATACCTAAACACCAAATCAGAATCGGCTGCAAGCACATGATCATTTTATTCATGGACAGATAGAGCATGATTCTGTAAGTCCAGATTCCGGAAGGATTCAATGAACGCACAGTATTATTCAAAGGTAAATTTTATAGATCCTGTATATTGTAATTAAGATTGTAACCACACGATAACGCTCCGTGCCAAATGGCAAGAGGAGTGAAACCGACTTTCTTGATTTTGAATTGTTACCACACACCCTTTGCAGTCTGGACCTCGCTACTATGGACTTCAAACATTTTTCTGAATTAAAGGCACAGCTACGAGGAATTTGTTTTCAGATTTCTGAAGACTCAGAACATTATTGTAATGTTTGACCAAGAGTGGTATTCAGAAGCCATTGAGAAACGGATCCACTCGGCATCAAACTTGCGTTCGCGTAGGCGGTGACTGCATAAAAAAACCGCGACTTTTGATGTTGAGCGCGACGTCACTGCCATTTGTTTACTTACATGCATTGTGTTTTCTATGATTTATCGTATTATCATGTTTTGTAAAATGCATCTGTAGTATATCACTAGTTTTGTAATTAAATAAATTTCCTTGTGATGCATTTTTTATCTCAATATACTTTATTGATTTTCTATAACACGGACTTCGCGAACAACCCCTGTATATGCTTCATGTCCGGTGGAACAAAACCGTATTCAAATTTCAGAATATTCAGAATAAAGCTAACCTGATTTAATTTTATTTGATCTACTTAATTTCTGCTTTAAGATTTTCAATGTATTCTGTATATAGCTTAGTTAATAGTTATAAATATATAGGAAAATAATTGCTGTAAATCTTCTTTTATTCTTAAGCAACTAGAAATACTAGTTGACAGGCACATACATATATGATATAATTTCTTAAAATATTTGTTAACATAACTTGATTATCTGAAACTAAATGTAATGATATCAAATGCACACAACTTTGATACCTCATTCTTTAAAACTTGATTCTTTTCATTTTTGAGGATTCCCAACATTTCATTTGTGCCAACATTAATCCTGTTCGGCAACTGAGTTCGGAGAGTCAGAGAACACAAACTTTTCTTGATACTCTCCATATGATCGTTTGATATTTGCTTACAAAAAGTGCTTGCTCTCTAAATAAGAAATGTAGAAAAGATTAAATAAACCTAATTCACATCTGTGATTTGATTGTTATAACTTATCAGAAACACTCTTGAAAAAGCGGAAACATTTATTTTGATGTTCTTGCTACAATAATATTGTTGAGTGATACTACTTGATATAAAACTTTTCAAATTCATAAAGACATTGGTTAATATTTTATCATGACAATTTACTTAAAGATTCAAAACAAAGCATCAAAACAAAAACAGATAAATAAAGTCATTTTCACAGATTCTTTCTCAAAAAAGAAAGAATAAAACGAAACAAAACACACACAAAAACACAAAAAAACATTCTTAGCTAATCCTTAACATGTAAATGATTTACAACTCTCATAAGTTTCACCTGTAATAAATGAAGCATGAAGGTCGTTCTATCCTGTTCATCAGTTTTAAGAACTTCAAATGTATCCGTCCATTCATTGTCATAAAGTTCAGAAAATTCCTCTGCAAGTTTGGTGGGACGGTTCTTGTCACTTAGATTAGCAATATTTGGATTATCTAACGTTAGGTTTCCTCCTGTAACTTTACTCAACCTATTGAATGAACAACAAACATTTTACGTATTGAAAACAACTATCGAAGAATATGTAAAATATGTATCAAGCTTTATGTTGAATTTGAGTTACAGAAATGCAAAATACCTTTGATAATCTCGAATTTAGTACACATTCAGGACATACATACTCGTAGATAATAATTTCGTTAATTAAAAACATGCTAAAGTAGATAATATAACAGCTGAAACCTTAACAATAAGTCCTTTTTTTCTGAATCGTGTTTTTTCTTTTCTTTAGTCAATTCCTCTTTCAACCTAACCATGTAAGCTTCTTTTTGTTTTACTTCACATTCCATTTTCCTTGCATGCTCTTTAAACTTCTCTTGATTACTGAAATCAAGTAGTAAATTGTTTATTAATAAAGTCTATCTTTTAAGCTAGTATATAACATACACAATAAACATCATGTTCTAAATAAGCATGATGATTATGGGAATTTCGACATTTTTACATTAAAAATACTGTTTTAAAAAAACGGTAAATTTGAAAGAGCGTGTGCATGAATTATTAAACAAATTAAACACTATTGATGAAATACGTCATGTTATGCCACATTGTTAGTTGACAATAAAAATACAAAACTGATGATTGTGTTTGTAAAGAATGTGAACACTACTATACGAATTTAACTGATTTCACCTAAATGTAATTCGAAATACTTCTTTAATACTTTTTTCGTACAATATATATCCCCCTTTGCTTTGTATAAAAGCATTTACAAGTACTAGATATTTCATCACGTAAACAATTTTGCGCGCTTGTAATGAAAATAAAAGCTTTTAAACTTTACTTCTCTTGAAAAAGTGGTTATTGAAGTAACAGAAATCTTGATACAATTAAATAAACGTTTTAATTCGATATTTAATGTCTATGTGTGTTATTGATAATGCTCGTGCGTCATTTTGAACGTGGTATGATGGTTAAGGCATAGAAGAGTCCCAAACATGCATTTAAGACAGCTAGCAATTTTATTCATTTAAAATACACAAAATTTGATTTTTTCGTTCGATATGAAAGAATACAAATTCTAACACTTTCGAAGGTTTCCCTTTTATTCTGAAACTGCCTATATTATCAGCCGGATAAAGGCTTACCGGATCCAGTCAGTACGTCAAATGGGTAGCCTATGATGACGTCACATAGTTTATGGCAAAGGAAAAAAAAACATGTAGAAGATGTTTTATCGGAAGAAAGTAAGTATGAAAATAATAGAATAAATAATTAAATAATCTAAAGACATGATAAAAAATAGAAAGATTTAAAGCAGGATAAATCAAATACTTCTTTAATGCCGGGAAAGAAGAATGCTTATCCGTTCGCTTAGGCTCGCCAAGATACTTTCTCGCTCACTGGATAAACATTTTTCATCCCGACATCAACCATGTATTCTCTAAATATTTCTTAACAATGCAATTGCCGTTTTAATTTCCTCCCTATGTTTTTCAAACCGACTCATTGACAGTTCCATTGTGTTTGTAAAATCTGATAAATAAAACGAAAAACAATTTTTGAAAACCGTCTAAGCAAGGATGCTTTTTCAATTTCACAAACAAGTTTAATTTCTTATTTATGTCACTAAAATGCTCAGTATTTCGCTTGAAAAATATGAAGTGAAATAAATAAAAACATGCAAATTTTTTTAATTAATTATTCTCAAAATGTTTCTCCAAACGGATGACTTAACGAGTGCTTTAACAACCGACTGGACCAGCCTTTAAAAAACGTTTCTATTGGAAACTCTTGAGGCGAAAACAATTTTAACCACCAAACATATAGTCCAACTATATATTTTTTCTTGACGAGTTTTTATATAAATATATATAAATTCTTCGTGCATTATAGAATAATATTGCACGGTTTTTCGTTCAAATGCTCTGTAATTAATCACTCTTGACTACCGGCCTTCGTGATTATATTCCTTCGCATTTGAACTCAAACCGTGCATTATTCTACAACAATTCACTCAGAATTGATATATATTTCCTAAGCAGATACACAAGCCGTTCTTATTTCCTCCCTCAGTATTTGCAAACCGACGCATTGACGGCGCTATTTTGTTTATGTGATGTCACAATGCAGCGCCAAACAGTGCATGCAAAATCTTTAAAAAAAAGCGCTTTTACTTTTTTAGGAAGATGGGAGAAACGTAGAGATATTTTGATTATCTAACTTCATTATTTTGCCATTAGCCGCTTGCCATGCATATAAAAAGAACAGTTAGCAGGTAAAACATTGAACTCAAGTTATTATATATTGATTGTCATATATTAAATGTCACATGTACGCGAATTTTCACCAAATTTTAATTCACATTTTATTCTTCAAAGTTGTCCGCCATGTTGCAGTAAAAAAAAAGTTTTCATTTATATGTAGTAAACGGGTGATGGAGGGTAAATTTGTTCTTGGTAATCAAGAGGAGGTCTGACAATTATAGGCAAGACAAATGTCCCGAGCCCCTGTGCCTCTTTTGAGAATGGTTCGAAGGTTTTCGTTGCGGGAGCGAACGATGTCTTTGACAGCCATTATCAGCTTTGACTTTACACCATGTTATAAAGATATAAAACAAGTAAAATCGAAACACTCTTGATGTCCATTATCATTCATTTATGCAGTAATATTAATGATTCATACATATAATTATCAAAGGACACATTAGAATGAATCTTAATACAAAAATAATATCACAGTTCTAAAATGTCAATAATCTTAGACAGACAATTATTTCATATTTAAAATTTAATCAATAAATTGCATATAACGGGCGTAACTCGATATTGACCTGTGCCTGGCAAAGCATAATTCCATGCCGAATAACAAAGCTACCGTTGAAATCCTTTAATCTTTATCTTGTGGAAATCCATTTTTGCACATAATATTTGTCTAATGAGGTATAAATCTGTCAATGATATTTTCTGTGAAGCGTTGATCGTAGTTAAGGTGTGTATTAATGTATTATTCTTACATTCCGTATAAAAACACAAACATTGAAAAGTAATCATACATAAAGAATAATTTCGCAGAAAAATTGTTTTAAAGTGGGCATAACTCTATCAATAATACGTTTATTGCAGCGAAAACGAATATAACATTTTTTAATAAAACATTCTTGCCAGACATAATCACGATCATTAAAAGCATTGAAAAGTTGTTCCAATTATTTCACAGAAAATATTGGCATATCCCTATCAATAATTAGATGATTGTAGCGAACATCAAACTTGACCTGTATATAGTATAAAACATACTTACATATCAGTCATTGATATCCTTCAAACCTTATCCTGCGAAACATAAATGTCTTCGGATAGACAGACGGACAACGCCATACCATAATACGTCCCTAAGTATCTGCGAGCGTATAAACTCAATGTAACTTAAAAATTTGCAATAACATAATTACCTTGTAATAATCTTTGCAAAATCTTCCTCTTTTACTATTCTGTCAGTTTCTAGTTGATGTATGCTAGATATTGTTAATAAAAGGTGATTTAAATTGAACAAATTGTCAAACACATATTTATTTGATAAGCAATATATGTTAACATTTGCCATTATAAATAGACAATTCAAAAACATACAAAATTACTACTGAACCATCAATGGCACGATAAACACTTAATTAGTATAAATATGTTTCTTGATATTCACTTAGAATTATAGACATATTAAGAAGAAATATACAAATTGATGCTACACGTCAATGTCATATTCTGGGCTTGTTATTTCAATAAGACTTAAATGTGGTTTTCTCTACAAACTTATACAAATCAAGGTTTCCCAAAGGGTAAACCAGGAGCATAATTAATATCCGTTTTTCAGGGGCTGACAAGGTATACTACTTGCTACATATCTTAGCTTTTGGAATTATAGTTTCACAAATTGAGACTTAACAGGGTTTTCAAATACAAGACTATTTGGGAAATAAGCTACCCTAGAGGCAGGCCAACATTGAACCAAGCGACATGATTCATATCAGTTTTTAGGCAATATTACACGCTACATATCTAAGATGAAGACATTGTAGTTTTTACTTAATGAGCTTTAAATGTGTTTTCCTATATATCAAGAGATCCTCGCGGAGCAGCCAAAACCTATGTTCTGCACATCGAATCATATTAAGTAGTATTTCCGTCTGGAAGTTTTAATTTCTTTCTATGGGTTTAAAAGTTACACAGACATAGAGTATATAAGTTGATAGACATAACACTCTTTCTTGCATCTAAAATAAGTACTATTCATACGTTCTTAGATTGTTTTACAAACATATACTTTATGTTTCATACTATTGGGACTTGATAATAATAAAGAGAAAAATTTTCAGCTTAATTCAACAAGACAAAGTGATTTAGTTCATAAATATTCAATTAAAATATTTCAACATGTTTAAAATATTTCAACTTGTATTATTTCACATCACAATATATATACGGATAGGAAATTAAGCATAGCACTTACGTCAATTCCTTTCAAGTAAAACACGAGTATCGCAAAGGGGGGACTTTATACACTAAAACTAAACTTTGTTTAAATGATAGAAACCCCTTTGTGGGTGCATTTAGACCCTAGACGCATGTCTTATACAATAGAGGTCTACTAGGCAATGCAACATGCCAAATACGGTCCGATGTACTTCCGGTAGTCAGAGAACTCAACTACTTGTCTTACTTCCCAATATGATCGTCCCCTACATCACTGCACTTTGCCCAGCTGTGCACCAACTTGTTTAACCCTTCAAAATAGAGCTCTTCTATTATGGCCCTAAAAAATTTCAAGGACCGCCTCCATGACACCTTCATTATTTCCAAGACGTCTACCACGAAGCTTGGTTTTCAGTTTCAGAAACAGGCAGAAATAAGACGGGTTAAGTCCAGAGAATATGGGCCGGGAGAATATCAAAGCCACAGTCAATTGCAGCAGCTATCGCAACTTGGGATGTGTGAGCTGGCGCACAGTCGTGCAGGAGCTCAGATTGTCCTTCCTTTTACGCGCGATGTCTTGACGCACACGTCTTAATTCGTCTGCATAGTACGTACCGTTTATGGTACGAACTTGCTCAAGATAGTCAATCATGATATCCCCTGACTAGCCCAAACATTGAACCAATCATCTTCCCTACTGATGGCACCCTCTTGAATTTCTTCAAAGGGGGTGAGCCAGGGTGCTTCCACTGCATGCACTTTTTTATTCTGGATCGAAGTGATGGACCCATGTTTTATCCTGAGTTACGAACAAGTAGATAAATTCAAGTTCATCCTCGTAGCGAAATTAAAAGATATCTTTAAATGTCAAGTTGGTGGCCTCTTTTGGCGGCCCAATGTTCTCCCTACCCCTCTTAAATTCAACAGTCTATTTTTCACAGTGCTACAGGAAGGGGACTCCTTCCCAAGTGTATCCATGAAGTCTTCATTGATTTCCTTAGGTGACATGTCTTTCTTACAGTGATACATAATGACAGCTCTGATTTAACCATGGTCTAAATGACACACCCTTCTACAGATCAAAGTGTGTTTTATGTTATTTACTCTTTGTAAAACCGCGTATAACTTTGATATCGGTATGGGCGTATCATGTGTAAATGTCAGTGTAGTGGCTTAAAGTATATTGGGTCGAGAATGTTTTGATCACACCTCGTTCATAAGCTCTGAACACTGTATTTTTCCACAAAAAGATTTGATTTATTTTGTAACACATCCATCTACATATGGTGTGTGACCCTTGGGCATGGCCAATTTAGACCTAAGGGTTATGATTAATACAACTTTTGAAGAAGACTAGAAATCAGTGCTACATGTCAATATCACGCTACATGCCTTTAAAGTATAGATGTCAATAATTCTAAGATATGTTACTAAGTTTACATAAAGTAATTGGCCCCAGAGTGGTGCAAATCCCTACCAAAGGGTCAAAATTTATGTCACTTTTTTGAAGTCAAAACAGCAAAGCATTTTAGTTTCACACATTAAAAATTAAGTATATTATTCCATATAGATTGATATAAACTAAGAAACACCTGCGGCGGGGCAAATATTGCCCAAAGGGATAAGCTATATATCTATTTTGCTAAGGTCTAAAAGTTTATGCTTCACGCCAACTATGTAGCTTTTGACATTGTACTTTTAAAGAATAAGACTAAAATTCTATGTTATTTGTGCCAATGCAATGAAATTCTGGAAACAAAGTGATCCCTCGGAAGCATTAATCACAACAAAATAACATAAGAATTGCAGACTCGGTTTGATTGAGTCTATACATGAGTGATAATGAATAAGTGCAACATCACTCACGCCCCCTAGCACCGGCTTGAGCGGTACTCAATTCTCAACACTTTATAGTGTTGGCATCAATGATCCCGAAGGACCAGAAAATATAACAACACTGAAGTGAAGTACGGGGCAACTTTTTACGGCTGCCACACGGCACTTGACACCTGCTGTTGTGAAGTACAAAATTCTGGAAACAAAGTGATCCCTCGGAAGCATTAATCACAACAAAATAACATAAGAATTGCAGACTCGGTTTGATTGAGTCTATACATGAGTGATAATGAATAAGTGCAACATCACTCACGCCCCCTAGCACCGGCTTGAGCGGTACTCAAGACACACTTTAACATTTATCTTGGTACTGTCAGAAAATTCAAAGCTTATTTCGTATCTTTGTGAGATCTTAATTTTGATGATGTCTGCTGTAAAAAAACATTTATATAAGGTTCTAAAGCTAAAAAAATTAAGTTTGACATATTGTTTTTAGTATTGAAAAAATAACTTTATTTTTCAAACAGAAAAAAAAATGTCTTACCTACCTGTATTAAATTCGGTTTTTAAATTACATGTAGCTTGAAATGTACATGCATATAAGTGTGTTAGGTTAGAGGATATAATTTACATATGTATCAGACACATAATATATAAGTGTGACCAAGACATGTGAAAGGTCAAACTTTCACTCTGCCCATCGTCTCATAATGATACACATTTCTGCCAAGAATTTTTAATTTCCTTACATCGGTTCAAGAGAAACAGACCAGAAACAGAATTTCTTACCAACTGGCCGACGGACAGATGAACGGACAACCATGTGAAAAGCATAGACGCCGAAATTTCAAGGTGTATAAAAGTAGAGGAAAATGATAAAAAAATAAACGATTGTGTCACACAGTTTGCCATAGAAAAAAGATTTAGAAATAGGGAAATATAAACAAGAAAAATATTACATACATTCGTATGCAATATAGGTACGATTGCATACTACTTTTTGTGAAGACTTTATGCTTGCTGCATTATAGGTGCAATGTAAAATGAACAAACATGTCATGAGATATTTTATATCTTTAAACATTTTCATGGAATGTAAGTAATGTATCATCAAATTAAAGTTGCATGCCTTCAGATGAGAAAAATGATTTCAAGGTAATCAAAATATGAAAAAAAATCACTGTCAATTGACTGCTTTGAAGCATAATCACAGAATAAAATTACAGGAAATTAAAAAACCTTTTTAATACACTAAAGATAGAATTTCATTGTAAGTCATAGTCGCACATTTGAGATATGATTATTTATTCATATTGACATCATTGTCAAGTTTTTGGTTTCACTTATGAGATTTTTATCGATATTCTGAGCGGTATTTGTGATTATAAGTTAAGAATCGCTGTACTCCTGGACTTGCTGCAGTATTGGACTTGCTGCAGCATTGGACTTGCTACGCTTCTTGGACTTGCTGCGCTTCTTGGACTTGCTGCACTACTGGACTTGCTGCACTATCGGACTTGCTGCACTATTGGACTTGCTGCACTATTGGACTAGCTACGCTTCTTAGACTTGCTGCAGTAATGGACTTGCTGCACTATTGGACTTGCTGCAGTATTGGACTTGCTGCACTATTGGACTTGCTGCACTATTGGACTTGCTGCACTATTGGACTTGCTGCACTTCTTGGACTTGCTTCACTATTACACTAGCTACGCTTTTTAGACTTGCTGCGCTTCTTTGACTTGCTGCGCTTATTAGACTTGCTGCGCTTCTTGGACTTGCTACGCTTCTTGGACTTGCTGCGCTTCTTAGACTTGCTGCGCTTCTTGGACTTGCTGCGCTTCTTGGACTTGCTGCGCTCCTTGGACTTGCTGCGCTTCTAAGACTTGCTGCGCTCCTTGGACTTGCTGCGCTTCTTAGACTTGCTGCGTTCCTTGGACTTGCTTCTTTTCTAGGAAGCGGACCGTTCTTAGACTTGCTTCTTTACTGGGAAGCGGACCGTTCTTAGACTTGCTTCTTTACTGGGAAGCGGACCGTTCTTTGACTTGCTTCTTTACTGGGAAGCGGACCGTTGCTAAGGCTCAACTCTTCACTAGAAAGCCGACCGTTTTCTAGACTTGCTGCTTTATTCGGTTCCCTCACTGGACCTGCTCACCAACAAGGAGACTTGCTGAAAATTAAGCTTTCCGACAATATGTATAAAGCTTCTTTCGAAATCAAATTTTTTTTTCTTCTTTTTTATTTCCAATTTCATTTCATATAAATACACAACGCGCGAACCGGAAAGAACGCCACAATTGTGACGTGACGTCAAAACAATAAATAATACAAAATGGCGGACATTTGTGTTTCTTTTCATAAATAAAATGGCTATTTTGACAATCATCAATGATTATATATTGATAAAAAAAACTCGAAAGACACAGTTTGTAAATATTTATTACAATAAAATATGAAAAAAATATTTTTCCATTCTATGCGACGCGCCGAGGTTAGCTATATTTATAATTCCCGCGCTAAGTCGCGGTGGTGCTTGGGATAATCACTTGATACTGTAAATGGCAGCCATTTTACAATACGAAAATGCCTGGCCATCTTCGGACAGTTTATCCTGCCGAAAAGCTATGAAAAAATACTTGCAATTCAAAGTTTGTTTGCTAAGATGATCGATTAACCCTCTCTGCCTGATTGTGATAATAATGATGTGTTTTCATTGGCTTAAACTATCACGTTATCAATACACATAAAGGTGTGAACTAATTTTGTGTTCATTAAAATTATTCCGTTAATAGACATATAACAATCTTATTTACAAATGAATTGATAAAACAACAATCCCAGAAGCATTTAAGATAATAACAATCATTGGAAAAAAATAAATGCATATAAATTGTAAATCTGTGTATGACAACTCACCCCCTAAACAAAACATAATAGACTCAACCAAAAGCAGCGTCTGCTTCTTAACCTAACTATGTAAAGGCATGACCATGATTAGAAATTATAAACCAAATGTAAGAGGTAAACCTATTGTAAAAATAATACTATGACGACATCAGATTTCGTACAGAAAACTGTGTGATGCTTTATTAAAGCCCTTTACAAGAGTTAACGTGTTCCGGTTGAAATTTGTATTGAAGTTCGTATGTTGTCTATGCTTGCCGAATACATTTGTACCAATCCTTTTTGTTAAATCCTATCTGTCAGTCAAGCCCGAAATATATGATTTATTTTTATCATGCATTTAATGGTCGCATTGCCCATCAGTGCATTAAAATAGTAAACACTAAAAAATTAATAGGTCACCTTTCATGAATTGCCACAAGCACCAACGCACGCACACACACACACACACACACACACACACGCACGCACGCACGCACGTACGCACGCACGCACGCACGCACGCACACACACACACACATACACACACGCACAAACACACTAAAATACACATACATATAACATACATACATGCAATACATACATATGTGCACAGGGTAGAGACAGTTTCCATTAGCACGCACTGATTAGATCTGTATCTTAGTCCAATGAATAAATGGTTTAATTTGTTTTTCGTGCTGCCCAAAGTTAACAAAGGAATTTGAAAGACAATAGATAGATAGATAGATAGATTTCGGCAATGTCTCGTCATTAAAGCAGCATGCCTATAGAAGAGCCAAAGTATTTCAATAATATCAAACTTTAGTTACATGCACTTAGATTTTAGGAAAAGTGAAAAGATTCAAGGAATAATTTACATGATATGTGTAATAAATGTCTGATTTTATAGTAATTACAACTATATATCTCCTGCGTAACTAACGCAGTTAAGGCTATTTGTGCATACTGTTAACTCCCTTTGGTAATTGGTTGTGAGTGACATTGATAATGTAAAGTGTTTTGGTTGCTTATAATTTTAAATACATTTTCAAAATTGTTATTAAAGTTAGCATGAATCTAGAGGAGTGATGCTTTAAGGGTAACGTCTGCTAAACTGAATGAAGTACATATATCTTTCTTTTTTTAGCCTTGGCAGCCAAAATTTTTATACAGCACACCGGTAAAATTGCCGCAATTTAAGTAAAGGACTGCCAATTGATCATTGCTACAGTTTTGTATAAATTTGTCGGATGGTTGAGGACAAAGTGTTACTTTTTATTACTGTGAAACATTTATTTTTCGCGAGAACCTTATTTCGCGAATTTGAGGCAAAATGTCCAAAATAATTATTTCGCGTCAACATGAATTCGCGTCTTCCCGAAAAATGTGAAACCGGAAACCCGATGTGATTCGGATAATTTCTGTCCTGTCCGTTCAATAACTTTGCGTCGTTTATTGTGCGACGATGCATTTATATCCATATCGATTTTTCTGATAGCTTGCTAATCTTCTTGTTAAGTGAAACCTTCTGTCTAAAAATATGTCAACAAAGTTTGATAATTATTAGATATGTGTTCACTGTGTTTCCCATGTATTGTCCTTGATTATACTCCGTGCCTCTAGCATTGTTACTAATAATGCAAAGTGTTAAAGTTTAACTGATTAGCCATTCAAAGGCAAGCAGACGAAAATCAATTAAACGGTACTATAATTTGCCTAACCTGTAGTAAACAATTATGTTTACCCTCCGGCTTAAACTATGTACAATACAAAAGGATAAAATAAATAGAAATGATACAAACAACTCGCAGGTGCTAAAGCATTTGTACCAAATACCAAAACAGTTATTCTGAAACACTTGAATAGCTACGTGATGTAACTAGAAATGGCTTCGATACTTTCCCGCAGATATAAATCCATGTGTACGCATTTTCGGATAGTGTTCATTTTCGGACAAGTGTATAGACAAAGTGAAATATTCGCGAGAAATATGAATTCGCGTCTTAGAAAACTCGCGAATATTAGCGAAAATAACTTTCTCGCGAATAATAAGTGTTTTACAGTATTAGCTCGGACGAAAATTTTGTTGACCCTGACCATTAGAGCCATAAATATACACGACTATCCAACGCATATCCTTCAATATCATATCAAAGTCTACTTAACAGTTAATGAGATGTCATTGAAAAGCGTTTCTATTTTAGCTCCGACGGCAATCTTGTTCACCAAACCGGATCCAGATGAACCTTTTAATTAATTGCCCTATAATTATTTCTGTACAGTATCATCTTAATCTATCGGACGGTTGAGGACAGTATGTTATTTAGCACTTTTTTATTTTTAGCAGCACTGGTTTCTTTCTTATTCAAAAAAACCCAAACCATTTAATTGATTTCTTTAAAAGTTAAGCTAAAACTTATTGCTGTATACTTAAACTACCAATCAGTTAAGGAAAAGATGTATTTTACGCGTGTTTTTTTCTCCTTTTTAAGTAAAAATGTTAACGACCGATGACAAACTCTGAACGGACAAAAGCGTATCAAAAAAGCTCTCATTGAGCACTAGTACTCAGATTAGCTAAAATGCAAATTACATGTTAATCTATTTCTCAACTTAAACACTATACCGTTTTTCTTGTTCTTTGGGTGCTTTCTTCAATTTCTCGATTTCAATTTTCAATTCGTCGATTTCCCTGAATTAAAAAGATAACTTTTAATTTTAATATCATCAGGTATACCTTATCAACCTTTGTTCACACACATGAATTACATTATCATAAAAAAGTATTGCAGCCTGACGGAGTGGTTACCATTCTAAGTACTACTTGTTGCGTTACTTAAAATATGATGAATAAGATCAACAAGGAAAGGCGGCGTTCAGTGGATTCAACCCAAACACGACCCAGCAACAAGAACCAGCGGCAAGGAGCCAAGGAGGACCATTGCAAACCGTTGTTTCCTTAAGCAAGAACAAACCGCTAAGTACTGGTTTGTTACAGGAATTGGTACAAGAGCATGTCATAGATTATAGCCTCCAACACAAGAGAACTAAAATAACATTTGCATAAATAAAAGAAATACATTATTGTACTTGTAACAGAAAATGATGATTTGTACGAAAGACCTGTGATTACATTATAATTTCAAGATTTAAGTTTCATGAATTCCTAATTGAACTCATTAATTCACGTGCTTATGTTCACGTACAATTTAACTAGAAAGTTAAAGAGATATCGTGTGAACTATAATTGGCTTTTTTTTGCATAATGGCATGGCAAAATCTATCCTATACTTATAAGTAAAGAACTATCTTAGAAAATAGTAATAGAAATAGTAAACAAGAAATAGTTTTACTTTTTAAATTAGAATGGGAGATTCCAAGATTTCATTTTGTAATTTTTGAAATGACAAATGAAAACTCTTCTTCTATTTAGTTCTTCCCTGTAAATTTTATAGGAAGTCAAACCTCTTTAGACCGGCATTTGGCCGGAAAAATACAGGCATCATATTCAAATGTCACCCGACTAATCAATAGCCTTATTAAAATATATTTACATCTATTAAAAATATTGATAATTTTCAATTTTAAAAAAAAGGAGGCAGTGCTTTTATTTCTCAGGCAGTGTTTACATTTTATCCTAAATATTCGTGTTTTGCAATTATTATTCAATCGTTATAACAATAGTCAATGTTTTCAAATATACATCTTATTTATCTATTTTCAGTGCAAAACATGAGCATAATGTAAATTATGCACATGAAAGATTAAAAATGTAAAGAGAAATGCGTACATTGCAACTAACAAAAAACTTGAACGTAGGATAAAAAGAGATCCAGTAGTGTAGTTAGAAAATGCTGAAATTAAACCGAATTAACACGTAAAATATTTCAATTCTTGTAAAAAGGTAAATAAGATCTCTTTAATGTGTAATCTTATTTAGATATAAATAATTAAGCTTTTTTAATCCTTACTTGGAAAGCGTCTTTTTTACTTCATTTCTTTCATTCCGGGCTGTAGACAAAGATTGTTGAAGCGAATCTATTATTATTTGTTTTTTCGTTTTCCTGAAAAATAAAAATATGAGTTATAATGAAGAAATTTATAAAAAACTCTCTTGCCGTTCTGCAAGTAAACTGAATGTTATCACACATCATTTATTTAAAGGCTAATCATGCCTCAAAACCATTTGTACTCAGTAGACTGGGATATTTATAGATAACAGTTTTATTATATGACAGATTCTTCAATTGGTAAATTTTCGAAAATGTCTAATGCCCATTTTACACAAACAAGCCCAAATATAAGAGGACGGAATCCAGTCTTCGTTTTTTGTATCCCTTTCTAAAGCGTGTAAGTAACAAAACAATTTATTGTCGGAAAAACGAACGCTGGCTGAATCTTCATTTAACAAAAAGTGTTCATTTCACGAAATGTTGTTTTTGATTTGTCGGATATAAGTTTGGTTTCTAATAATAATGCTTAGTGACGTTGCTTAAGATATGATACCGTTCTAAGCGGTACTTATTGGCTAATTAACATCGGTTTGGAGATTTGATGCATAGGCATAAGCCACGAAGGCCGTATGCCGTGTAAAATAGCCGATAAACACCTCTCAGCTCAATATTACTTCGATTCTAAGTCAAAATAAGGGAAATTAGTTCTGCTGCCGATTTTCATATTTTGCTGTTCTATTTCGCATCCTTCTGTTGTTAAGGTAATAAAAGTAAATAATAAAGAAAATAAATTTTACGATTTTTAGAAAGACTTTTTACATAAATTATCCAATATATCTTCATTTTCTTATAGACATGTCAGCACTTTTGGTATCTTATTCTATCATTTTTATCTTACTGCTTTTCACGAAAGAATCCATTTAATATTAAACTTAACACAGCCAGTATGACACTGACATGTATAAAGGTTGAACGCGACACTTTGCGAACTTTCGAGTAGCGTCTTGAAAATTTACATGCAAAAAGTTGACCATATTAAAAAAATTCTGATTTTTGTACACACGGCGTCAAAGTTGACCAACAAAGTCCGTTTTTTGAACATGACGTCTTTGCGTATCCTTGACAACTGTTACGTGCATTTCAACGCCATTGGTTGACAAACTATCTTAAATTCTACAGCATTCGGCGGAAATCCTTTTTAACCTTTAAGCTGATATAAAATTTATCGATTTACGCCGAAAAATGTTTGGAAAATGGAAAGAAAATTGTTAATTTTGTGTAAAATTTGACGTTCAGGTTAGCCGCAATTTTCGTCTTTAAAGCGGCTTATTAAAAAATTCCCGAAATAAATTTTTGATTTTTTTCTTTAAACGTTCTTTAAAATGTGTACTTAGTCAAAATTACTAAATAAATTAGAGGGCCACCGACTCAAATTTTTCGGTACACGTGATTTTATTTCCCCCACCCAGTAATTTTGAGTAATTTTGTAACGAAATTCGACATATGCAGATACGTTTGAGACTTCAAAGTGCGGCTTATCAGGAGAATTGTTCTAGAGCTTTACTTATACATATGAAACAACACCAACAATGTTCCATTGCAAATGCTTAATATTTAAAATGAGACATGAAGATGATTAAGCATATTTATATTTAAAATCTTTGCTGAGTAGAACCACCGACGTTCCGTAAGGTAGCCTGGTATTTAGGCGTTGATATTTTTGCTTATTCATAACATACGCGCTGTTTTTTTACGAGCACGTCACCATTTCTTACTGATATATACTCGATTTTCTGAACAGAAACAAAGACTTGAGCCCAGGCTAGTAAAGTCTAAATACAGGATCATTTCAATATACCGTGTTACTTGAGCAAAAAAGGAACTGTCAGCAGTGAACGAAACTTAACAGATATGTAACAACAATTGTCTAACTATCATGGGCTTGGTCGAAGTGCAATTTTATTGAATTTATTATCGCCTTTCCATTTTGTGACGTTTATGTTTGCTGAAAAAAATGTACGAAAAACAAACAAATTTTCTTCTTGTTTTTTAAGCATGATTAATAACTTCATATGTAATTGTAAACAGACGAATGTACAGAAAATGAAGTCAGGCGTTCAACGGCAACGCGAACGCTGCGCAAACTAATACAGCGGAGTGATCATTGCGGTGTAATGTTTTGATATTGAAATACATTAAAATAAATAAACTTGAATCGAGAAATATGCCATAAGGAGCAAAAAGCAACAATATATTTTTATGTAAATTTAGAAATTTACGGAAATTCAATCATAAATTTATACGTAGTCTACCAAAAATTCTGCAAAGCTATAAATTTTGTATTACCCGCACTATGAATGATATACTGTGAGTGATATGTATTTTATTCCACCTATTAAAAACCAGAATGAATTTGAAGTTCATTTGTAAGCAAAAACTATTACAACAATTTGACAGAGTATATGCTAAATAACTGTGCGAACTGTTGACAAATTAAAATATACGGTTCATCAATTATATAAGTGTGAAGCAACAGTCATGTTTGAACGTTAGCTCAGTGGGTGTTAGATTACAGATGTAGCACGTTCGTTTCTACAAGTAAATAAACATCTTTAATACATATTTTTTTGGTTTTGCTTATCATTTTAGAATATTATAATGTTAAAAATAACGTTTAATTGAGGATTCATCATAAATGCTGTATTAAAAACATCATTATCAAATCGGCCTTTACAATTATTCATTATTCACTGTATAGCCAACTTTATGGTAGAATTTATGGTAGAATTTATTTTGAACAGGAAAACATTAAACATGAAATATAGTGAAACGCTGTAAATACACGTCTGCGGATGTTTGTAGCAACGCTTTATGTCGCAACGCCGTTATATGTCGCAACTAACGCTAAATGTCGCAACGCTGACGCTATATGTCGCAATCAACGCTATATGTCGCAATCGCCTACCGCTAAATGTCGCAACGTTTCCGCTATATGTCGCACAAAAATCGATTGCCGCTTAATGTCGAAACCCCTTGACGCTAAATGTCGCTCTTGGTAGGAAAGTAACAGATGGAACTGAAACAAAAAGTAAGTGTTAAAACATTTAAAGTTTATACCTTTTACACATGAAAACATATCCTAGTAACCAAACAAAAGTTGTATTTCGCGGTCTATGGCAAAAACCTTATATGGCCATAGAAACTGTTTTTGATAAAAGGGATGGATTTGGTTCTCAACCACGGACCAGGTGTGAGATCAAACTTTCTCTTTGAGGATGTCTTTCTCACAAAATGCATCAACAAAAACATTTGGACATACATGTATATTTGTTAATATATTATTTGACTGAGCAAACCGCTTGTTAATGCTAAGGGGGAACTATATCTTAATATATATTTTATATTATACCTGTTCATAATCTGACTAGATATATAGGCTTTACTACATGTAAGTATTAAATAATACCCAATTGATCTGTTGATATTCGTAACTATGCGGTGTATTGATTTAGGTATTATGACAGAATTGTTATACTTTCATAACTTTTTATATTTATCTCAATATTTCTTTGGGAACATTAATGAATCAATATACTGTGGAATTGCCAAATGTTGACTGCCTACTGCTTACTGTCAACTGCTTACTGTCAACTGCTTACGGCTTACTACTTATTGTTCACTGCTTATAGCATTAAAATAAAAATGGACGACCTATTACAACTGTACTGGCCAAAAAGTTATTCAGTTGCCCAAATAGTTGCCGTTCTGGAGGTCAAACACAATATAGTGCAGTGGTATATAGGCCACTTCCAACAGCCTTGCTGTTGGGTAAACCCTTTAGCGATGTGGTTGAGGCGTCCGCCTACGGACCAAGAGGTCTATTGTTCAAAACCCGGTTGGACCCTTGGTATTTTTCTGTCTCCTAATTCACTTAAATGGTGTCAGAAGTGTTTGACGGACTCATGCGGTAAGCAGGGAGTGACATTCAGGAGAGCTGGCTAGCTCTGAAAAGTAAAGAGGGGAGGAGTTTAGTGGTTGTAGGTTTATAGGCCACTTCCATCAGCCTTGCTGTTAGATTAACCCTTTAACGACGTGGTTGAGGTGTCCGTCTACGGACCAAGAGGCCTGTGGTTCAAAACCCGGTTTAATCCTTGGTATTTTTCTGCCTCCTAATTTACTTTAATAGTTTACAGGTACATATATATTCTTAGAAACAACATTTAAAGCAATTCACTGATAAATTAATAAATGCATGGACTATAACATGAAATTCCATAAACGACAGCCAACTGTTGACTGCTTACTGTCTACTTCTGACTAACTACTGCCTACTGTTAACTGCCTAGTGCTTACTGTCAACTGCTTACTGTCAATTGCATACTGTCAACTGCTTACTCCCCCACTAGAAAACAACAACAACATCAATTAGATAAATAAATAAATACAAAAATGAATAAAAATAAATAAATAGAGGTATTCTTTTATCCGTTTACATATAGAGGTTATAGGCTGACCCATGAAAAGAATAGAGAAACTAAAAATCAAGCCAAAAAGAAATTGTTTTATCATATACTTATAAGTGAAATATTGAGAAATACTGATGAAATAAAATGCGTATTTTCAATTTTAGTATTTTCACTGTAAAAAGCTATTTTTCACTGTAGTGAAATATATTTTCCGTATTTTCACTGCTGTCTTGCCGGACTACTTTCTTCTAAATTCAGAAAATACACATAATTTAAGGAGAATTCTTTCAAATTGTAATGTCAAAAAAAAGAAAAGAGAAATCTATATGATAAACAGACAATTCAAGTTTTTTTTTCTATAAATACAGGATTTATTATCATCTTGTGGTATGGAAATTATCATATTTCATTCATGGCTACCGCCACTCATAAAATAATTAATGTCTTGCCACTAGATGAAAATAAATCCTGTATTTATAGAAAACACTTGAATATCCTCCATGAATTATGTCATAATATGTTCAAAAGCAACCAGACATAAAATCGTATGTATTAGATATCTAGATGTATATTCAATAAGCATGAACCGAATGTTCATTTTTTCTTTCGTGCGACAAATTAAGAATAATTCAAATATCGATTGAATTATACATCCAATTTGTCGTTAGATAAATCATCAAAGGGTGATAATAAGACAACAACTTAATACATGTAAATGTGAACATAATATTTAAAGTTACGTTTTGACAAAATTCCTGTCATTCAGCATATTGCAGATGTGATATATGTGAGGAACGAACAACTCTGCTTCGAAATAATTTAGAAACATCAAAAATGAAACCATGGTGAAGTTAAAATGAGACTACGATACGTTAAGTTAACAAATGTATCAGTGTTACGAGAAAAAAGAGGATAAAACATATAAGGGAGAATATGGGATAATAATTTAATGTCATAAACGTGTTCGTGTTCATGTAAATCAGGAAATAGAGTAACCATTCACAAACGTGTCCTTGTTTCGATCAAAACGAGTATATACATGTAATTAGAAAATGTGATAAACGTAACCATATTGCAATACAAACGAGGCCACGTAAAGGAAACGTGACAAACGTAACTATGAAAACGAGGCTACAGTAAAGAAACGTCACAAACGTAACCATGTAACAATGAAAACGAGGCTACAATAAAGAAACTTTACAAACGTAATCATGTAACAATGAAAACGAGGCTACAGTAAAGAAATGTCATAAAACGTAACCATGTAAAAATGGAAACGAGGCTACAGTAAAGAAATGTCATAAAACGTAACCATGTAACAATGGAAACGAGGCTACAGTAACAAACGTCACAAACGTAGCCATGTAACAATGAAAAAGAGGCTACAGTAAGGAAACGTTACAAACGTATCCGCGTTACAGTGAAAACAAGGCAACAGTAAGGAAACGTCACAAACGTATCCGCGTTACAGGGAAAACGAGGCTACAGTAAGGAAACGTCACAAACGTATCCGCGTTAGAGTGAAGACGAAGCAACAGTAAGGAAACGTCACAAACGTATCCGCGTTACAGTGAAAACGAGGCTACAGTAGGGAAACGTCACCAACGTATCCGCGTTACAGTGAAAACAAGGCAACAGTAAGGAAACGTCACAAACATATCCGCGTTACAGTGTAAACAAGGCAACAGTAAGGAAACGTTACAAACGTATTCGCGTTACAGTTAAACGCAGGAAAAGAGACTATACTAACCCTATTATAATGAAAACGAGGCTACAATAAGGAAATGTGACACTGAAAACCAGGCTGCAACAAGGAAAACTTTACAAAAGTATTTCATGTAATGGTAAAACAAGGCAAATGTATCATTATAAAATGAAAATGATACTTCATTATGAAACGCCACAAACGAAACCATGTTAATGTAAATATGAAGCTACAATATCAAACCATTACAAAAGTATCCATGTAACGGAGAAAAAACGAGGCTTAAACAAAGCGCAGTATAATATGAGAAATTGGACACAGTACTTCGGATATCAAAATATTGTTGTATCCCCTGTCGTATAACGGAGAGAGAACACACTGATGTTTCACATTTTATTACTCAATACATAAGTATATATCTGCTCTGGACAAATACCAAATTCGAATTACCTAGACTGGGCTATTCGACCACTATTTATAATGACAGCTATTAACATAAAATGTTAAGATATAGTTCCCCCTTAGCATTAACAAGCGGTTTGCTCAGTTATGTCAAATAATATAACAAATATACATGTATTTCCAAATGTTTTTGTTGATGCATTTTGTGAGAAAGACATCCTCAAAGAGAAAGTTTGATCTCACACCTGGTCCTTTAATCAAAAACTGTTTCTATGGCCATACAAGGTTTTTGCCATAGACCGCGAAATATCCTAGTAACCAAACAAAAGTTGTATTTCGCGGTCTATGGCAAAAACCTTGTATGGCCATAGAAACAGTTTTTGATTAAAGGGATGGATTTGGTTCTCAACCACGGACCAGGTATGAGATCATGTGTAAATGGTATAAACTTTAAATGTTTTAACACTTACTTTTTGTATCAGTTCCATCTGTTACTTTCCTACCAAGAGCCACATTTAGCGTCAAGGGATTTCGACATTTAGCGGCAATCGATTTTTGTGCGACATATAGCGGAAACGTTGCGACATTTAGCGGTAGGCGATTGCGACATATAGCGTTGATTGCGACATATAGCGTCAGCGTTGCGACATTTAGCGTTAGTTGCGACATATAACGGCGTTGCGACATATAGCGTTGCTACAAACATCCGCAGACGTGTATTTACAGCGTTTCACTATATTTCATGTTTAAAATACTGTTTTCCTGTTCAAAATAAATTCTACCATAAATTCTACCATAAAGTTGGCTATACAGTGAATAATGAATAATTGGCGATTGCGACATATAGCGTTGATTGCGACATATAGCGTCAGCGTTGCGACATTTAGCGTTAGCTGCGACATATAGCGGCGTTGCGACATATAGCGTTGCTACAATGTTTTACAGAACATATATAGCGAACCAGGCGGTCCTGAGCTAGATACTGCACATGTAAATTTTTATACAGAGAAAGTTGAGAAAACCGGACGGCTGTCGAACCGAGGGTTTTGTCCGGTTTTCTCAGCGGTCCGGTTTTCTCAATGTCCCCTTCAGCTGTTCAGGATCATATAAACCGAGCAATGACTAACAAAGGATGCTAAACGTATATTTCCATTTTCATTTTCATGATTATGAGTAAGTATATTGCTAAATAAAGAAATGATAAAAATTCTATACGATATGTTTTCTTGGTTTTTGTTACATTATTGCATATAAATACAATAAAATTTTGGATTTAAACGAACAGCAGTTACCTCATAACGATAAAGTCCGATTACATCCGCATATGTTTATATTTGGGTAATGGATAATGATTTAACGAACATACATGTAGTTTACTTTGTTTGTTTATAATAATTCCCCAATTGTAAATATTGCCAACTTTATACCATTTTTGTCAGATAAAGATTTTTAAAGTAGGTCTCGGCAAATTCACTGTTTTTAATTAATTTAAATGTGTCACTTATAGACAGCTCTCGTCAACTGATTTTAACTTATCAATTCCTCGTGCATTTTGGCATTTATATAATACGGTAACATCTTTACCTTAAAATAAATCAAACTGTGAAATGAGACATAATTAACAAATCAGAGACAATCATTGTTCCGTTACCGCTCTGTTAGCGTATTAGACACAATCAATTGATAAATACACAAGGTTATTCACACCTTCACGGTTCCGTACATCTACGTGTTCAATTTTCACTTATTTTTTGCCTGTCTGTCTATAATATTCGTAATTCCGTACCCTTTATTGTATCCATATATTTTTCGCAGTGGTCATAATGGCGTATAATTTCATTTATAGCGGGATTTTGACACAGGGCGATCGTTTTAATGACATAAAAATAACAAACGCCCCGTGATAGCGTGACTTTTATCCATAGGGGTGTGGGAAATAAAATCACGTGTACCGAAAAAATTGAGTCGGTGACCCCTATTTTGTTTAGTCATTTAGACTGAGTATACATTTTAAAGTACGTTTAAAGAAAAAAATCAAAAATTTATTTCAGGAATTTTTTTAATAAGCCACTTTAAAACCGAAAAATGCGGCTACACTGAACGTCAAATTTTACACAAAATTGACAATTTTCTTTCCAATTTTTAAACATTTTTCGACGTAAAACAATAAATTTTATATCAGCTTAATGAAAAAAATAGTTTCCGTCGAATGCTGTAGAATTTAAGATATTTTGTCCGCCAATGGCGTTGAAATACCCATAAAAGTTGCCAAGGATACGCAAGGACGTCATGTTCAAAACGGGCTCTGATGGTCAACTTTGACGCCGTTTGTACAAAAACTGGCTGAAACTATTGAAATAAAATCAACGGAACCTAATCAAAAATATGGTCAACTATTTGCATGCCAATTTTCAAGACGCTACTCGAACGTTCGCCAAGTGTCGCGTTCTACCTTAATTGTAATAAATATGTAAGTACATCTTCAGAACAATAAAATTATTCTGTACTTATTAGAACTATAGTTTGACTTTCATTATAGTTTTAATTTTCTAATTACCTGTAACCATATACATGAGCTCTATCAATTTGATCCTTTAATGCAGTTTCCGTAGCCTGAAGTGCGTTTTTTCTTTCCTCTGCTTTTTGTAGTTGGCTCTCTGCTTTTTGCAGTTGGCTCTCTGCTTTTTGTAGTTGGCTCTCTGCATTTTGGACTTGGCTCTTTAAACTGTTTGGTGAAGTATTAAACATTTATAATATAAACTTTATTCTTTAGTGATTTAATGTAAAATAGTACGTGTCAGATGTTACACATTAGAAAGCTGTGTGAATTGATAACATATTACAATGTGTCCGAGATTTTTTCTTTATTAAAACCGGGTAGCATTTTATTATAAACATAGAATAAGTTTACATGTATTTTCTCAGGATGCTCTGACTTATGATTAGATATAAATGATTTTAAGAAGTTTCTCATATGAATAAGAATTAGCGAATTGAAAAGAACATACAAGCTTATATCATCAATTTATGAGTGAATATTAACATCTCAACTAAACGTCTTAACCTATAAAAACACTATACAGTTAGATGTATATTTTCAGCTCTTCTCTTATCCCCCTGGAGACCCGTCAAACTTTTCAAAGTTATAAGATAAGACACTATGTTTAGCACAAAACGCAATGCTTTATTATTTTATATTATAATAGCACGAAATTCTCCCATCATCCAATCTTAGTAAGTTCTTTATTTAGCATAAAATCCCTATATATCTTATTTAGCTGATTGATATAACCACTAAATATCTAACTGACCTTCCCAGCCACTGTGAATAGCAGCATCTCTCAAAATTTGCCCGTGTCTTTGCTCTTATAGTCATACAAGAATCATGTAACATATATTACCTAATTACCCCTTGCTCTGATTTTTTTCGCGCATACATGCCAAACATAGTTACATGCGTACAATTAAACCGATTAAGCATTCCATCAGATTTCGGTTGATTGGATGTAGTTCTTTAACAAAGAGCACAATTCCTGAACAAAAAAAAAAAAACAAAAAAAACCCTCTCAAACTGTTTTTCTTGATCAGCGGGAATTGAATCAGGTACTTTTGAAAATGTTTTAAACGGGAAACATTCTGTTCATTATGTGGAGTAATCTTCTACTATAATAATGTTTCTGTTATCCCGATCTTTATTACAAAGATGGCCTAAAATATGTTGTCACAATAGGGACTACGCTGGGATACCAGGCCGACCACAATTGCTATCTAAAACAACCAACAACTCAGAACAGAAAAATATATACAAATTTATTTACAATAAATGAATATTTATAAATGAAAAATGATTATATATGAAAAGTACTATGATAAGTCACTGCACAAACAAACACTATCAACGTATCTCAGTCTATTTCTCCCGTAAAGTTTCCGTCATGATGTATCAATAAAGTGGTGGCGTTGTTAAACAAAATTCGTCACAATGGCGGGCGTCTTGTATAAAATCTTATCAAGCGTAACTGTACTTCCTACAGTGTTGGCACAGTTGATAGGATCCTGAACAAGGGCATGCGTCACCCTTTAGCCATGGACATACGTGTGGAGGGCCCGCGTCATCTTCGGGTGTTTCCTCAAATAAGAAGCTACAAAGTATAAAACATGGTAAGTTCCATGATAATCAAACATAAGGGTATAATAAAGTCCCTTGGAAAAGACTCGACCTTTGTCGGTTTTCAATAAAATAACGTGCTTCTTTAAATAAACAAAATGTCCACTATAGTACACCATACATTCTGTGGAACAAAAATTCAATCACATCCGCATAATACAGCGTTGCAAATATATTCAAATATACGCCACATAATAACCACCAATAAATAAACGTCTTCCAAAATCATGCCACTGAAGATCCTTCTCTAGAGATACGTTAGTTTTGATACGTTGTATATACTTATAACAAAAACTGATGATAAATGAAATGAAGTAGGATGATAACGTAAATTAAATTGATTGAAACAAATCATTACGATACTGCAGCATTTTACATAAAGTTACACAAATACGGTAGAACCATAATAAATTATTTATGAATTGATATATATCTATAAAATATTCATGGCTCCTATACAATTACAATATAATTAAAACTTCAATTAACATACATCAATTAACATGTCTCGGTATAAATTTGCATAAGCGAAACACTAGAATAAAAAGAGCTTTTAAAATTCAATCTGCAAAAATTTAGAAAACAATAAATTACTGCCAAATAACTAAACCTGAATCAAATAAACTATAATTCTAATAGAAAATAGTATTTACGAAATAGCAAAAATTTATGAAACAAAATCACTAGAAAATTAAATTTACCTTGTACAAGCTGTAATTTTATGACAAATATAATTTGTCTGTCACCGTCATAGTGACCTGTATAACGTCCAGTGCATTGCAATATGTCACTTAAAATTTAGTCAATATATAGCAAACTACTGAGTACTGAGCGGGAAAACAGATCGTGCTAAACATGAAAAATCGATTTGCACGAAATAAAGCTGGACGGGCGGGAAAAATAGTTATGTAAAATAAAGGCCCGTCCTTCAAATACAGACATAATACATATATCTGGTTCATAAAACAAAAATGTAACTTTCTTATTACTGAAAGGATTTTTGTGAAATAAACGGCAAAATGTTTAAATTGAGACATGGAAATTTATGCAAACCATAAAAATACTCTAAATAATAATTTCACCCGAAAACTCTAAATTAAACAAAAGATGATGCAATCTCACATCAATGAATATAGAGTAAAAATGAGGTTCGGCGTGAAAATATAATGCAATATTTTACAAACGTACTTTCACTTTGTGACATTGATTTTTGGGCTCGGCTTTAGGGACAGAAATTTTGTATAGTTTTTAAAACTATATATATAAATCCCCCGCTTTTTTGCTTACCCAACTAAAGAAATCCCAAGCGAGAAATTTTAACATTTTTTTTTGGAAATTTGCCCCGGGCTCAAATTGCTCTGCAAGGTCGACATTCATTTGGGGCCCCAATTTTAAAATTTTTTTAAACCTTTATTTAAAAAATTTCCCGCTAGTTGACTTAGCCGCTTGAGCATTCCCCAGCAAGTCAATGATACCCAATTTATTTTGCAATTGCCACAGTTAGAATGGCTCTACGAGCTCAGGCTTACGGGGGGGCATTTTTTTTTTTAATTTTTATCCCCCACTATATAATAAGAAATTGCTCCGCTAGACTGCTTAGCCAGCTAAGCAAACCAGCAAGAGCATTTTTTCCCGCACTATATTTTGGAATGCCCCGCTAAGTTGCTTCCCGCTGAGCTGCCAAGCAAGCATTTTTTCCGCACTATTTTTGGAATGCCCCCTACATTTGCTTAGCCAGCTAAGAATACCAGCAGAGCATTTTAACACTTTTATTTTGGAATGCACCGTGTTGCTCTGGCCAGGTCGACATTACAGTAGAGCATTTTTTAGTTTTTTAACTAATTTATTAAGAAAGCTCGCAATTGCTTAGCCAGTGAGCATTTCCAGCAGGGGCTTTTTTCCACTTTTATTTTGGGAAAGGGCCCCGCAAATTTTGGGTTACCCGGGGGGTTTGAGCATAGCGGGGCAGAGGGCTTTTTTGGGGGGCCCTTAATATTTTGGGGCCCCCAGATTGTTTAAACCCCCTTTAACCCCTTGAGATCGAAAAGGAAAAATTTGTTTTTCGCCACTTTTTTTTGGAAAATGCCCGAAGTTTTTGGGGGTTCCCGCTGACCCTTCCCACCGGGAGATTTTTCGCACTTATTTTTTTGGGGAATGCCCGATAAGATTTTTCCCCCAAAGCGGGAGAAACCCAGAAAAAAGGAAATTTTTCGCCACTTAAATTTTTTGGGGGAAATCCTCGCGGGGTTTGGTTCCCCAGCTGAGCATACGCAGAGTTTTTGGGCACTATTTTTTGGGAAAATCCCCGTGGGATTTTTGCCAGCTGGTTTTGGGAAAAGAAAGAGAAATTTTTCGCCTATATTTTGGTTCTTGAAACGGCTTAACGATTGGGCAAAGCTAAATACAGAGAGCATTTTTCGCAAAAATATTTGGGAAGCCCCGCCAAAAAATTGCTTTCCCCAATTTAAAAATCATAACAGCAAAATAAATAATTTGAATGCCCCCCCCCTGGGGCTTTGGCCTTAGCCCAAGCAAGCTACCAGGGGCATTTTTCGAAAAAAAAATATTTTTAAAAAATTCCCCCGCTGTTTGCTTACCCGGGTTTAAACATCCAGCAACATTTTTCGCACTTTTTTTTTGGGAAAAATTCCCCGGAAAATTGGGTTTTACCCAGCTAAAGCATCCGGGAAGATTTTTGGGGTCCCCCTATATTTTGGGAAAATCCCGCTACTTTTGCTTTCCCGGCTGGGGCTACGCAGGCAACCTTTTCCCCAAAATTAAAATTTTGGAAATCCCGCACTTTGGTTTGGGCCAGTGAGCATCCCCAGCAGACCCTTTTTTCGCATTTAATTATTTTGGGTTTGGGCCTTTAATACTTTGGGGGGCCGATCATCCCCCAGGCTTTTTTTCCACTTTTTTGGAATGCCCGCAGAATTGTTTACCCCCGCTGAGGCAATACCAGAGAGGCATTTTTTCACTATTAATTTTGGAATGCCCCGCTAGATTGCTTACCCAGCTGAGAGCACAGCAAGCAATATTTTTCGCAACTATCATTTTGAAATTTTGCTCTGCTAGATTGCCTAGCCGCTTACATTTCTTGAGATATGTTACACTTTATTTTGTAAATAACTTCCCTTGATGTTTGCCAGATCGGCATTACGGGGGAGCAATTTTATGTTTTTACACTTCTTATAAAAGGATGCCCCGTAGATTGCATATAACCAGCTTGAGCATTCCCAAAAAAGCATGATACATTTATTTTGGTAACGCCCTGTTAGATTTCCCTGCCAGCTCGGCATTACAGAAGAGCAAATTTTTTTATTTTTACACTTTATATGAGAATCCCCCCGCTAGAAATTGCTTAGGGCCATTGCTTAAAAAAACGCATTCCAGAGTGGGTCAATGTACACTTTATTTTGTAATGCCCCCCTTAGATTGATCTGCTAGCTTGGCATTAAGAGAGAAATTTTATAGTTTTTAACAACTATATTTAGAAAGCCCCGCTAAGATTGGCTAAGCCAGCTGGCAATTCCAGCAAGAGCATTGATACAC